GCCGATCGAAGCCAAAAGGCTGGATCGCTCTTTTAAAGATGTACCTCGATGTATACTAGCCAGTACATATGTATGTTCAGTGCATACACACCTGCACCAGTAAACCTACCCTCACGCAACCACTCTTCGTGACACTCCGACATCTTGCAGCCCGTCACTTTTAGAAGACAGAGAATCCGCTGCCTACCGAGATAAGTATGACGCGGTCAGGTAGAGACGCCAGTCTTGTATGTCTCAGCGTGCCGTGCCGTGCGGATGCCGTCACTCAGCACTCAGTCAGACTGTCGCAGGCTTAAGATTAGGTTGCGAAGCGCGTAGCGAAGCCGGGTGGCGGGGTGCGGCTGAGACAAGACGTGCCCATAGCATCCGGGAAGGAGGGCGTCCAAGTACCTACATATTTATACACATGTAACCTATGTAAATATATACTAAACCGCCACATGCTAGTTAAGTGGATAGTCTCCATCACGCTTACGTAGGTATTTCCACGAACTCCCAAGCATTTCTAGACGACAGCGTGAAACATCAGTCTCTCCATCCTACCCGCTGCTGGTCCTGAAACTTGAAACTTGTTTACATGGCGGGACCCAGCAGTGCCCCCATCGCGCCCCAGTAGCTGCCGTCGATTGTGTAACATACGTGCGGTGATTAGCTGTGTTGGATCACCAGCCCTTGTGAGCAGCACAAGAGTCCTTGGCCTTGCTACGCCGCCGCCATGCGTTCTATCGAAGACTTATACCAAGTATGCACGTTGCTTGACCCAATTATGTACACTACAGCATGCATAAAAGCTATGGCGAACTCGGCAAATTACGCTGTAGTTCCTCCGTATCCGTTGCAGACATTCAGCAAAGGCTGCCCCATATGCACTTCAAGTATTGTATGCCTCTCTGCACATGTCACGATGCTAAAAACTGCTCACTAAACGGAACACGGCACCGTTGCGTAAGAGGAAGGATGGATACCTAACTCGGCATTATTTCTCATCATGACAAAGCCGCAAAAACAATAGGTACATGCTCCGTCTGTCAATATATCCGCCCTGCGCAACATGCTGTCGGGCGTTGCTGCACGTGTCCTGTATCTGTAGCACGTGCGTGGCCAGATAAGTACATGCAGGCGCGAAGAGCCGACAATTAGATGAATAAACGGCCGTCTTAATTGCAGGGCAATGGAAGGCCCGAGGCGGCGGGGTGAGTGTCGCCAGGCGGGGCGACAGTAGACGCAATATAATAGATTGGTAGTTGGCAGCGTGTGGAGAGTCCGAGTCGCACATGCAGCGCCGCAGAGTTGACGACACCGACACTGGCCTGAGGCGAGTCGCCGGAATGGGCGTCACGGAGCCGTTAGCGAAAAGGACGTGCGAATATGGACTGGAAGAGGGCTTGGGCGCATGGTTGGGGGTGGGATTGTGTGATGAAAGGATGAGTTCCAAGAGTTGTTTCCAGCCGCTTAAACGGCGCTAGGCCGGTTGGGGCAAGCCTCCACTGTCCCAAACGGGCTATAGCAGCGTCGCCAACGGCAAATGAGCTGAATTCCCGGCTTTAAGGCAATCTACATCAATCAACTCCCCCATGTCGCCCTTATTGCTACATATTAACCATCTGCCCTGGCCCTTGGCGAGGTCACGTTGACCACCCTCGCGCCCAATCGCCGCGCGTCTCATGCTAATCCAACCTGCTCGCGAGCCCCACCGTTCTCGATTCCCATCTTCTGTGCCTGGCCCAAGGGGCCTGTTCTGCCGCCTCTAGATGCAACTCCCCCAGGTAGTGGCTTGGCCCCATTGGCGTCCATCCTACCTTCTATGCATTCGATAGAAGCGTCTAGGGGGGGGTGTGATGGGGGCACTTTTAAAATGTATATAACCACCATGGCACCCTGGCATGGTCCTCCAGCACGCCAGCTTTCACCTTCGCTCATTTATTACCCCTCAAGATGAAGGGCTCTTCTTTTGCAAAGGCAGCTGCGCTGCTTTCTTCTTCTTTCGCCTCTCTGGCATACGCTCAGGAAACCTTTACCCATGCTGCTACCGGCATCACCTTTTGGCGCCAAGTGGTCAACAGCGCTGAGACTGCTGGTGGCCTCGAATGGGGAATGGCTCTCCCCCAAGCCTCGACTGGCAACAACCTGGACTACATTGGTTACATTGTGAGTCCGAAAAAATACATACACATGTTATCTGCCTAGTTTTGCCGTTTCTAACACCCCACTCCAGAAAGGTTCCCTTACCGCAGGCCAGGGTTGGTCCGGTTTGAGTCACCGTGGTGGCATGCCCGACGCCCTTCTTCTCGTGGCCTGGCCCGATAAGGATACTGTCAAGACTGGTTTCTACCATGCACCGTCAGTTGAGTTCCGACATGGTTATTAAACCCCCCAACTAACCCAGTGCAGTGGTTACGTAGCCCCTGATGACTACACTGGCAATGCCACTCTTGGTCAGATCTACCACAAGGTCTCTGACACCAACTTTGAGCTCGTCTACCTGTGTAAAAACTGTTGGGCCTGGAATCAAGGAGGTGCCGAGGGCTCTCAACTGCCAACTGGCGAGGTACAAGTCATTGGATGGGCTCAGCACGATAAGGTTTACTCAGGCACTTGGGCCCAGCACAACAAGGGCCAGGGTCTCTTTGGCGCTCAAGTTGCCCCAGCCAGGAACGCAAAATACTCTGACTGGGAAAAACTGGCCGTCGACCCCCCCGCTGGCTCACCTACACCCTCGCAACCTGGTGCCACTCCCACACCAACTGCAGCATGCCAGGGTTCTCCCGCTCCCAGCGGTTCCTACGACTACATCGTCATCGGTGGTGGCGCCGGAGGTATTCCCATGGCTGACAAGCTTTCCGAGTCTGGCAAGAGTGTTCTCCTGCTCGAGAAGGGCCCGCCATCTCTTGCTCGCTTTGGTGGAAAGATGGGTCCTGCCTGGGCTCTCAGCAACAACCTCACCCGCTTCGACATTCCTGGTCTGTGCAACCAAATCTGGGTCGATTCTGCTGGTGTCGCCTGTACCGACATTGACCAGATGGCCGGCTGCGTCCTTGGTGGCGGTGCTGCCGTCAACGCTGCGCTTTGGTGGAAGCCAGTCGATATCGACTTCGACTACCAATTCCCTGCTGGCTGGAAATCATCCGATGTCAAGGCCGCCATCAACCGCGTCTTCCAGCGTATCCCTGGAACCGACACTCCTTCGGTCGATGGAAAGCGTTACAAGCAAGAAGGCTTCAACCTTCTCTCTGGTGCTCTTGGTGCTGATGGCTGGAAGAGCGTCACTGCAAACAGCCAGCAGAACCAGAAGAACAGGACTTACTCCTATGCCCCTTTCATGTACGAGAACGGACAGCGACAAGGTCCTCTCGGTACTTACATGGTTTCTGCGCTCAAGAGGTCAAACTTCAAGCTCTGGACAAACACCATGGCTCGCCGTGTTATTCGCAGCGGCGGAGTCGCTACCGGTGTTGAACTCGAGAGCGGCGTTGGTGGCACCGGCTACTGCGGCACTGTCAACTTGAACCCGGGTGGCCGTGTCGTCCTTTCCGCCGGTGCTTTTGGAAGTTCCAAGCTTCTCCTCCGCAGTGGTATTGGACCAAAGGACCAGCTCAATGTTGTCAAGGGTAGCGCTCGCGATGGTGCAACTATGATCAAGGAATCTGACTGGATTAATCTTCCTGTTGGACAGAACCTGAACGACCATGTCAACACCGATCTCGTCATCAAGCACCCCAACATTTCCAACTACAACTTCTACGAGGCATGGAACACTCCTATCGAGGCTGACAAGAACCTGTACTTGAGCAAGCGCTCAGGTATCCTCGCTACCTCTGCCCCCAACATTGGTCCTGTTGCTTGGGAAATGATCAGGGGATCTGACGGAATCGACCGATCCATCCAGTGGACTGCTCGTGTTGAGGGCCCAGGACCCAATGACACCAACCACCTCACCATCTCTCAGTACCTCGGTCACGGTTCTACCTCGCGAGGTGCCCTCTCCATCAATGGTGCTCTCAACATGGTTGTCAGCAAGTCACCATACTTGAATAACCAGGCTGATACCGATGTCGTCATTGCGGGAATCAAGAGCATGATGAAGGCCATCAAGAAGAACCCCCAGATTGAGTTCCAGGTCCCCAATGTCAACCAAACTGTCGAGGAATACGTCGCCAGTCTGCCAAAGACCCCATCAGCACGTCGTGCCAACCACTGGATTGGTACCGCTAAGCTTGGGACTGATAGTGGACTTACTGGCGGAACCTCGGTTGTTGATTTGAACGCTCAGGTCTACGGAACAAGGAACATTCACGTCGTCGATGCTTCCATCTTCCCTGGGTGAGTCCCCATACACTACACTTTTCTTGATCCACAAACTAACCTGATGCAGTCAAATCTTCACCAACCCTACTTCTTACATCATCACCGCCGCAGAGCACGCAGCTGCCAAGATCCTTGCTCTTGGTCCTAGCACTGGAGGTGGATCGTCCACTTCATCTAAGCCAGTCAGCTCTGCTCCCGCCTCTTCAGCCAAGCCAACCAGCGCTACTCCCACCAAGTCATCGGCCAAGCCTACTCCAACCGCCGTAGCGAGTGCCTGGCAACAGTAAGTGACTCCAGTGTCTTTGAATATCGAACATAAACTTACACGGCAGTAGATGCGGTGGCCAAGGCTGGACCGGCCCTACAGCTTGTGTCAGCGGATACAAGTGCACATTCAACAACAATTTCTACTCTCAATGCACCCCCGCATAAGAGATATTTAGCCATTCCCTAGCATGAAAATTGCAGGGACGTCGTACATATAAGGCTTCATCTTTTTTGTATATATCTTCATTTCTCTATAATCGAATCATTCAGACCGTTACAATTCAAATGCCTCATTCTTGCTCCAAAGCGATATTCCAGACTTGGCAATGCGTCCAAGAATAGAACGAGTTGCGTATAGTGCGCACGTGACCAATACACCCTAGCGTGAAACTCGTTGACCACAACACTCCCCCGCATGCTCGTCCTCTCTTTCATCGCCATCATCCGTGTTGTTGTTCACTCTCTATTGCTCTATAACTTCTGTAGTCGCAAAGCATCCCAAGTCCCTAACTCCCCAAACAAACATGCCATCTAATTGCCTCGCAACCTCTGCCAAGCGTGACAACGACGCGTTAATCAATACAACAGAGCTCTTCCACCAACGCCTGCAGACAAGCCCCAAAGATGACTGGGAGCGCCTAAAGCTTTGCTGGGGCTACATGGACTGCGGTGATTGCCACAGAAGTCAAGGTCATTGCGGATGGTGCGCAATTGTACGTTTTCCTTCGTCTTCTTCTTCTATATCCCCTTGCCATGTATTTCACAGAAAAGAAAAACATATGAATGATTTGACACAATTGAAAAAAGACTAATGTTAGAACATTTGAGTAAATAGTCTTCAACATGTCTTCCCCTCCCTCTAGACGATGCCTTTTCCAGAGCTTTTCCCCTTCTCTCACCTATCCGCCACCATTCCATCTGCGCGCTGGGGTCCGAGCGGTTTGAACTGCGGACTGCGGGGCTGGGGTGTCAGGTTTCTACCATTACCTTTTTGGCGTCCCTCATCACGATTTTCGCGACGCTGTTTGGGGTGCTGGTGCTCTATGGGGTTTCCAAGTGTGTTGGCTGGGTGGTTACAGGTGTTAAGGCGAGTCGTGGTGGGTATGTCGTGTTTGAGGATGGGAGGAGCGGGGTGTGGGTGAGGGAGAGGGAGGGGTGGGAGAAGTGGTGGAGGAGGGTTAGAGGGAAGGAAAGTGAGGGGGAGGTGCAAGAGGTGGATGAGGGGACGGGACGGAGGGGGTGGTTTTGGTGGAATGGGAGGAGTGAGGAGAGAAGGCCGTTGCTACAATGAAGATGTATACGGTATCGTATGTCCATCAGGACATTTTCCTATGTATGGAGAAACAGTGGTAATATGCCTGGGGTATCCGTGAAGGTGACGACTGTGCCACACTTTCACTCTAACTCGAATTCACCTCCGATATTTACGTCACTGGATGCTCTCATAGCTACCCTGTGCACTGTTTTTCTCTCTCTCACTATGAGTTGGTCCGCAAACGCTCTCACCTCACCCAGTGTTCAAGCTTCTCCTAGTAGGATATAATTCTTCTACCGGTAGCGAGTATATCTCCCACCATACTTTCTCATTCAAAATTTCTCTACGACCCATTATCAACTACCAAATATGGCTAAGAAGACCCGACCCAACCGCCCCACTACGTCCCGAAGCGTCAACAAAACTACTCCTACAGACACTCGTGTCACTGTTGATGCAATGTCGGCCTCGAGCTCTCAGTCTTCGTGTGAGGATACAAGCTTCTCAGACGACATGACTTCACTCCACTCTCGTGAGCGTCTGACGCCCACATCACCATCAGTCTTCGATGTCGAGAGTGACAGCGAGGGTGACAAGAAGCGTGATGACTTCAGGTCTTCCATTCGCAGCTTCACGCGACTCGCAGAGGCTTTCGTATCCCCATCGTCTTCCGCTGATAAGATTGCTATGGTCGAACAGTTGAAACAGCGTATGACTGAGATGAAGGAGAAGTATGCTATGGCTTTCAATCTGCCTCTGTCTGAGCTGGAGAAGAAGCTTGCTATGAATCCCGATCAGATCGAAGATTCTGACGATGAAGATTTTGATCTGGAAGACGAATTATTCGAGGACGAGGAACAGGATACATTGCTGGCGAATTATTCGATTCAGAAGACGGAATCTGCATCTGCTACCGAGAAATCACCGGCAAGCCGCGGGTACATCAGTGTCCCACTTCAGATGCCTGTTGCAGCTGCCCTCGGTCGAGAGCTAACCAACCTTCGGGCTGCCGAAGCAGCTCAACACCAGTCACAAAAGTATCACGAAGCGGAGCCGATCGGTGGTGATGTCAAGGCCTCGATTATCTCCCGTCTCAAGAAGAGTTCCAATCTCGAGGGCACTTCGAAGCCTGTCAAGAAATCCCCATCGGCTACTGCGAAGTCTTCGAACGCCAAAGACGCTCTCATTGCGGATTCCGCAACCGTTCACGCCCAGTCGCTCTCAGACAAACCGAACAAGACCCTGCGCACCACATCGGCTACCATACCGCTCACAGTTTGGTTTGACAACCTCGTCGATTTCACCTATGAGGAAGCATCCAACTTCATCCACATGTGTGGTGGTAGTCCGAGCGCAGCCTGCCATCTATACCATAGTGTTGATGATCCCAATCAGCTCAAGCAGGCGGTAAACAACTGGCTGTCTTCACACCAGAATGGCCATGACAACGGAGCAGCCAAGTATCGCAAGGAAGCTAACAAGACTAGTGTCAAGCAAGAGTATTGTAAGAGTGAGGTGTCTGATGACACTGCCCACTCTGCATCGGCTCACTCGGAGAAGGATCACCGCGGTGCTGCAGATGACGCATGTGCGGGCGCTGTTTGGGGTACCAAGACTGTTATCCAGCATGTTCATGATTGCCTGAATACATGGTGTAACGGTCGCTGCGTTGAGGAACTTGCTCAGGAAGCCGATTCGACCACTGCTTACCCCGACTCTGCTCAGTTAGAGAAGGATCACCATGGTGATGCAGATGGCCCATTTGCGGACGATGCTTGGCATACCAATGCTATTCAGCATGCTGATACTTGCTGGGATTTTGGCTGTTACGGCGAATGCGTTGAGCGTCTTGCTTATAAAACCGATTCAACTGCACCTGATGAAGGCCTCCGGGGCTCGACCGATGGCGAGGCCATTCCTGCTTGCGCGCCTAGATCGAATAGCCCCAAGCCCGCTCGTCGGGATATCAACCCAGAAGACTCCGACCCCAAGACCACCTCTGTTCCCGACGAGCAGGACATCCCCGACGACATCCCCGATGACTCCACACCCGAGGTTCCAGAGCCAACCAATTACATTGTCACCTACTGGGCCACCATAGAGCACAACGACCAAACCGTGCACATCCCCATCGATAGCAGCAACGTTTCCGGCTCCGAGAAATCCATCATCGAAGGTAGCGCTGGCATGAACAAGGTTTGGAAGTGGGTCCAAGAGAAGGGTCTCACGGACAAGGTCAGCCTTCAGGATGCATTTGACTTGGCCAAGGATATGCAGGTTGGTTCTCCTTCGGTTGTTGAAGAGTCCTGTGAGGAAGAGAGCGAGGGATATGCAGGTTCTGCTAAGCCTGAGAGCGAGGCAGACGATGATTCAGAGTATGTTTCTTCTTCTTTTGGTTCTTCTTCTTCTTCTTCTGAGAGTCATCGTGGTGAGTCGCCTGAGTCTCGTGCTTGGGCTACTTCGGGAACTATCCTTGGCTGGGCTGCATAGGTGGTTTCTCCCAATCTTCTCATTCAGGCTGACTTGTGGCCGGTATGCGATCGATGCATGTACGGTCGAGGCATGGTTTCTTTTGTCAGTTGGACTTTTTTCATTCAAGTATAGGTGATTGGCTAGCAAAGAGCAAGCCCATCGGTATCTGCGATTGATTTTCTTGTTTTCGAATACTCGGGTACTGCTGAGATGCATGCATTGGTGGCATACCTGGGAACGGAATCTTGCCGGCACGAGACAAGGGAATTTTATCTCAGTGCAGGACTTGTAGCTAGATATTCCAGATAGTGGAATATATATACAAAACCTTAAACTACAGTAGTGTTTTTCGATGTGTGGCAGTGTTGGTGATACTAAAACCGAACTTTTGCTTTCACTCATATATATAAATCTGCCATGTTTACACTGCAGTGAACGCTACATTTGTAGATCAAAGACTCGCTGTCCTTGATCCAGACTTTTTGAAACCTGTGTCTTACGCTATGATAGTTATATGTGTTTGATTGTTTGACAACCAGAGATATGACATTCAATGAACATTGCAAAGATGACTCAAACTAAATGATTCAGATTAAGTTACGGTTATAGAAATGCGTACACCTCCCAGCCAGATACTCTATCTTTAAACTTTCACCTTGAGATTCAACCCTGTGATGCTCAATCGACCCAAAACTAAAATAGAGCTACCCAACAACACGGCCGTAGCCGCAAACAGCTGTGCACTCAGGTAACCTCCACCGTAGTTCTGTATCAAGGCCCCTGCAATCGGAGGTCCGATAAAAGTACCCAAACCCACAATAGCAAGGCCTTGGCCATTTCTTGTCCCTACTTTACTCATATCCTTTGTCAAAGTGGTCATGACTGCTGGGAAGATGCCTTGGAAGCCGGCGACGAAGAAGCCATAGCACACAGCCCAGGCATATAGTCCTTGCTCGCTCTTGACCAGAGGCCAAAAGAACAAGACGAGTGTGGAAACGAAGCAAAAGGGAATGAGGATATTGTACGGCCCCGTGTACTTGTCCGCAAACCAAGATGGCACCAGACGACCGAGCACGCCAATGCCGTTGAGAACCAGCAAGACATTGATCGAGGTCTCGTACGGCAATCCAAGAATATCAACTGCAAAAGAAGAGATGTAGTAAAATGCAAAGTACTGGCCCAGCGCAATGAGAAAGACACCCAGCAAAAACACACTATACGGCAACTCCGCAAAAGCACTAAGCTCCAGCACCGGCCCCGACTTGCGCGGCGGCAGTCTGGGCTTCAAGAGACAACTGTAGCCCGTACCCACCGCCAGCATCATAAACCCCATTACCCTTACCGTCCACGGAAACCCAATGCGCGGCAGCAACTGCCGTGCCACAGTCGGATAAACAAGGCCACCCGTCGCACTCCCCGACGCCATAATCGCAAGCGCCACACTCCTATTCCGCGCAAAATACGTGCTAACGAGACTCAGCACCGGTGCAAATTGCATACCATTGCCCACACCCGTCATCAGGCCTTGGGCGAGGAAAAACTGCCAGTACCGCGTGCACAAACTCGTCATGAACATGCCCAGCGCGGAGACCAGCATGCCGGGGACGGCGGACCAGTAGAAGAAGCCTGCGTCGAAGAGGCGGCCAGTGAGCATGCCCAGGGCAAAGTGGCCCAGCATTTGGAAACTGCCGATCCAGGATACAGCGGAGGGTTCTAGGCCCAGGTTCAGGGTGTAGTACTGCTGGAAGACGCCGAAGGTGGCGATCATGCCCCAGGTGTTGAAGACGACGAAATGGCCGCAGAGGGCTTGGGTCCAGGCTTTTGTGCCACCGTCTGGGGGTGGGCCTGGGTCGATGATGTCGGCGTTGGAGCGAGCGGTGATGGTTTTGGCGAGGTCGAGAATAGTTTGCTTTGTGCGTGAGGCGTGGGATGTGTGGGTTGGTACTCTGGCCATGTCGGTTATTTCGGGTTGAGATTGCGGTTGCGAGAGAGCTTTGATGGAAGCGTAGGCTAGGGCATGGTCGTGTTGGGCAGTAGTAGTAGTAGTAGTAGTAGTAGTAGTAGTAGTCAATTGCTCGTGGGATGGAGCCAGGGCTTTCTCGACGTCATGATTTGATGGCATTGTAAATGAACGGTGGGCTGGTCATCAAGTCCACGGGGGAGAGGAAGTGAAGGAGCGAGAAGTGTTAGTATCGAATACGATTAATAATGTAGAATTGAGAAGGTAAAGAGGAATTCTAGTCACTCGGCGATTTATCCGACGGTGAGCCCCGTGGGTAGTTAGTTAGTGGATCCTCCCCGCCCATCGGCCGCGGAAACTAGTCGAAATCCGATTGTGGGTGAGGGCTAGTGGCATTGGTGGGGATAAAAAAAAGGCGCTGGCCATGGGTTGTGCTAAAACCCGGCTATACCACTACATCTCTAATACCTACTGCCTCGAGCATGAATGCAGTTTGGACTTGGGGGTATCCAGTCGTTCTTAGTTTTACACATACTGAACTCCCCATACTTCTCGTACTTAATTGATAGGATAATGACTGGCGTCATAGCACAATATAGAGTACATACTTACAAAGTTGCGCTCGTAGTGCGCGAATCGTGCATTACGGGGCTTGGCACGCCCTACATGTTGAGACAACGCCCCCAATGGACTCTGTACTTTGGAAACATGACGCTTGAACGTTGCCACTATGCAGAGCTCAGCGATCGGTATGGCATCACTTGTCTTCATCTCGATTGGTTACCCACAAAACTGCCTTGGATCTGTATTCTCAAGTTGGCCTTTCTTTTTCGCCTGAGCATTCGATGGACATATTCAGGATTTTACTGCATTTGTCATGTTTGCGACATACTCTAGTGCACTAAAATCTTCTCTTGTACCTAGTATATTTTACTGGATAAATATGAAAACCACACGCCAGCTGCCTAGCAGCCCTTTTGTAGTACGACTACTCTAACATTGACTTGCCATACAGATGCTATGCACATACCGTCTATGCTCTCTACAAATAAACTAATTAAGCCTTGGTGGCGTGCTCTTCGAACAACTTCTTCTGCTTTTCCCACTCCTTCTTCATCTTCTTCAAGCGTGCCTTGGGCACATCAGCGCCATCCTTGTCCTTTGTCGGCAAGCCCTCGTCATCCCACGCACTATATTCCTCAGTCCTGAACATATCCTTGGGGTTAATCTTGGCTTGTTCTGCAAGCTTGGCCTTCTTCTCGACCTCTTCGCGCTCGCGCTTCAGCTTCGCTTCCGCTTTCTGGCGGGCGATTTCCTCCTTTTGAGAGCGTGCGGCTTGCAGTTCGGCATCAACAGGACGCACCATTGCGGGTGCGTTCTCGCGATCTTCAAGGTAAATGCCGAGATCCCAGAGATGAGTGTCACGCAGCTGGTCGCAAAGGTCTAGGTAGTCTTTTGCCGGAGCTTTCTTCTTGGCCAGGTTTTGCAGATTCTCCTGGAATGTGGATAGGACCTCCGCGTACGGGAGTGCTTCGATATCCTGCTTCTGTGTGGGGTTATGTTGCGCAATGATGGATTGCAAGACCTCATCCGAGAGGTCGCCGGCGATGGCGTGTTGACGCACTTCGTCGCGTTCCCGTGACACGGCGTATACGTGCTCTTTGGCTGCCGAGGGAATGTCGATACCTGCCCAGCCAATGCCGCCGTCGTATGGGTCTGCTGAACCGTCCAGTCCGAATATGCGGACAATGCGAGTGATATAGCGGGCGACATCGAACGACACGGAGTCACTGAGGCCAGCCTTGTCTGCAGAGTTGTAGTCTGTAATGAGTCCCGAAATTGCGCGCATGGCCGTAGGGGTATCGAACGAGTCGGCCAGCGCGCTGTGAACCTTTTGCTTGGCAGATTCGAACGATTTGAGAACCTTGTCATCTTCGGCGCCTGTCGAGCCAATGTTGGGATTCACTTCCAGATCACGGACTTTGTAGAAGAAATTGGTGACGTAACTCTCCCATGATGATCCAGACTTGCGCATGTCTGGAGTAATTTCGACACCATCATGCCAGCCTCCGAGCAAGAAGATGATGCGCAGACTGCGCGCATTCCAGTCGCCGCGACTCAAAGCCTCGCGAATGGTGGTAAAGTTCTTCAGGGACTTTGACATTTTAGAGCCGGATATTGATAAGTGGCCCATGTGAAGGAAGTAGTTCACCCATTGGGTTGGGCGCCCCTCTTGTGACCAATATGCTTCCGACTGGGCCAGCTCATTGTCGTGATGCGGGAAACAAAGATCAATACCGCCACTGTGAACGTCCATCTGTTCGCCCAGGACCGCTGAGGCCATAACGGAGCACTCGATGTGCCATCCTGGTCGGCCAGGACCCCAGGGGCTTGGCCACGCCGGCTCACCAGGTTTACTTGACTTCCAGAGAGCAAAGTCTGATTCGTTTCGCTTTTCCGACGTCTTGACTGACGACAGTGCGCCTTCGCCATCGGCTTGCAGATTAGTGTCGCCCCTGTTCCATGGCTCTAGACGCGCATAGTGGTTGCCTTCTCTCTTTTCAAAGGCCTCAATATCAAAGTAGACTGATCCATCAGAAGTGCTGTAAGCCATGCCATTCTTGATGATCTTTTCCACAAAAGAGACAATCTGGTCTCCATACTCGGTTACTCGCGTGACTACATCTGGGTCTAGCACATTGAGAGCTCGCATATCCTCATTGAACCGAGCCTCGTACTTTTTAGTAAGAGTTGTGAAAACGGTGTGGTCACTGGCATCTATAGACGAGCCGTATAGGGAGTCGAGATAGGGTAGCAGGACATCTTCAGCACCAGTATAGAATACTTCAATGTCTTCAGGTGTCGACTTTGATGGGGCTAGCAATGAAGTGACTGCAGTACCAGCTGTTCGAAGGTGCATCTTGATCTTGGCTTCCTTGTCACCCGCAGGACCGACGCCATCGACTGACTTGCCTTGGATGACGTTTGCGTACTTTTGAGCAGACTCGTCGTTGAAGCTGCCAATGGTCACGTCTTCGCTGAGAAGGGGGAGATTCTTCTTGACGTATGCATCAAAGGCCTTTATAGTGGTGTTGATGACCTCTTCTGTGACAGTTGGGTTGTCTGCTTTGAACTTGGCGAGAAGGTGCTGTTGACGGCCCCGGAGAATGATCTTGTCATCGACATCTGTAATATTTTGAACAAATTTGACATTGTATCCGTAGTAATGGGCCAATATCCTTCGGAGAATGTCGTTGGTAACGTAGTTGCGAGCATGGCCCAGATGAGCATCATCGTAGACTGTCGGCCCGCAGCTGTACCATTTGACCTCTTTGCCTTCCGGGTCAATAGGAACGAAATCGTTCTTTGATCTTGTCAACGAGTTCCACACTTTGAGTTTGGCGGGGCTGGAGCCCTGTGGCTGTTTCCATGGTGGCTGGGTGCGGGCTGGAGTCGCCATGGCGGCGAGACACCTGGGAATGCGCTGACTCTGGTTTATTACCCGACTAGTTTTGGAGAGCAGAAGTGGGGAAGACGACTTGACGGCGCGGGACAAAGACCGGAACGCCAGTACCATCAATGTGACGAGACACTGTGGTGACAAGGAGTGACAGTGCAGCAATCCAAGTGAGTAAATAGAGAAACAATGAGGCCAGGTGTAAGTAGATTGGGTTGCTGCTTACGGGTGAGTCAATCAGCCCGTAGTAGGGGAGTGTCACGTTGTGTGGGTGGTCTCTGGCCGAACCGTCCATAATCCCTGTTAACAAAATCTTGGCACTATCAGCCAATCACAGCGCCCAAAGCTCCCCGCCGAATATCTCTGTGCAGATGCGACGCTTCCATTGCGAATTTGCATCTTCTTGTACATTCACCTCGTCGTCTTTGCAGCTTGTTCCCCGCGTCGTCGCTGCACGTCTCGCCTGCAAAAGTCACAATGGCGCCTGTTCCCTCGCCCTTCCTTGATCCGGGAGCGTATGCGACAGCGGACAATCTTGGTATCCTGCAATTGCGCCGTGATCACCTCATCCCAGCCCTCCTCAAGCCCAACGCCGACTCAGACTATGCTGAGGGGAAAGTAGAGAACACGCGATTTGGTTCTTTTCCACATAGCACGCTTGTCGGCCAACCCTGGGGCACGCAGATTCTCGCATCCGTCGTCGACACTGGATCGCGTGGCAAGTCCAAGAAGAGGAAGAGAGATGGCAAAGATGAGAGCGAGGGCACAGTGGCTGCAGAGCCAGAAGTGGCCAAGAGGGACATTGTCAAGGCGGCGACAGCGAGCAGTGGATTTGCGCATCTGATACCGCCCACGCCAGAGATGTGGACCTTGTCTCTTCCACATCGCACCCAGGTTGTATACACGCCCGACTACAGCTACATTCTACAGAGGTTGCGCGCAAGGCCAGGCGACCATATCATCGAAGCGGGCGCAGGAAGCGGAAGCTTCACACACGCTGCCATACGCGCAGTCTACAATGGCTACCCGGGCGCCCGCGACGCCCTCGACGAGCCCAACAGCGAAGAAGAAAACGCAGTAGGCATGTTCAAGAAGCGAAAGCGCAAGACGCGAACCGGCGGCGTCTACAGTTTCGAGTATCATGAACCACGCGCAAAGCAACTTCAAGCCGAAATCAAAGACCACGGCCTCGAACCCCTCGTCACAGTGACCCACCGTGACGTCTACAACGACGGCTTCGGTCTGGACAACTCGCCAGGTCCAGATGCTGACTGCATCTTCCTCGATCTCCCTGCCCCGTGGCACGCACTAAAACATCTCACGCGCTCCCCTCCCTCCACCGCCGCCCTGAACTCGGTAGCCACCGACCCATCCACACCCACCTCTGGAGACAACGATCCTAATACACCTATGGCGCAACCCACAGACACAAATCGCAAACCCTTTTGCACTCCCCTCAATCCCCGTAATGCAGTTCGCATCTGCACCTTCAGCCCATGCATCGAGCAAGTCACCAAGACCGTCTCAGCCCTGCGCACCCTCGGCTGGCAGGAAATCGACATGGTGGAGATCAACGCAAAGCGACTCGACGTGCGTCGCGAGCGTGTGGGACTGCAGGAAGAAGGCGTGAGAGGTGGGAATGCGCATCCTGCAAACGTGCAAGAAGCAGTGCAACGCCTGCGCGACGTAGAGGGCCGTGCCGCTGTCTTCCACAGCATGCAGCGCGAGAAGCAGGAGGAGGTGATGCGCAAGGCTGAGGCGAAGAAGAGAGGCGAGAACATCGACGGCGATGCAGATAGTGGTCCTCGCAAGGGTAAGAAGAAGATGGAGGGCGTGCCCCCGAGCAAACACGACCGGCTGGCACAGACCAAGAAGGACTTTGAGACAAGGCCCTTGTACAAGGAGGGCAGGCTGGTCCATCGAACAGAGCCAGAGCTCAAGACGCACACTTCTTATCTTGTTTTTGCTGTCTTGCCCAGAGAGTGGTCCAAGGCGGACGAAGAAAAAGCTAGGAGGAAGTGGGGATGACGTTGAACATTGCAACGCATTACGAGGATATCGTCAGTAATCAAAAAGATACCCATTGTTGTGCTAAAGTGATATGTATATACAGACTACCTTGGCATCTGAACTATGAACCTTTGATTATGAAGCATCTATGTTTTCCAGAAAATAGCTATGAACCCGACATGATCAAAAAAGAAAAGAAGGCACACCTGGCAATGGCCGCCCTTCATCCCCATAACGCATCCTTGGCCCTATGACTACCCGCTCTTCCTGGAGGCGTACTGATGACGTGTGTCCAGGCTTCATCGCCATCTATGAACAACCGATACGTGACAAAGCTCTGTTCACCATGCTCGGGCGTCGTGATTTCAACGGCGCCAAACTTGCTGTTGCCATCGGGAAGATACTTCAAGCACACATCCTCATCGTCAATCTCCTTGTAAGTGCGGAAGGGGAGGTAAAACATGCTCAGCGGGCTAGTGCTGAACTCATGTACCGTGGCGCTGATGGGCCATTTGCCGTCTTTGGGCGGTGGGAACGAGGTGGCAGCGAACTCATGGCGATCGCCGCTTAGTACCACCATACCAATATCATGTGTAGATGACATATCCCATGCAGCTTCCAGAATCATCCTACGTTCAGACAAATGCCCACCCCACGTATCTTCGGACCCAAACTGCCAATTCTTAGTAAAGGGTGTGCCAGTGACGATGAATTTCCAGTGCACGCCGGCTGGCGGCTCCTTCTTGATCCATGAAAGAAGATCAGATAGCTGCTCGGCACCCAGCATAGTCTTGGAAGCGTCCCAGGGGTCTTTGTTAGCAGGACTGCGATATCGGCGAGTGTCCAGGAGGAAAAACTCGGCAGGACCTTGAGTAAAGGAAAAGTAAGTGACACCCGGGCGATGTGGAGGTGGATTGGGAGCACCGTTGTAGTGTGTAAAGGCATCGTAAGCTGGGACCGCCACACCCGTCATGTTGCTATTCCACTGGATATCTAGTCAGCAGGGTAAACATAAGGGGAATAGATGGCGTAGCTACTAACATCATTCTGAATCTCATGATCATCAATCACATGGATCCAGGGGAGATTCCGACTGACTGCTGGCCAGGACGGTGAGGAGTATACTTGACGGTACTCGCGTCTGTAAGTCTCGGCGTCGCTGCCAGTACGGTGTGGGACATCAACGTAGATAAAGTCACCGAGGAAAAGCATAAAATAAGGTTTGAGCTCGGGAAGCCAGCGTGCAAGGTGCTTCATGCCCGGGAACTCGAGGGGGTGCTGAAACGGCGTGTATGGGACGCGGGGTTTGATGCAGCTCGAGTGGACGAAAGTGTATTTGTTGTCTTTGAGCAGTGAAATGTGACCTGGCCGTGGTGCGGTTGTGAAGGTACCAGTAATGTTTCCACGCGACGTCTCGACAATGTACTCGTAAGCCAGGTCGGGGCGTAGATGGTCGAGGCTGAGGACAGTGGTAAAGTCGGTCTCGTTGGTGAGCCAGTAGTCTGGTTGGCTCGCGCGGTGTGTTTTGTGCATCCAAGAGCGTTTGGCTTCGTCGATGGAGCGATAGAGAACCCTCACATCAAAGGCGAAAGGCTCTCTGACCAGAATCTTCGCACTATTCTCCGACACGTATCCGACACGGGCAAAGCTCGCGTCATGGCACTGGTGGAGCAACGGCGCGCGATAAACGACATCTAAGGCCATAGCAATCAGGGCTATATTGATGCTAAAGGTGATCCAGCTCCATAGCGCCGACGAAGGACTCGGGAGCCCAGTGAGGAGAGTGCGCAGTACCTTGGGCTCCCTCTCCTCATACTGCACGGTTTCCTGAACATCTAGCTCCTGCAACGGACCCTCGTCTGCGCCGTCAATGAGCTTGATGTCGTCGCTCGAGTCATCGCTCTTGCCACCCATAGTTTCCTTAACGATAATGTCAAGCTCATCGGATATGATCTTGTACTGGGCTGTATCCTGGAAGCTCGTGAAGAAGGATGGGATGTAGACAAGCGTGAGTGCGGTTGCGAGTGCGGGTACAATCTACATGGTATCCTGTCGCGTTAACATGACTTTGACAAGGTGGATTTATGTACCAGTCATCTGGCGTAGTGCTATACTGACAGTTGTAGGTATCTGCGGCCAAGTCAGTCGTTTTGCTACAGTTGCAGTGTCTGCGGGTTATGCTCACCCATCGCAAGAAGATCCATATGCTCAGGCGGAGGGCCAGAGAGCTGATGAGGGTGAGGATGTCGCTTGCCGAAGCCATGGTGCTACGCGACAAGCATCACTTGGCAGTAACCAAATGAGGAGAGAAATAGGAAGAATGGGCGCGTCTTAAGCTTTGTTCAAGTGCATCAGCCGCGTTCGATGCAAAAGCACCGCGCAATCACCATGACGTCGTTTGGCGCTAACGCCCTTTTTAGCGCGACGACTAGGGGGGTGAGGGTGGGAGAGCTCGCACCTCATGCAGTCATCTACACATGTATACACAACAACATCGAAAAATTACCGTTTCTGTTCCCATCAACCCCCCAAGATTGGAACAATTACGGCATAAGATTATCCGACTGGCCCGTCAGCAAGGGCCCTGTTCACTAAACTCCAGATGACAGTCCATCGTGGTGCTACTCTTACCTATATCTCAGCGTCGTTGGATAAGAAAAAAGAGAGCGAGGACCAGTGTGCATGTACGGTACATACACGTGCGTTTGAGCCAATAGCCGTTTGATCGCATACACTCTCCAAGCTTGATGGGAAGCCCTGAAGCCCCAGCTGCAATTGAGGCAGTGCAAGAGCAATGCTATCATCCATTTGGTTAATGGCACCCCGCTATCATACATAAGCGACCAGCATCCGCTAGGCTGTACTGGTACTTCTCAGCTCACCATCCTCAGCCTTATCCTATACTCTCCCTCTCTCCCTCTCTCCTACCAATACTCCTGTACCTCCGACATGCGACTAATCAACACGAGTACCTACAACTTTGAAGAATTTATCGGTCGTGACATCCCCCCGTATGCCATACTCTCCCACACATGGGAGACCGAAGAAATTACTTACCAAGACTACGCCAATGATGCTTGCCAGCACTTCAAAGGCTTTGCAAAGGTTATGAAGACACTCGAGATAGCTGAAGCGAGTGGCATCAGATATGCGTGGGTAGATACGTGCTGCATAGACAAGAGAAGTAGCGCGGAGCTCACTGAAGCCATCAACTCCATGTACCTCTGGTACCAGCGCAGCGAAGTCTGCTACGCCTTTTTATCCGATCTCGAGGCTGATGCAGATCTTCAGGCAGACATGCCACACTGCCGTTGGTAAGTCAACCTCGCGTGACTTGACATATAAATACAATTGCTTAATGCAAATGCACTCATATATAGGTTTACTCGTGGTTGGACGCTACAGGAGTTCGTTGCCCCTCGCACTGTCTACTTTTATGATTGCGATTGGCAATATAGGGGATCTAAGGAAAGTCTGTCCACCATACTATGCCAGATATCGGGCATAGAAAGAGATATCCTCTTGCATCAGCGCTCACTCCGTTCAATATGTGTGGCCCAAAAGATGTCATGGGCTTCTTCTCGGCATACAACGCGAATCGAAGATGCGGCCTATTCATTACTCGGCTTATTTGGCGTCAACATGCCATTGCTCTACGGCGAAGAAGAGCGTGCTTTCCTCAGGTTACAAGAGGAGATCATCAAATCGTCTCCTGATCTCAGTATACTCGCATGGGCGGATTCTACAAACCAAGGCATCAGAGAACATAGCTCGGAACTACACTGTGGCGTCCTGGCAAAAAGCCCTGCTCAATTCTCCACGGCTGGGTCGATGTGTGGCTCACTGGGCGTCGATTCCGTGTCAGAGTCTTCAGTCACCAATCGGGGTATAAGATTATTCAATTCGCTTTGCATCATCAAGGACTCGATTATCATGAGGAGTACGTACATCATGCCTTTGTATTGCAAGTCTGCCTCCGGTGCCGAGCTTGGTATACGCCTTGAAAAGGTCGGAGATGAGATGTTCCTCCGAAACGACCCGTGTAATATTGTCGAATATAAGATGTCCAGCTATATAATCCCTCATCGATACATTCATCTTGCAACCAGAGTCCCGTATTCTTTGAGTGTGGATAACGAGTCTGATCAGTATGTCTCTGGCAAATCTCTCACCAGTCTTCGCACTCAGGTTCTCGCATTGGAGTTCCCAGATTTTGTTGGCATCTTTGACCATTGGGGCATATTCAACCACTGCAATGGGACTTTTTTTGAGACTTCTGAGCGGCCAAGGGAGTGGGTCGCTTTACGCTTTTCGGTCTACCTCAATCCCAGTGTTGTGGGAACTGACGGAATTGAAACTCGAGCGCCCGAAAACACCACCATCAATTGCATGCTTTTCATCATAGGTTGGACGTCCAATGCGGAAAATCACATACGTCACTACCTCGTAAATGTTGCAGAATGTGCCGGCACCGTAGCAGAGGTGCAAAGAATTCTCATATTGCGGAAATATGACGATTCCCTGGCCCAAAATGTCTTAGATCACTTCCTCCCTAACTCTTCTTCCATAAACCTGCATGTTCCCGGCTCAAATAGAATACATCGTATCTATATCGAATATACAAGAGTGGTGGACACTGCAATATACAGTCGACCATTCTGGAAGCTCAAGATTAATTCCGTTTAAACAATACCTACCCTTCTTCTCTCAAGAACTACTTTCAAAAATTTAGTCATCTATCTTACTTTCTATAGCCTATTTTTATAAAAGTAGCTACTAATGTTTACAAGAAAAGCGTTCTAGCTATAGTTTAAGAGATATATTTTACTTTAGCTAGTGGTGTTTATTCTTTAGAATATGAAGAGAATTAAGGAAAGTGGTAGCCTAGATAATAGAGTAATAGTTATGTCTTTGAGATTTAGAGTAACTATGGCTTGATTTGACTTTGTTATCTCTGTTTGCTATATAGCGTATCAGATCAATTATCTGAGAAAAGAATGGCAGGCCACAACCCGAACTGCTGGAATCGGGTATCAAAAAAAACTGACTTTGCAGTCAAATTAGAGTAACTATGGGTATTGTATCTAGTGTACCTTAGATTTCTACAGATGATTATATTATATCCTATCTAGTAGTTTAGAACACAGAAGTATTCCCTATATATTCTTCAACTCCGCTTATTTCTATTGCATATATTGTGCACTCGGCTTACACATGGCGTTCGTATTGAGGCGTTTTCACAGAATTTAGTATAACAATATCAATTCCAACTACTATATTATAATCTCTTAGCCAACCCTACCTCAATTTCGCGTTGCTGCACTGGCAGATACGTCTTTCTCGTTGTCGTTTCTACAGTCTGCGCTAATTGAGTCTCCACTGGACCATTCAAGCACCCATGGCACAAATTCGCATCCGGATAGCGGCGAGCAAGCAGTTTTTCGCAGACCAATTTATATAGCTGCCAAGCCGTCTGGAGAAAGATCAAATCAGCCACTAGGACAGCTAGTAATAAGCTGCCTGGTGAACGCATTCGGGGAACTTGGCAAAGGTACTGAGCGGAGATAACTGAGGGCGTCACGGATAAGGTACCAGTAGCCGTCTCATCGTAGCTCTGGGTCGCTGGTCCTGGTTTTGCATTGGCAGATTTCTCCTGTGCAGATGCGAGGTTCGAAGTAAACGACCGCAATAGCTCCACATCTGTTAACATTGTTGGCTCTTTCGGAGTCTGACCTAGATCAGCGAGGACCATGGCGTATGCTGCTTTGGCCAGGTTGCTCGCTGGAACCCATATGTTGGGGTACACGCGCAGACGGTCGAGTTCTGCTATGGTTGGGTGACTGATCGGTTTCGGGAATTCGTAGTCACCTGGCTGCGTAGCCACGATGAACTGCGCGTGGAAGTAGCCAAAGAAATCTTCCTCTTCGATTCTGGCACCAGGCTCAGGGAAAAAGTAAAGAGAGCCTTTGCGAGTTGGCCACTCATCTCTGCTTCTGCTGCGTGTCTCATTCTGCATGCCAGCGGTGACCTCGATCCAGTATGCAGACATTAACGACTCGCCCCACCACAGACTTGCTCGTGTCATCTGATCACGACTCAATATTCCTGAACCCAGAAACTTTTCTATTTGCGAAAAGGAGACGGTATCGGGTACGTAGTCATAAGACTGGGTGACGTTGAGGAAGACCGGCCCGGTGGCTGTGGATATCTGGCATGTTACAGATGTGCGCACACTCGCGCCCCATTCCGTGAATGCCAGTTGGTTAGCCGCGCGGTCTTGGCTTTCAAGATCAATCTGGATCGAGTTTACAACGCAGTTCTCAAGTACATTGCCAAGGTACGTTAGCGAAGGCGAGATCATTCGTTGTGGCTCCTCTTGCCACACGCTTGTGAGCGTATACATCAGCGCCGTCTGGTTCGTGAAGAATCGCGTGTTTACAGGCAGTGAGCTCGGTTGGCATATTGGCCTCACTTTTGACGTAAGGTAGGATGGCCAACGCTTCATCGAACCCATCGATTGGGAAAGGGTGACGTTGGGGTTGGTAGACATCTCGATGGCTAAAACATATCCGCTTGAAGCAAAATTCACAAAAGTGAATAACGCCGTTAATAAAAGACCTCCAACTACTACACCTGGCGTAAACCACCGGAAAGGGAAAGGGCGAGTCAAATTGTAGCTGAAAAGGGATTTATGTTGTGCACCCATTCTGTATGGGCGTTTGAACAGATGTTCAGAAAACAAGTATGCAATGTGAAATCTTCTGGCCGTAAGGGTATGTTATCATAGTCATGCACGACAGGACGGCACTACCTACTTATCTAAAGATTCTATCACCCAATCAGTGTAGCACTCCGCTGTCAACCACATTACCTCGCTTTCGCACAATCGGGCGCAAGGGATGGGGGCGGGAATCTCTATTCTTTTGCAAAATGAGAGACAGCTGAGAAGATGCGTTACACAATGCGCAAGGACAACGGACTCAAATAACTCAATGTAGCTTAGGGATTGTCTGTTTTGGCGATAGCGACAGCGGCCCGCATGGTGGCGCAAGGCTGGATCGAAAAATTGAACGCTAGCTGAGCCACACCGTCAACCCAGACTCACGTGGACTCTCTATCTGCATATCGTACGATGTAACTAACTCGATTGCTAAACCGAGTAAGGTTAAATGATGATAGTAAAAACACTATGACAATTAATGTGGTGGCTGAAGCAATCAATTGACAGCAATGGATGATACTGTAGCTAGTCAGTGCGTGCAACAGTTCAGCCAATACAACACTATCTATCCTATCAAGATATCTACTTCTTATTACGTTACTAGTAAAGCTTATTATATTACTATAACTCTACTATTATAGTAGGCTCATATTTGTAAGGGAGTAGCTATTTAATCCACGTTTAGGGTAGGTATTTACCGCTAAGATCTTGCGATAAATCTAGAAATTGAGATTCTTGCTATTATAGTATTCTTACATTTTCCGGATTTGACCTTGAGTTACACAGGGGTGCAACGTGAGCTGTAAGTAAGTAGCTTGAACTGTAGCTGAGCACTTCTGAGCTTGCTCTGAGCCAAACGTGAGCCAGCATGATTGTGCATGATTTAAGCCTGAGCTCCTCTGATTGTGCCTTATTTCATCTATGGGCAGCATGAAGAAGGTTCTGATTTTGGGCCCCAAATCAGCTCGTACGATGTGAGGTGGCTGGGACTGACTGGACCCGTTTTCAGGCCCCGGTCTTCGGTGGCTTAGCTCTTCGACCCTTGTACCGGCAATATTTTCCATCGCGACTCGATAGATTTTTGCTTAGACCTTTCGACATCTCTTTTAAATTCTACGAGGATGTTGAGTTTGTCCTCGCGATTGAAGTTGATGTTTCGTCGATGTATATCGGGTAATTGGTATGCGGCATCAGCCCAGAGATTGTTACTGGAGTGGCATTCATCTGTTAACAAATGCGTCACGAAGTAAGGCTAGATAGAAAACCTGCACACGTCGCCTGGGCAAAGTTGATACTGCCATTGTTCAAGCGTTTCGGGAGACTATGGTTCTAGATCCGTACGAAAATTGGGTTACGTCCTCATGGAAAGAAGCACTGTCAATGCCCGCTGAGGGTAATGGCAACATAATACCATCCCAAGTTTGTCCAAGGACAGCTCACAACCAGGCAACACCACGACTTTGAACGAAGCGATGTGAGGAGAGGAGAATGTACAATATGCCACCAGGCTGAGAAGCTCACATCTTGTGGGTTGCAGTTACGCGACCCCGCAGCAGCCAATCACAACCTATCGACTGCGCTCCATCAGATACAAGGATCAGAACCATTGTAGCCGACTACCATTCTGACTTCAATCTTATATTCCAAATAATAGTAGTTATATATTATACTACCTAGAGATTAAGATTAGACTTTCATAGCATTAAAGAAATGGAAAAGTAAAGTACTGGAGTATAACATTGTATCTTATGTTTTAAGTGAAAGTGTTCGTTCAAGATACCGAATGAACCAGTCCACTCATAGCTTCGACTAACATCACACTCCCTTCAACTCATGCGAGTTACAAATCCACATTTCAAAATCGAATGAACGACAACAAAACAAAAACATAATGAGAACACAGAGAAGAGAAATCTTCCTCGCTTTCCAAAGGCACAATCCTCGCTAGTTGATAACATTGTTTCCCGGATTTTGCTTCGGCCCAAACAGACTCTGCTCCCTCGTGCTCAACGGCCGCCGTCTCGACGCCTCGCTGAGATTGAAGATGCGCGTATTATCGTCTGACCCGATATTCGGACGACGCGCTGCACTGGGATGATCCAAGTTCTCCACGACCAGGCCCTCTGGTTCAACTTGCTCAATGACCGAGTCACGACGCACTGACTGGTTCGACACCTCGTCGGGACCGTAATTCATATTGTTGTTATTACGTGCAGCAGGCTGACCCTCACGCCCGTACATGCCTTTGTTAGTGATGACATTTGCGAGGTCTTTTTCCGCGGTCTTGCTCACCGTATTCAGAAGGTCCTTTTGCCAACTTGCGTTTTCCCGCTTCTCTCCAATCTCCATGCCCTGTTGGAAGAGGAGAAAAAAAAGAAAAAAACACTAGTCATAGCTATGAGACTGAGTCAAACTTGCTGTTCCTGACATGAAAATCGAATATAGCTGCAGAGTTTCTGAGCAGCTTACTGTACTCATACGGGCTGGAAAATTTACTGCATGGTTGCAATCGCAAAACGGCATTATTATAATCATAGCCGGGCGAATAATACTAAACAAAAAGAAAGAATGATAATTCATACACTTCTTGTAAAATTAATCCTTCTCTCCTACAACTCTCTCCATCTGTAACTAAGACTAATGCAAACTCATTAGTTTTCGTTGATTTTGCGCACGGGCCACAGCTTACTCGGCTCCCATTAGGAACTGGGTATTTTAATGGACTTAGGGAGGAGTTCAGAAGGGAGCTTAGCCGCTCGCCCTACTACCTTATAATTAGCTGGCTTCTCACTATTTAGCATTGACTACCCTACTTACCGTCGGTGATGAGCACACGGTTTGCACTCAGAATGACTCATCGTCGCCCCCTTACCTATACTCATTCAGGAAGGTGATCGTGGCACGAATGAAATATTATAAAGGTGTTTACTTTGACGAAACATCGTGATACCTAACCCTGTAACCATTGCCTTCTAATATGGCGGCTCCTATATCTTCAGAGTTACTCAATATAGTTCGTGTCCACCGGATATTGCCTGATCAACCTGCAAGCCGCGAATCCACCTACCCACTATCACTGCTAGATGCAACAACGGCCAATTTCGGGCTTACGAGCGCCATATGGCTCCTGGAACGTCCAAATGGTTGGCTTGTTCCAAAAGATCTTACTGGCCACCTACGCGTAGCATTTCGTGCAACCTTGAACGCATACCCGCAATGGTGTGGATTTCTCAAAAGCATCAGTACCATTGATAGCAATGAATCTACTCCAGAAACAGCCCGGTTTCCCACTCATGCCAGGCGCTATGGTCGGGTATACGTACACTATGGGACAAGTGCAGACCCGGGAGTCGAATTCGTGGAGGCGACAAGCCTGGCAACTGTGGACAGCCTTTACAGCGTTCAGTCTGCGAAGAGGCGGCCTATTTGGAACCGACTGGAGGACAGGGTCACACTTTCTCATTTTGTACCGCAGACAGCTGTGATTAATGCACTTCGACCTAACGAGAAAGATGCAAACGGCTTATACAAGCCGTGCATGGCTGTACAACTTACCCATCTTGCTTGCGGTGGTTTCATGATAGCTGCGAAGATTGCCCACCCGCTTGCAGATATCACCGCACTGACTCGTTTTGCACAACATTGGGCAAGCAATTCCCGTGCCATGGTATCGAAAATGCCCTTTCCAGCGTCAAGTTCATTTTTCCAGCCTGATCTTCTGGATGGGTGTGCCGCGGGTGACATCAATGCCAGCGAAGCCAATCCTACCATTATGGAAGATGCACTTGCCCTTCCGCTGCATAGATACGACTGGTGGGCGCCGCCTATGAAGGCTCCATCACCTTTTCCTGTGGGTCTGCCTCCAGCGGGGAAGTCACTCCCTTGGGCCGAATGGAATACAGAAGCAAAGGTAGAACAGTACACGATTCATTTCAGCCAGAAGCAGATCGAATTCCTATGGCACTCTGCAACGCAAGATAGCTCCATCACACCGTCAGGTTCGAAAATCAGCAAGCACGATGCCTTGTTGGCCCATATCTGGTCGTGCGTGGTGCGTGCTCGTGGTCTTCAGGAGGACCAAGGGCCAGTCCATTGCGATCTCGTGCTTGGTACTCGACCGGTACTCAATCTTGATGCTGGCTTCATCGGATCGCCGACCATGATGCTGAATATTGAGTCGACTGCCTCGCAAGTCGCTACGACCTCGTTTGGGCAGACCGCACAACGCATACGCGAAACATTGACGACAGTCAATGATGCGCAACGACTAGCGGCTCACCTCCACAGTATCGCATACGAAAAGTCGCCCCAACGGATCTGGCAGGGTTTTCTGGGCCAGCGGCACATCATGGTGACAACCTGGGCCCGAGCAGGCATATACAAAGTCGACTTTGGGTTCGGATCACTCATTCGCTATGCTGATGGTATTGTACCGTGCTTGGATGGGTGCATTCTCATTAACGACGCGCCACCAATGGATTCTACATTGTCTTCAAATACATGTCCAAGAACCTGGACAGACAATGGAGTTGATGTAACGTTGCCATTACTCCCTAAAGACATGAAGCACTTATTACAAGATCCGCTGCTTCTACCGCAAGTATAAATTCTAGTCTATTACTTTTACAAATATAAACACCGTTCAGTCTATTACTCCGCGATCCCGATAATCCTGCTGCTCTCCGAATAGTAAACACACTTAGATATACAATGGCAGTCTGTGACAAAGAAAGAACCTGCTTACCTGCATCACTCTGCCTTCTTCGACGTCTTTGTTCTCAATTTCATAAGCCCATAAACCAAACCGTACGAGCTCAGAGCGAACAGAGCGCATATTCCGATATTCCTCCAACCATAGTAATGCTCTTTGATATTGAGGGTGGCTAAGTAATCACTTCCCTTCCGGTACTGACACACTCTGCAAGTTTCCATCGCATCTGGATTCACCAAGTTCGCTGCTCTTCCCAAGCCTTGGAGATATGGTTCCAAGTAAGCGCCGCAGGACTGGCCATTTGGCGGGTCGAACACTGCAAACTCAGACGTCTTGCAGATAACCTCCTTGTCCCACATAGTAAAAGTGAGCAAGCCTCCCATGAGGTATGTAAATGGGTTGACGTAGTACATCCAGTAACGCCAAAATGGCGTGATCTGGCTATACGGGAGGAGAACACCGCAGAATGATGTCAAGGCGGAGATGACGACTGGATTGACGAGACTTGCAGCGATAGCGTTGGGAGCGTATGCGGCGACGAACTGTCCTATGCCCGTGTAAATGAACTCGTAAATGAGCATGATGAAAAACACGGCGCCAGCATCCTTGCTAGCAGATGGGAAGCCCACGGTGTAGTAGAAGCAGACGAAATAGAGAACTGCGCAGAGGACGAGATAGGCGAATTCACTGACGATCACGCCAGTGACGAAGGCTACCCAAGCTGTGGAATACAAAATTAGAGGAATGTTACTAAAGTGTGGACGCGGGAAACTCACAATAGATCTTGCTCTTCTTTTCACGAGCGTCGTAGATGTCGCGGCGTTCGATGAACAATGGCTGCAGCTGCGCAAATACACCAGGCGCAACGAAGATGAAGTTGAAGTTGGCAAACAGAGCCAGTTGCAAGTCTGCCACGCTATTTCCAATCATCCAGAACGTAAATCCGTTGAACAGAGCAGAGCCAATGTGCAGGGATATCTTGTTGTTAACGTAATCAATATTCCTGTAAAGTGCGATGTTCATGCGGCGTGTGACAATCTTTATCTGGGTCCACATATCCGCGGCGAAAGCCTTTCCGTCGTCAAAGTTCTTAGGCGGTTGTGCAGCAGTTTCAGTGATGATATGATCAAGTTCCTCGACGACTTCAGCGTGCTCTGGAGACTCCAACCACACCTTGTTCCAGTCCTTGCCTTGCGAGAGAGTGCCTGAAACAACGTCGATCATGTGCTCTGCTGGGTTCGCTTCTGCGGGACATGGGGCTCCGTTGCGTCCAAAGTAATCCTTTATCGTGGCTGCGTTGGTACCGATGTCTCCAAAATAAACTGTCTTACCACCTTTGGTAAGCAGGAGAAGAGTGTCAAACTCGGCAAACAATTGCGCGCTGGGCTGATGGATCGTGCAGAGAATGGCTTGTCCAGCCCCAGCAAGTTTGCGAAGGAACCGCAATGTATTGAACGCAGACTGGCCATCCAAGCCACTCGTTGGTTCATCCAAGAAGATAAGGATGCTAGGCTTCGCTACCAGCTCAACGCCTATAGTGACTCGTTTTGTTTGTTCAATTGAGAGGCCTGCGCCAGCTCGACCAATCAGTGTATGCTCCAAATCGCGGAGCTCGAGGAGATCAATGACCTTATCGACATAGCGAAGTTTCTCTGCCCTTGGTGTGTCCGCTGACTGACGCAGAAGAGCAGAAAATTCTAGAGCCTCCCTTACAGTCGTGTATGGTTCGTGAACGTCTAATTGCTCACAGTAACCAGCACTACGTTGAAATGAAACTGGAAGAGGTCTTCCATCGACAAGGATAGAACCTTGGATCGTCCCTTCGGTTTTACGTTGAGCAAGAACATCCATTAGCGTAGTTTTGCCAGCTGTAGGCTATGTCAGCAAAAACCAAATATGAACTAAAGGTATACAGCAAGTAACTTACCCCCACTAGATCCCATAAGTGCGCCCAAAGTCCCCGGCTTTATCCATCCTTGGACATTATCTAGTAATACTCGTGGACCGTTTGGGGTTTTGACGGTATACGATAGGTTTTTCCAAGTGAAAACAGACTCATTGCGGATTAGCCCATCGGATGTGTCCCTCGCGGAGGAAGCGAGCACACCGCTCGAATCTGAGGATTCAGGGACCTTTTCGTCCACTTGAGACTCTTCATCAGCTGCCAAAACAGTTTTTGCTTTCTTTACATTCTCGCGTGGAACCAAAAGTGAGTCACCTCCGGTAAACGTATTCTTCCAATGACTCGTGAAGAATATAGTCAGAGCAGTGAACAAGACCCACCACGCCCAAAGAATTCCAAAGTTTCTCCAGAGATGATCTGTAGCATACGATAGAGAGGCCAGGTATTCTTCGCCACTGAGGGAGTTTGCTCCGACTGCTGCCCCCGCAATGCCAGCGCAGGCATTATTGCTTGTCATATTGTAGCCAGGTCCGGCAGGTATGAGGTTGGGAATGACACAACGCACTATTTGCCCTTTGAACTCTAAGGTAACTTGTTAGCACTGAAACATATAGATCAACGTGAGGAAAAGAACGGTTGTCCACAACATACCATTAGCCATCAGACTTTCAAAGCCATAAGCCAACGGGTTAATCCAGTATATCCAGACAAACCACGGATGCATGGCTGTTTTTGGAATCATGTAGCCCGAATACATGATCAAAGCCGAGACCGTAAACCCGGAGATTTTCGAGGCATCGTCGAATTTGTCGAAAGCAGACCCAATCAGTCGAAACAATGCAGTCATGCAGATGGAAACTGAGAACAGGAGAACCCAATACGTGAAGAACGCACCAGCATCCTGCTTCAGTCCGACCATGAAATACACGATCAGCGAGAAAGTAGTAACTTGGGAAGCTATGATTGGGATATCTGCGGTGATCTGTGCGAGGCAAAACGCAGCAGGATGATAGAAAGCAAACTCCTTGTGCTTGGCGAGAACGGGTCTTCCAGAGAAACTATCAGTCACTTCAGAGAGTGCCATTAAACCAAAGGAGAGCACACTAATAAATAGCGTACCTCCTTTGCCGAAAATACCACCGCTTGTATTGGGAGTGTTGTAGAACAAGCTACCAGTCATCAATGCGAGAACAATGGTAAATGCTTGTTTGATGATGAAGGTTGCTCTGTCGCCCCAGAGAATTTGATATTGACGCATGACAGCAGTGGAGATTTGCTTGCTCAGGGGTACGGTGAATTGCGAGTTCTTTGGCAGGTGTCTGGATTTCTCCGTTGCAACAGATTGCTTGAAGTCCTCTGTGCTTGACTGTGCGTAGTCTGATTCCGGAAAGGCATATTCGAGTTGCATTCGCTGGTGAATATTGGATTGCTCGTAGCGTTCACGAACTGCCTCGGCCGAGCGAGGAAATGAAGCCTCAAAGCCGGCCCGAATGCCTCTCTCAGAAGAGACCGTTACGCCAGTCAGGAAATCTGCGACGTTGGCTGAGGGATCGCATAGAAACCCGAGCTGCTCCATGAAAGGACGTGCCTCATCTCTTGGGCCGTAGAAAATCTGCTTGCCCTCATCGAGAACTAGGACTTTGTCGAATTGTTCGAAGATGCCATTTCCAGCTTGGTATAGTGTTGCGATTGTTGTGATACCTAATATCGTCGTCATGGCTCGGATTGCCTTGGCCCACTCCAGAGCAGTACTTGCGTCAAGACCGCGAGTGCTGTTGTCCCAACAGAAGACACTTGCTCGAGTCGCCAAGCATTCGATGATGGACACTCGCTTCCTCTCACCACCTGAGACACCACGAACATACTCGTTCCCGACTTTGGTATCATGCGTACTGGAAGTTGCGGTAGGACGTTAGCAAAATATCTTGAGATAAGAAGGATCCACGTCGAATCAAGCGAAAGGGCAATCCAACCCGATGCCAATCATGTATTTTGCACCGTGTGTTACTTACTGTTCAATACCCATAGAACGTAGCAAGAAGTCCTTCATCTGCTGTTGATATTCCTTTTCGGTCTGTGTCCCGCGAATGCCTTTGTCGGGAATTTTCATCATTGTAGCAAAATCCATGGTTTGACCAACTGTCAGGGTCGGGAAAAAGATTTCTTGCTCGGTGTTGATGACAATCTGTCCACGGTACTTGGAGGCTTCCTCTGAGGACAGGTTGCCAAAGCGGACATCGCCTTGGATCTCAGCATAGGCAGAACGTTTGTTGGCGAGTAAATTGAGCAGAGTAGTGCAACCAGCTCCAGGTCGACCGAGCACCAGCAACATCTCACCAGGCTTGACACACCCATGTGAATTTTCCAGAATCGTTTTCATGCTGCTGGGCTGCCTCGATTCGACAATCCTCTGCCATATGTTGAACTGAGAGAGGAAGTTTTCCTGTATCATCGCGCTTTTGCCAATCCCTTTCACGGTAAGGTTCTGCCAAGTGACCCCCAAATGCTTTGGCTTTTGTCCACTGTTGTTTGCATTCATCTCTTTGACCTCATGAGCCATGTTCCAATCGCCAATTCTTATTTCATCTTCGTCCACTTCCTCGGTATCACGAAGCTCCCTTTCTCGAACTCTCTCTGAGTATGTGGACTGGCGGGTCAAGGTACGTAGGATCTCTCCAGCAATAGTTTCAGACTCGCGACGATGGTGGTTGTGATGGCTTTGGTGGGAGGCCATGGAGAGGTGGTTACTAGGAGACTGGGGACTGCTAGTCTCCGAGCGCTGGTGGTCTAACATGACTATCGTTTTTTAAAAGATACAGAGGTTTGAACTTAAAGGGTTAAGATGGTGATAGTGAAGAAGATCATATCAGAATAGCAGCTAAGGTCTATCACAAAAGGAAGAGAGCTGAAGAGTTCCTCAAAACAGCGAAGGGATATAGAAAGTAAATTAATAGTAGAGAAAATTAGATAAGGCATCCATGATATCGGAGGTCGGCCGAAGGTGATGACGACTTTCGTACAAAAGCTGGCATGCTTCGCTATCTCGGAAGTAGAGAACGCCCATAGTCGGGGAAATGATATTGCAACGGAGGATTCCGTTGTCGGTTGTTATGCTGAATTGATAGAGCATTGGTAATTCTCACGACTAGAGAGTCATAGAAATCAATAACGGGAAAGGGCTAGTTAGTCAGATATGCTTGGGCTTCAGACACGATCCGGATTTGGCTAGAGTCGCGGGTTTTATTATGTAAGCGGACCTTTCGGAACCTCTTCGGAACCTTACTATACCTACGAAGTCACGTGCAAGTGTCATCTCGAGCTCCTAATTTCCCTAACGTCGGTCTTCGGAAGTACATCTCTCTCCGTTCTTCTTCCGCGCCGACCCGGACGTATGAGTTGCTTCCCTAACCAGAACCACCTTCTCGGTACTTGAGGACCAAAAATCGCTTCCGTGTGCATATTTGCATATTTGCATGTTCCATAATTCCTGTTGGGCGAGCCAGGGAAAGCAGTCTAACCGGATGGAGCCTGAAATAATGGAGACAAGCGAGGACCAGTTAATCGAACCACAGAAGCGAAAGCGTATAACCAAGGCATGTGATGTCTGCTACAACAAGAAGGTCAGCAGCTTTCGCTCATAGCCGACAACATTGCGGCTATTCGCATCTAGTGGCTAATATCGTCTTTGAGCTCTGCAGATTAAATGCGACGGAGCTACCCCACAGTGTGAATGGTGTGCTCATCGTGGCTTGCAGTGTTCGTACGAAAGGAAGATCGTGAGGAAAAGGCGTCCCAAGTATGCAAAACAGCTACTCGCCTTTTTTGTGCTGTTTTACTCACCTTTGCCAGTAGACAGCATCGCAGCCAGCTACTAGACCGCGTCGATCGACTGGAACGACTTCTGGCCAAGACACTAGAAGAAAAGACAGGTGCATCTCTACCCCGTGAACCCTCATCAGGTCCTTCAGAGTCAGCAACAGATACTTCACTCACCAGAGAGGATGACTTCAATAATGAAGCACACGATGTTTCAACGCCGTCGTCCATTGAGCAGCCAGCCCTGGGCTCTCTTCACTTTGCAGGTTGGCGACTAGGATCTTTTAACTCAAGCAACGGCATTCCCTTGTTTTCGGAGCTTGGTGAGCAATGGATCCGCTCCCGTACAGGCCAAGACGCGTCACTTGAGCGAATCACCGCACTTCGCCAGTCCTGGCATAATATCGCGCGTTCAAACTGGGGTTCATCGGTTAATGTAGTAAACGTACATTTGCCGATTAACATGCCAGATCGGCAAGTAGTCGAGAAGTGTTTAGCCCTATACCGCGAGTCATTCCTTTGTTGCGTCTTCCCCCTTGTCGACCCTGTTCGACTTGAGACTACAATTTCTGCGGCCTACTCATCAACACTAGGCGACCCGTCCGATGATGTTTACAATGCACAAGCTTGTATATTTGCTTTTCTGGCATTCGTGTCCTTCTTCAACGTCTGCCAATCGGTAAAGATAACCTCGAATGCGGAGAAATATTCGTGGACGGCGCACCGGATATTGACGACGTACACTCTACATATGACGGTGGAAACATTGCAAACTTCGTGCATGTTGGTATGTATCAATGTCCTTTTGAGTCCTTCGCGTCGTACATTGGCTGAATATTAGTTAAGATGATGTACCATCTCTTTTCTGGGGATATTGCCAATGCTCTTATCCAAGATTCGGTCGCTACCCGAATCATATACATGCTCGGTGCACATACCACGACCTATCCTTTGTGTGATGATGTGAACATCGTATCCGCGAATCCTTCATATCGCGAGCGATATCTATTGCGGAACATCTTCTGGTTGATTTACATCATGGACAAAGAGTTATCACTCCGAACTGGACAGCCGCCGTGTCTGCAAGATGAACACTGTGATACTAGTTTTCCACCAACCTACGCTCGGCGGATCTTTTCACAAATGATGGGCTTTGGGACCGAAACGGACTTCGCGACTGTAGACCCCTTCCCCGGTTCCCCATGGTTGAGCATCATCAAGTCAAAGGCCTACAACGCTCTATACTCGGCTCGCGCATTGAAGAAAACGGATGCGGAGATTTTGAGAGATATTCGTGAGTTAGACGATGACCTCGAATGTTGGAGGCTATCTATTCCCCTTTCATACAGGCCCACTGTTGCATTTGCGCGTGCGACACTACCAGAGGACGTGTTAGCTATGCCTTCGACGATGCTGCATCTAGACTATAACCATTGCGTTGCTACTATTCACCAGGCAACAAGTAGATGTCAGGCTTGGACATCTGGAAATCAGGATGAGATGGAGGGTGTGGGGAGCAGTCTAGAGTTGAGCATCGAAGCTAGTCGGTCGTCATTGGTCTATCTCCAAATGGCGAGCCATCTCCTCGACGAGAACAGCTTTTGGTACGTATGCTTATCGATGCTTCTCCCTCATTTATTCCAATGTTCGATATTTATCAATAAATCGCAAGATCCTGAAACGAACGACCTACTGACACAGTGCGTCTTCTAGGATGGTCCTCTACTACCCGATGTCGGCTCTCCTCACTCTCTTCTACGGCATTCTCCACCGACCTCTCGCGTCGCAATCTCACAAAGACCTTGAGCTGTTGAAGAGCATTCCGCCCATGATTCGAAGAATCCCAATAAGTCGCTGGATGGAAAAAGCAGCTCGCCAGATCCAGGCTGTAGATGACCTAGTCGAAGAACTAACGACCCTGGGACAGTGCGCAATCGACAAGGCAACACGGGAAAATGGAAGTGAGACGACACAAAGTATCTTGCTTGGGGATTAGCATTGTAAACAAAGATGCAGATTGGATTACAAGAGTACTAGGTGCTCTGCGCACATGCTGGCATTTGTACCGGAGGACATCTTCTCTTTAGCTGTCCGGACTTGTGGGAGAATTCAGCGTTATCAGGAACTAGAAGTGTTTGCAACTGTATAGCATGTACCATTAGAGAATTGAGTTTAATACACTAGCAACATATTGTACATCCGCCAGGAAGCAAGCTGTACGTCATGTGAACTGCTATTACCAGAAGCTATCACCTCCAACAATAGGATATGGAGAAATTAGCACCATGCTAAGCTATTGGGCTGAAGTTATTCTTTTATCTCAAGCTGTCTTTTGTCTCTATCATACGAACTAAGCATTCAGCACAAGGTATCCAGGACATCTCGCGACAGCAAGAAGGCGGTGAATGCAAAAGTAGCTAACCCGACCTACACACACCCGTCATGCACCTAGACTGTGCTTGGTAAGTTGTTGATTTCCTTTCCATGCTTTAAACGTGGAGAAATCTCCTTCCTCGAACATGTCGCAGGATTCCCATCTTTAATGGCCACGCATGCCCACAGCTCCTACAATTATAGACGCAACGGCACCGCCTGATACAGTCACAGCAGAAGCCCTACTTGACTTACCGGCCGCCAATCCAAAGAAGACAATGCCCGTATCGAGCATGTCTGTTGCTATACCAGCCCATAAGGTCCTTTTGACCTCGCGCCTGCCACCATCTGGCAGTTTGTTGTCTCCAGCAGTTAAAAGTAATACTCCTAGCACAAGACCACTAGTATCGAAAAATCGGGACAACACCTCATCAGTTACGGATACGTCTATCTTGACTAATAGCAGCACGAATCAGTTTTCAAGTCAAGAGGTCATCATGGAAGGCGTAACCAACGTACATGGCCCACAGGTGAAGCGCGGACCAACTAAGCAAGTTACTCCAACCCCAATGCGCAGAAACATAAAAGCTTTGATGGCTACATTGGACATTGAGTTCGTGGATTCGTGCTCGTTGGCGTGCTTCGCAGGAAGTAGCGGCTCTTTCTACTTAGGAGTGAATGAAGACATTATCCGCTCTGTTCCAATGAGTTGACGATCAGCTAGCCAAGCATTAAATCACTTACCAAAATTCAGGTCGATGATCGAGTGTCGAAAAGGTAGATGGGGTTATGTAGTACAGCACCACTGCAGGAGCAGCTGGGCTTTAACGAGCTCTTACTGCTTTACTCTCTAGAAGACCATTACGTTAAGTGATTCTGAAGCTAGCACTGAACGGTCCTAGCACTACGAGGGCCCTTACGATATGACTGCAGCGATGCCTCGAGGCTGTAACCACAGCTCGGCTCAACTCGCATTCCTGATAAATAATATGTGATTTCCTTCTAGACACCACACAGTATGCTACGAGCTAATTTCTCTTCCCTGTACCGCTAGCAAATTTATCATCTCACTATTCTCTGCTTATGCTGTCCATCTTTCCATCCTCGCTAGCTGCAGCCTCATATTGCGGGCAGCCCGGAAGATGGTTGCCTCGAAATAGGCTTAGTGCCTTTCTAACATAACGTTATGCTCGCTACCCAGCCAACGAGACAACACTCTCGTGTCCAACCCAGACATCGCGTTATCCAACTCACTTTAGAGAATTGCCTGGAATTAGAACTACTGTAAGATAAAGTTAGCCATTATGCCTACAGAGAAGAGGAGGAAGGCCGAAGTCTCAGCGACAGTACCGGAGCTTGGCAACCCAGGTAGGTAGCTGAGTTTATACATCTAAGCTGCGGACTCGCACATGGTGGAAAATGGTAATAAGTAGACAGTAGTTTGTCGATGTAGGCTTAAATTAATCGTATTGGTTCGTTTGCATTAGACTGCGAACACGTGCTAATACTGGTGGGGATAAAGACCGGAAACGAGCCCTTAATGTACTTGCACAACGGAGATACCGTAATAACCCCTAATTCCATACCAGCTATCTACATGTATAATACTGAATTTAAATGTAGGTCAAAGGTGCCGGGATAAGATTGCTTCCTTGGAGGCCCAAATAGACGCACAGAACGGCGGCCGATCATTCATTCAGTTGCGTCTCGCACTGCCTGTGGAGACTGCAGTCAACTCTGGACCCTTTACTATCTGCCCTAAGGATACCTCAAACGTCGAAGAGCACAACATTTTCTCTTTAGATGGTGCTATGTTAGCGTTCGATGCCGTCAATATTGACTTTTCCCTATCTAGCGACTGTAGTAGGCTCGCATATCTGACTCCGATGACATCAATATCATTCATTACTGATCATCTCCAAGATATCCGAAATCTACCTACGCCAGATAACCCCAATAAGTGGCATTACCAATATCCAGTACTCCTTCGTCGTCCAACACCTCCGCAGACCCCGAATCCTAACCCTCACCCTTCACCTTCCCGCTGACCCCAGATGTAAACATCGATGTACCCATAACGGCCACCTTTCGAGCCTGCATGACAGCTGCATCCCTACTTGATATTGTTCCAGACGTTTACAACCCCTTCGTACTGCACACGTCACCGCCCACCCCGCACCCGTCTCTCCCGCCCAATCTCCACCCTGTTCGCGAGCAAATCCTGATCCCGCACCACCCAGCCCTGGACGCGCTTCTCTGGCCTTCGGTACGCGAGAAGCTGATTTGTGTGCGTGAGTCTCATTTTCCCTTCCCCCTTTCTCCTCGCCTGATGCTTGACGCATAACACCTGACACTTAACATCCCCAGTCCACCTCTCCTCCCACCAGCGCCCCCCAATCACGCACGGCACCCGCGGCGAACCCATTCAGCGCCTCATACACGACATTTATGACTATTCCTCCGGGTATCGCGTCCACAGCAACACCGCTGGTTGGTCCCCGCACCACGAGATGGCCGAGGAGAGCTGTGAGGTAGGTGAAGCGTTCCATCGCAACTGGTGGTTTTGTATGGATAGTAAGGTAATTTTGATGACGAATGCGCGAAGGAGGGAGAGGGGGGAGGCGCTGCTGAGGTTGAACGACGTAGGAAGTCAATGGGATTGATTTATCTAGGATTATGCCCGGAAAAGGTAGAAGGGAAACGCTCTCGAATACAGCACTAGTAAATCTAAGTCAGAGAAAGAAGGTGGGAAGAAGGGCAATCTACCTACATTCCAACCTCAACCTATTCAAGACCCTCATCTCCTCCCTCCTCACAGCTAACGACCAGGCTACTAATCCAGCAAAACACCGCACCTACTCAACTATGCTGCGGCAACGGTAACTTACTTGACACCATGAGTGTGAACGCGCCGCGCAAGACGACTAGATTGTATGTAGAAGCAAATTTATCAAGAGCTTAGTAGAGGTATAAAAAGAAGATTGGATGTTCATTTATTCTACATGCAGCTAACTATTATTTACACAAATGGTAGGATGATATGGCTTTTATGCTCACCACCGATGTGAACCTGATGTTTTCCGCGATTCTTGACATGTTTATGGGACCCGAAATTGCTCACACACCTATTGCGTCCACCTACCACAACTCTGATGCTCTCGCCAGCTTCAAACTCAATACCCGTAGCCCATATACCAATGTCTAAACGGACAACATCACCGGGAGTTATCTTTTCCTCTACCTCGTGAGGATGGAACGGCCAGTGCGGATGCATGCTTTTTGACTCGTCGATTGCGCGATGTGATGCTCTCAAGATGCCGCATGGACCTTTGTACACCACTACCTCTGTAGCTTCCTGCGGCTTGAACTCGCTGAATGATTTTGCTGGAATGCCACCCCAAGGGATATTAAGGTTCATCATCTGATCACCATTCCTGTCCAGCTTTTCGATAGTAACGTAAACATCCATGTCGTCGTGATCGGGGCAAGACATATACAAGACAGCCTTTGGAAGGCCCATGATTCGGGTTGTTTCCGGGAAAGTATGAGTGAAGGTGACGCAATCGTCTGTTTCAGAGTTGTAGCTCAAAGTAGCGCTTGAGCCTGCATCGCTAAAGAGCAGCTTCTGGTCTTGACCAAGGTAAGCTTGGCGGTATTCGGTTCGGGCAGGCGGGAAGTCTTCTTCGACTATATTCTCGTATGATTGGGGCTCCTTGTTTCCAAAGCGCAAGACAGCCATCCGGACTCGCGGGGTCTTTTCCCATCCATTGTCGGCACCCTTTAGGAAATGATCGAAAAAGGAGAATAGTTCTTCTTTTGCCTGGTTGTTTCCCCACAAGTCGTACCATTCCTGCCATGGATGCCATCTAAGCCATTTTTGAGGAGTATCAACCTCGAGCCATCCTCTGATAGCGCCCATTCCATGCATTGTATTGGTCCAGGTACCAGTGATGTATGTTGGTACGTTGATCTTCTTCATGTCGGGTCTCTTATCATTCCACCAACGGTTGGCCAACGGGTGCTTTTCAAACATTAATCGGAAGCTCTCCAGATTACCGTGCCCGTGTAGCATGTGTTTGACAATGAGCTGGTCGAAGAGATCTCCGGCGTAAATTCCACCACGTGCAAATTGCTCGCGGTACAGATCACCACAGCCTTCCCAGGGCGCGATAGCCTTTAGGCTCGGTGGACGCAGAGCAGCGATGAACCATTGCACGATTGCTAAGTGGGAGTTGCCAACGAGACCGACCGAGCCATCGCACCACGGCAATTTGGCAATGTGTTCGATCGCGTCGTAACCGTCCTCGGCCTCCTGTTGACCCATAATAACCATGGTACCACCGCTATCACCAGCGCCTCGCGAATCGATGTTGACAATGGCGTAGCCTTTGGGTACCCAGTCTGCTGGATCTGGAGCTTCAAACTTCTCCAAGCCGGAAAGAGCGTCTGTGGGAACACCAAGGTTCCATGGCGTCATGTATCGCAGAGAGTCGATGCCATTAAACTTCTTGCCGAACGGTCCCCAGCAGATGAGTGCTGGGACTTTGGGAGCAACGCCAGATTCAGGCTCCGTTGGCCTTAAAATATCCGTATAAAGCGTAACACCATCCCTTGCAGGAATGGCCACGTCATGTTCCACGAGGATATCGCACGGCAAAGCCTTCGCTTCAGGGTGTGAAGGATGTCGCCAGCCCTTAGGAAGCACTTCCTTGCGCGGTTTTAGACCTTCATAACCACCTTCACCAACTTGAGCTGGTGTAAGCGGTTCAATAGGGATTTCGACTCCGAAATTTGAGCCGGACTTATTCTGGTTGACAAGCATCGTGTCGGATGCCTAACGATTGAACTGGAGAAAAAAAAAGAAAGATTTGAGAAGGAAGGTATCTAACAAAGAAGAGATACTCCACTTCTTAAGAGTATACTGTCTCGAGAGATCAATGGATCCCCAAATCGGGATGCGGAGTGAGGTGTCATATTCGACCGGGACTAACCTCCACATGTGCTTCCGACAAAACTCCACGCTATCCGAACATACAGGTATCGTGCTTGGATGCTAACACTGACAATGGTCTGGGAGGAACTAATTCTGATGGGCAAATGACTAGTCTGATGCTGAAGTCCCCACTATCGGCAACTCCTTTGACCCCACACTCTTCCACTTGCGGCTAGCGGAAGTTGTGAGCAAATGGTTTCCCGAACCGAGCCGAACCGAACCGATTCCCCAACTGTGAGGGGTATCTGCCAGTCATCGCGTTCTCGTCAGCGGCAGACTTAGATTGAAAGAAGTGGCTACTAAGACAATTATATAAGACAAGAAAGCAACAGTTATCACAAGAGTGAGCAAGAGTACAGAGGTATTGTGCGACTCTACCAACAAAATACAAGCCAGTCTCGTGCCTATCTTCTTTATTACCCGACACCGACACCATGTCAACCACTGTTCAAACTGCAATGTCAGAAGCGCCTGTGGAGGTACCCACATTCAAGCCTCAGTCATCAGGTCCAAAAAGACTGTTCCGTCAAGAAGGGCTTGTGTATGGTGATTGGCGTGACGATATCATCCGAGATGGATATGTCGTGGTCAAAGGTGCCATCCCTCGTGATCGCGCGGATGGCTATGCTGATGAGATGATGTCCTGGCTTGAAAACTTGTAAGTAAACCTACACTTGGAATTCTATGCACAAAGCAGACCCGTCTTGGATACAGACATAAGCTAATCGTGCATTATTTATTAGTGCTGGCGGATTAGGATTTAAACGCGATGACCCATCGACCGTTGTGGAATCGAAGATGCCTATAATTAACGAAAAGGGCATGTGTCTTGGATACGGTATTGCACACGAAACCTTCGCTTGGTCAGTGCGCCAGGAGCCGGGAGTTGTCGGAGCTTTTGAGAAGGCGTATGATACGAAAGACCTTATTGTTTCCTTTGATGGAACAAACATGGCATTCCCAAACCGCAAAGACCTTAAGGAAAATAACCCCTGGCCACATCAGGATCAAGATCCGGAAAAGCCTGGTTTTCGCTGCCTTCAAGGGCTGGTGAATTTGCTCCCAAATGGGGATAACGATGGCGGCCTCATCGTCTGCAAAGGCGCTCATCTGCTTAGCGAGGAGTTCCATGAGCAGTTCAAGGATGAGCCCAATAAGATCTGGGCTTGGACCAAAGAGTGGTACGGCTTCACCAAGGAAGGCATGAAGTGGTTAGAGGACAAGGGCTGCGAGTGGGTGAAACTCAATGCCGAGCCTGGTGACCTTCTCCTCTGGGACAGCCGCACACCTCACTACAATCTCAGTCCAACAGGCGACAGGCCGCGTTTCTGCATCTACACATGTTATATGCCAGTCGCTGAAGCTTCGGAAGAAGACCTGTTGCGGAAGAAGGACGCGTTCTACACAACTCAAAGCACCACTCACTGGCCCAATGCTATGCATGTAGGTGGGTTACCTATCATACGCGGCAACGAACCCTGTCCCTATAACACGGGCAAGCCAAGGAAGTCAGTAGAATTGTCAAAGCGAGGGTTTGAATTAACAGGAATTCCATACATTGGGACATTGTCGGCTTGATTTCGAAGAGAGGGTTGGATATAAAGACGCTTTTATTATACCCTTGTCACTTTTAGCTTACCCACTATTATCAAATGAAATTCAATTATCAAAAATAACAAGATTTGACTGTCTAGGTCTTGATATCTTTATCTTCGATATCATAAACCTGCAACCAGACATCCTTACAGGAAAAACTGCTTTAGAATCGATATAGAAAGTTTCAAGAAAAGATCAAGGCTGCTTTCTGTATACCTTCCTTTCCTTTTACATACAGACATAGGTTCATTGGTAAAGTCGTCTATTAACTCCTTCTCGTGATTTTGGTACGATACGCTAACAGTTGAGCAGTTGAGTCTCTTTCATTTAATCTCATCATAACCTATGGAGACCTGTGATTGAGTATCAACGGAGGCTCGATGAAGTGATCAAATGTTTAACTTTATGCAATGGGAACGTAAACACGACAGATTTAAAAGCATAAATCCGGGTAAGGAAAGATCATATGCATAATTGAACTATTCGAGAAATCTAATAATTTATCTCAATTTCTCAAATTGGACGAGCCGAAGACTTTACTTTGCTTCAGTAAGCCCTGGCCACAGGGTTTTGACAGCCCACTTACGAATGCGAGGGCCTAAAAAGTAAATCGGTATACCAAGAGCCATGAGACCGCCGATAATACCAGCTAAGATATTCATAGCGCCATCATAACCAATGGCCTTGATGGCTGGAACAGTGGAGTAACTCAGACCAAAGGAGATGAACCCTCGACCAACGCAGATAACCATTAGTAAGGCACCCGCCTTCTGGGGGAAAGCATCGACAGCATAGGTGATACCAATCAGATTAGCGGTCAGGAAACCTAGGTAACACATGTGAAAGGGGGCTGCAATTCCCATCCAGTGGTACTGGAAAGGATGAGCACCAGCCTGGCCATAGATAACACAGCCCAACACTGTCGCTACAGTTGGAACGATGAGAGATAGGAGTCGGAATTCGGGCTAATAAGTGAAAAGAACCCAAGATATTAGCGAAAATTCGACAACACAAGCAGGACAATTACGGAATTCAACGCGGAAACAAGACATAGGATGCTGGACGTACCTTGAAGATGCCGCCGCTTCTCTTACTCATCCATTTAGAGAAGCGATCAGTACCATATCCCAAGAGTGGGATTAGAACCATGACAACTGCAATTTGAAAGATCTGGACCCATCCTAGCACGTCAAAAGCAAACTTGTACGGCGGTTGAGTGAGAATAACAGCAAACGTAGAGGCCTGGTAAATGTAGACGCCCAAGAAAGCACCGTTGAAGAGCAAAATCCAGAAGATAGTAGGGATAAAAAAGCCCTTTCCAGTATCGACGTAGAATTCGGTAACTCGGGACCAGACTGGTTTGTGGTGGAAAACTTTCAAGTCATGACGTAGAGAGCGTGGGCCGTAGATGTCCGGTCGAAGGTCGCGTTTCTTGCCAGCCATGGGTTTCTCATCTGCTGAACCAATGTCGTGCTCATCCAATTTGCGTTCGTACATAGTCTCAACCACGAAGAAGATGGAAAGAATGAGTGTGGCGATGACCAAGAAAGTGATGATGAGATACCACCACTTCAGGCCAAAGGGCGGAACAACGTATGTTGTCATGACAAACAAGATAGCCGTACCGACAGTTTGGACGCCAACGAACCACGACAACTTGCTGCTCCTCTCATGGAGAAAATGGATTTCTTCAACGATAAAAGGCGCAAGAGCCTCGCTTTGGCCTGCCGCCATGCTGAAGATGTTCCGGCCGGCAATGTGACTTGTGAGGGTGGTGGCATAAGCACACCAGAAACCAGTGATGATGAGAAGGATCAGGGAGAATAGGAACACTGGCCGGCGACCAATTGTCAGCGTTAGAGGCATGGATATGAGGTTACCAATACCCATGAAAAGAGTTGGATAGGTGACAAGATCGGTTACGCGGGCCGGATCATCGTTGGGGTAGGCCTTCATGACTGAGGGCATAACAGCACCAAGGCCAGAGGTTCCGAGGACAGCAATAGCGCTGTATAGTCCGACAAGGAATATAATTAAGAACTTGTGCCAAGTCGGTAGATTGAGGGGATCTATAGCGAGAAGGGAATGTCAGTGTGAAATCGAGAAGGTTAACCGAACGCCCTTGTAGGAGCACAGCTTGCTAAGTTAGGCGCGCAAGATGGAAAATGAGAGTAGTTTCTCTAAGCTTACCTTTGGGATCACTACTGGGGGTAGGAACGAGAACAATAGATCCATCTTGAAAAAGATTGATAGTTCCATAATCAGTAGTGGCTGGGTCACCAGGTTTGTCGCTCAAACTTTCCACGAACTCCACCTGAGTCTTCGACTCCACATCCTCCAATTTACTCATGATCGCGCTCCTTTCCTTGGAATAAGGTGTTAGGGAAGCTGTGATAGGCCTCAGAGGTACAAACAAGAACTAAGTGATAAATAGATAATGAATAAACTCAAAGCACCCTTCTTAAAGCAATGCAGACAACCTGTCTTCGCCGAATAGGTGTCTTGTCGACGATAGGACGGGCTGCTATTAGGTCCACTGGATAGCCATTTCAGACACGTATAACGACGTTGAGCTTTTGTACACAGATTCCAATCGCCTCTCCCTCCACATCACGGAGAACTAAGCCAGAGCTAGCTGTATCTGAATTAGACTGAATCTGGGGTGTGGGGAAAATCTGGAGAATCATAATCTTGGGGTCTTGTCAAGCGCTCCGGGCTCGGTCAATTTCTTATCTGCCAGCGTTAGTCTGTTATGTTTCCGATTTCCCCGCCTTTCAACCCGCGAACAAGTAATAAACTAGTGCGGCGGGTCAGTTTGACTTACCGAGCCGAGGTACCCCCTGACATGTTGCGTTCTCCCAATATCGTCTTCTGTATCATCGGCATCACCTACTGTCACTCGGTTCGGTATCACCATGCCCTCGTCGGCAATGCGATCGCATAGTGCAGCCCACAACGAGCCTGCCGCGACAGCCGCCACCACCGCGACCGGTTCCCATCTCTTAACATCATCGCCCTCGACCTCGACTCGCAGCACTAGCGGCGACAACCCAGGGCCGTCGTCGAAACGACGTCGAATCAACTTCGCCTGTGATTATTGTCGCTCGCGCAAGACTCGCTGCGATGAGGGCCAACCATCATGCTATGCTTGTTCAGCCGCCGGAATTCAGTGCGTCACCAGAAACCGCCGTCAACCATGGCTTGACGTTCGGCGGCATGAAGCTGGTAAAGGGCAGCATCGTAGTGAGTTAGAGGAGACGGCAAGACAAGACCAGATTGATTCCAATCCAATTTCAAGAGGTGCAGTCGCGTTGTCAGCAATACCAGCTCATGAAGATAGGAGAAGTGCACCGACTTCTCGCCAAGGCCGGCGACAACAGGATCATGAAAACGAGACAATGACTGCTGAAGAAAACACTACTTTATCTAGTATTCAGAGTCCGCCACAAACAGAGAATGACGCCACCATCGTCTCAAATCCACCTTGCAGCTATCCCGTACGTCAAGCTCAAGGTACATCGACCCATCGCTCTAGTATCATACAGGGTGATGATGATAGACCTGAGTTCAGATCTAGTTTGCCTATCATACACGCAGACTCCGGTAACACCTCTCTCGACTTCATGACCAGCTGGCTAGATCTTGCACGTCACCGTCTCCAGATCCCTCGATCAGGCCCTCGCCAAGCAGAACAGTCCGACAGCGACCCAGCCAATCACAGCGGGGCTACACAAAAAGACTCGGTTTTACCAGGTTTTCTGGGAACTTGGGATTTTCCAGAACAGGAAGCATTATCAACCTTGGTTGACTGGTTTCTCGAGGGCCCAAACATCGTGTTTCCTGTCCTCCAGCCAGACAAAATCAGGCATATAGCCCAGGTGGCATATGCAAATGGTCCCAAGTCTTTCACACAACAGTATGGGCTCGTGGCGCTAATGCAGGTATATCTTGTCATGATACTCGGCCACAGCTCAAAGCCCAACCAAGATCTTGGCTTCGATGCTGAGGGATGTCTGGAGTATTCGCAGAGCCTTCTTGGCTTCGTGTTGCAGCAGAGTACGATCGACGCCCTCCGAGCTGTCACTCTTTTGTCCATGGCGCTGCGATGTCATGAGAACCTGGCTGCAGCGGGACATACAATGAGCCTAGCTGTTTCCATGGCTATCTCGCTGGGCTTTCTGAAACAATCGCCTCACCTGCCGCCTGGGGAAGAAAGACGAAATGTTTGGATGAGTGTGTTTTCATTTGAGAAATTTCTCTCTTTTGAACTCGGCAGAGCGTCACTCATTGTAGATGACTATTCGGGCTTGCTACCTGACTCCAGTCTGCTAAGGGACAGGGAGCATGGAATGGACAATGCTGATTCAACAAATCAGTCGCGGCAGCGGCTACAGCACCCCATCTGCGAGGTCGTTCTGAGTCTGGCTACGGTACTAAACGATGTGGGCAGATTATGCGTCCAGGTTAGCCGGAAGGAGGACGACAAAAATGATGACAACACAACAGATATAATAAGAGAAAAGGTCCGAACAATAGGCCTATCCTGCGTGAGATTAATGAGTTGGGCATCAGATGTTTGCCCGTCTTGTTACAGGTGAGTTCCAGGTCTTCTTTTTCACTTGCTCTCATTGCCCTGTTCATAACCGCCACAGTACTGTGCCTGGGAGCTTTCTATTCGAAGCTAATGCGTTATAAATACACACAGCCCGATTATGGATATATTTTTCAATTCCAAATCACATCCGTTTGCATCGTTCATTGCAATGCAATATCACACAGCGTACGTAAAAATCCCCTTTCTCAGTGGCAAGGATTTGGAATAGAATACTGTATAACACTGACATTGAATTTTACGGAAAGCATGATTGTTGTAACCCGCAACAGTCTTCTCATTAGCGAGAAGGCCATTCGTCTCTCTGTCGATGTCATTGCTAAGGACGAACCATGGGAGTACGCCGTGCGGAATGGGCAGAGCTTAGCTGCAAATTCAGCGCGCAAGATCTTACGTCTTTTTCTGGAATCATCGGAGAATCAGACATATCCTGTACTCCCAAGTCTTGCTGGCCCATTGCATGCTATGGGCGCTCTGGCTGTGTTCGTCGTGACGCGGCAAAACTCAAGGATGGCAAGCATGGACCGCGAGCTTCTAAAAGCTGCAGCGCTTGCAGTCAAGGATGCACATACCCTAGGCAGGGTGGAGAGAGAGCTCGAATTCGCTCTCAATAAGCTCAACACGTTTGTAACAGCCGCTACAGGATCTCACAGGCACTATCGATCAAGGCCATCGCAGCGACCAGAAGCTGAAAGCTCCGCGCTTCCACCAGAGCTCACCACTAGAGAACAGGTCCCAATTTCGGCATGGAATCCTCTGTGGCAAGTTCCAGAGCATAATGCTTCACTGGTTCAGGGTAGTGGGGAGACTTTTAGCGTAATTCCAACTGGACAGATGAGTAACCTTGACGGTCAAAATGACTTGGCCTGTTCGGACTGGTGGATTGAGGATAGCTCTCCAATGATTATGGATGAGCTTGGATGGAATTGGGCAAACTTCTCTCAGCTTTTAGATGGCCGGGACAACCAGCCTCAAATACAGCTGTGAGACTTGATGTAGTCGTTCAAACGCGCTATTGGATTCTGCATTAGACCCCGCTCACAACGAGTTAGTGTGAAGAGTCATATCCGTGCGCATGCATGAGGAATGACCTCTGGGCTGGAGTTGACTACTCAAGGTCTAGCCAAAAAAATGCCGACCGGAACCTAGGCATCGAGATGCGTTGTTCCCGATACCGGACGTCAGACCCAACTGTTCACTATCGCAACACAAAACACAGTATGCACTCATTTTGCCGATACTAGAGAATCAAGAGGCGCCTTTGTGGGCTTGTGAGTAACATGCTCCTGACCTGTGGAATAGAGCCACAATTACCGGTGTCGCTCATCTAGTCCCCGTCGCTACGGAATTCAAACGCCGATTTGATACTCCTGCAAGCCTAGGCATCGTCTCCTAGTTCAGACGCCAATGTGCTTGCCTTGTTTCACTTCGGCATGTGGAGGGCTAGAACTTTTAATACCGAAGTCGTACTGATCAATCGAAGGCTGGGGGGATGTGGTGGCAACCAGCACACATCCGTCGGCTCGGGATCTTTCCAAGCCAAGGATCCAACCCCACCCTAGTCATGCATCGGCGACTCGCTAGCTTCACAGCCCATTGGGTATCGCATAATGCGCATGGTTGGCTGTGGGGTCTTATCTGGACCCGGCAATGCAGAAGAGGTTGAGCTAGCTGTGAGAATGCGGAGTCGCTTGTTGGGGACATTTGGTCTGGGGAATGGGGTCACCACGACCAGATCCCGATCCTTCGGCAAGAAGGAGATAGTGCAGCTTAGTATAATCCGATATGGCAGAAATCAGTCTTTATTATAGAGACCACATGGGCCTTCTAATCCTATCATTCTTTGCATTATTCTTTTGAACCTCCCGGGTGCTCGCCCTTATCGATTTCATACCAATATTCTGGCAATCTTTCTATCTACCATTACTGTATTGGACTGATGGCACGCGATAGAAAGTTCGATGTCGGGGTTGCAGTGATTGGTGGCGGGCCTGCTGGCATGGCAATAGCGCTCGGATGCATCAAAGCCGGCATCGACGTCAAGGTGTATGAACGATATCCCTATGCCAGGCCAGCAGGAAACATTCTCAATCTATGGCCACCAGCCATACACGCCCTCAGGTGCATGGGCGTGAGTACGACTGACCTCGGAGCTGCCTCGCCTGCAACCACGTTCCGGAATCCCAGTGGACATGTACGTGCTACGGTACGGCTGGCGGACGATGTCATAGAGAAATACGACGGCGGCTTTCTTGGGCTTTTGCGGCCAGATCTCTACAAACGGATGCTCTCGGCTATTCCCGAGGGCGTCATGGAGTTCAATAAATCCGTGACTGCATTCGAAGACACTGGCGACTGTGTTCGGATGACGTTGGGAGACGGTACTGTCATCAAAGCAGCTGTCATCATTGGTGCTGATGGCATCGACTCTTCTGTCCGCACTCACCTATGGGGTCAAAGTCCTCGAAGAAACCAAGACCTCCACGTGATCGGCGGCTTCACCTTTGACACTGCCGATGGTGTCATTCCTGACGAATGCGTCATCACCCACGACCCCCAAGTTCAGGGAACATACGGACCTCTTCTGAGCCAGGGCCGCAAAGGCCTTCAGTGGTGGTTCGTTGAGGGATGGCCTGATAGCAAGCCCGTGGAAGAAAGCCTCAAAAGCCGTGCTCAAACGCTGTCGAAAAGATTTCCCGGGCCCCTCAGTGAACTCGTGAACAGCACCGCCTCAGAGGATGTCGTCATGTGGCCAATTCGCGACAGGGTGCCACTCAAGAAATGGTCCAAGGGCCGGATGAGTCTTGCTGGAGACGCAGCCCACGCTACCTCACCTTACGCTGCTTACGGCGCGGGAATGTCCATCTCGGACGGATATTTCATAGCGCAAAGTCTATACAAAATTGACCTCTCGGACACAAATGCGGTCGCGAATGCACTCGAGCGGTATGAGGGATATCAGCTGGCACACACTACACACATGGTCGAATCGGCGTACTTTGTTGGCAGGCTCTTCCATCACGTTCCTTTTCCACTGAATTATCTTCGTAATCTGGTTCTGGACTGGACGTCCATGTTGCAACGTGAGGTTGGTGACAAGAACCCTGAGGAGATTACTGGACAGTTGAGGTTGATGGGGAAAGGCATTACTATCTAGAGTACGAGATGCTCTGAGCTTCCAGACTTCACTATTATACTTAGCAGTAATGGCTATTACTTGTAGAGAGGGAGCATAAAGACTGTTCATTCAAGGAATCTGATCTAACAGTGAGCAATGAGGAGCCAAACATCATTCTAATTCCTGTGCTCTACTATGCGAGTACGGCGAAATAGTTTAGCAAGGTGCTTCTTGAGGCAAGGCTAATAAGGAGATATCATAGGAATTTAGTACGGTAGTTAACCATTATTCAATGAAGTAGTATCAGTAATTCAATTCAAAGCAGGGTTTCATGTGCAGGGGGTACAATATCACATCACTCATCCAAAATTCTGCTTTGGTAAATATCTTTATAATCTTCATTACTCATATGATATGAAAATAGCTCCAAGAATACCACTTCAGTTGAACTTGCGATGCCAATTGCCAATAGCATCATTCAGCCTTCATCCATACAGTGATTCCTTTACACCCTGAAGCCTTAATTGAAAACAATATCTTGAGCTTGGCTAAGAGGTAGTCTTGGGTAGTTACCCGGCGACTGGGGTGCACTCGTAGGAAGCATTTTTGTCAGGTGAGCCACCCTAAGCCTCACGCTTGAATGGTGCGGTCTTGTGAGGAGGGCTGGCCTCGCGCTCCTTGAAGGGAGCAGTCTTGTGGGGAGGGCTTGCCTCCCGCTTGAAGGGAGCAGTCTTGTGGGGAGGGCTTGCCTCCCGCTTGAAGGGAGCAGTCTTGTGGGGAGGGCTTGCCTCCCGCTTGAAAGGTGCGGTCTTGTGAGGAGGACTGGCCTCGCGCTCCTTGAAGGGTGCGGTCTTGTGGGGTGGGCTGGGGTCCCTCTTAAACGGTGCGGTCTTGTGGGGAGGGCTTGCCTCGCGCTCCTTGAAAGGAGCAGTCTTGTGGGGGGGACTAGCCTCTCGCTTGAAGGGTGCAGTCTTGTGAGGAGGACTGGCCTCGCGCTCCTTGAAGGGTGCGGTCTTGTGAGGAGGACTAGCCTCCCGCTTGAAGGGCGCGGTCTTATGGGGTGGGCTACGCTTCCAGGGGGCTTCCACGGCGTCCCTCTTGAATGGGGCAGTCTTGTGTGGAGGACTGCGCTTGAATGGGGCAGTCTTGTGGGGTGGGCTTGCTTCGCGCTCCTTGAAAGGAGCGGTCTTGTGAGGAGGACTGGCCTCACGCGCCTTGAATGGTGCCGTCTTGTGGGGAGGACTGGCCTCGCGGACGGCGACCTCAGCGAGGGCAGCAGGAGCTGGAATGGCAGCAGCCGAGACCGCACCCGCCAGAAGGGGGAGGAAGACGATGCTGGAAAACTTCATGGTGAAGGTGGAGTCGATGGTTGTTGGTGAGGTTGCACTGAGTAAGATGGAAGAGGAGGTAGAGGAGACAAGGAGTGAGCTGTGAGTTGTGAGTCTTCTAACGGGGCGTTCGGCTTGAATATATACTTCTCTTCTCCCTATACTCCATCTTCAGCCGGACACGATGATGGTAACACCCATGCTACTGATCCTAGCGTATGTACTTACTGCCTTCGTATCGGCTGTTTTGCTCAGCGTTCCAGATGAAACTGCTTACTCGACTTCCAGCTACACTCGATCAAGCGTGATGACCACATCCGTGCTGATGCAGGAAGCATATTTGTCGTCGTATTGTTTGAGATGTTCGATCTTCCTAGTCACATTATGATAGGGGGTTTTTTTTTTGCGAGATATGTGTTATCATGGCTAGATTTTATTAACTCTTTTATTCTGGTCCTATGAGGTATTCGTTAGACTACACACACAATGTAGATTCAGCCATTACAGAAGGCTACGCAGCACTATACAAACCGGCACACGAGTAGTTTCCTATACCGCTTAGAATAGCTGGTGAGCTCCCCCCAAAGCGGATAACTACTACGGTGAGCTACATGCATAGCTAGTTTACAGATAGCATGCGCGACTTCGGAGATTACAAAACTACTTTAGGCGTTCCATCTCATGATGTCGCGATCCTAAATTCCCACTTTGGGCCTAGTCTCTGCTACGCATTGGTGGGACCCGATCCTTCCGAGATATCGTGCTGACGGTTGTCACTCAGCCTCACACATTCTCCTACCCTAAAAAGCTTAGTATCAAGGATAAGTTGACAGCATATAGGCTGAGCCTCCACGCTAAATTCAGCTCCTCCAGCCTCATATCGGGCCGGAGGACGGCGACGTAGTGGAATGGGATCTTGGTAGACGTGCACATTTAACCGGGCTCAACGGCGCTGCCCGCCATAGGCTAGAAGCCACCATGCCAGCCGTTAGTAGTAGCTAGTAACCAGCTGATTACAAGGGGACGTCGTTACAGCGCAACCTAATCATCAGCATGCCTGCTCAGCACAGATTAGCGCGAGCTTCTTTTGTGCCGCAAAGCCGTTGTTTACTATACATGCTCCTGAACGCGGGTGGCGTCTTTCTATTTTTCGCCTAGGTTCATGCAAGGATACTATGAATCAGCTTCACCAACATCTGCTGCAGTGTGAGATTCGTCCCTGGAATTCTATGGCCATTAAAAACCCAGCATTATGGCGATTTGCGTTGGTCATGATAGTAGAGTAATAGTCCGTAAGAGCCATAGAGCGTAGCTGTGACCAGTTTCGGCATTTCACAGCCGCACTTCAACCTTGCAGGCATTCGATCACATGATACTATTACAGTCACTAATCGATAACGAGGTACATTTTCGCTGTGGTTGCTTTCTTCTAGACCCATCTTCTTCTCATTCTTTTCTCCCATCATGCTCTCAATCCCACTCAGCGCCATCCCTATCCTCTTAATCCTCAACTGGTCCCAAGCATCCTCAATCCTATGGCAATGCAGACCCGGCCTTGCTGACCTGAACACCATCTACCCGGATCTGGCCCCTGATTTGAAAGAAAACAACACTGTCGGAGAGGGCACAGATGGACAAGTCCTATTTTCCACCTCATCCGCTACAGCGTTAAAACGCTTCTTCCTGGAGTCCACCACTCCAGACCGGATACACCACGAGTACTGGATTGGCCACACGCTTGTGCATCCTAACATCGCGGCAACGCACTCTTTGAACTATGTCGGGTCCGACACGAGGGGTTATTGGCAAATGGAAATGGAATACGTTCCCTTTGCCCTGCTTGACCTTCTCGACTATGACAGATGGGCTGAGCGGGCATGGTCCTTCGACGCCATCAGTTGCTTTTTCGCGCAAGTAGTTGACGCCGTTGCCCACATGCATGAATACGGGATTGCGCACCGCGACATCAAGGTTGAAAATATCATGGTGGCGCGGGATGGCACGGTCAAATTGATCGATTTTGGTAGCGCAGCAGTGTCTCGGAACTTGCTTACGGGCGCACGGATTGGAAGCTGGGCTAATTGGATTGGAACACCGATTACTATGGCGCCAGAAGTTCACGGAGAGCGCTTCTTTGATATGGAGAAGGCGGATGTATGGTCACTGGCTGTAGTATTTGTGAGGTTGTGGTTAGGTGTGTATCCTTGGGAGCCAGAGATGATATTGGGAGGGCTAGAAGAAAATGAAGCATTCGGGGTTTACACGGAGGAAATGAGGGATGAGAGAGCGTGTGGAGAAAGTGAAGATGAGGATAGATTGCTGTGCCAAATACCGCTCGAGAAAGCGCGAGTCGTGATTGCTGCGATGCTGGAGCTTGATCCGATGCGGAGGAGCACTTTGCCGATGGCCCTGAATAGCGCTTGGCTTAGAGAGGCATTCAATAAAATGCTTTATAACAAGTCTGCGTCTACTTGATGTGTCATGAAACCCAGCCACAAAGAATTTATCTTCTAGGGATTACATTAGTTATTGTATATAGAAATAGAATAGAAGTGTAAGAATCATCCATTAAAACCCGATTTCTTCCAGGCTACATAAATGTAAACTAGGATCAGCCTATAGACGATTCCTATCAGGCTTTTAAATCAAGCAGGGGCCTATACTTTGTTCCGTTGGACACAACGAACCGTTCCGCCACCTGGATAACCAACACTGGACGCAGGCCCATACGAGCCCGCAGGCAACATCCATTTGTAAGTACCTCTCCGTCCGCAGCCCTGAAACAGCTGCATTGGGCATTATAGATAAGAAGTTTTAGAATTTGAGTAACTCAAAGTGCACGTTTTCTTGAAGATGGGTAAACCTCACGCAAGCAGGTACATCGCCAGGTTTGCCGCAGATGACATTGGATGGAAGGTCTGTGCCTGGTTGTAAGCAGCAGGCGACTTGGGCGAGGACCGCTGGGGCGAGGGCTAGCGCAAGGCTGATGATGGTGGCGAGGTACTTTATGTTGGCGGCGAGATGGCAGTAGGTCAACCTTGATAGGGAAACTGACAGGAGATTTCCTAGAGGTTATAGATGAATGATCGATAGATGATTTTTGATAGTATGCCAGCTACTGCCTCGCTATAAACGCGGATCCCGTCGGGCATGTGCTCTAACTTCCATGACACTGATCCCTATATACTATTGCAGACAATGCTAGACTATTCGGCTGATTATGTCTTGGTATCAAGAGGTCCGGGCCATGTCATTTCGCAACTGAGCTTGGCTTCTACTCTATGGTACTCTGACCATAATTCATTCTGAAGGGATACTGGGAGTGGAAACTTATATGAATAAACCGTACAGTCCATAGTGATGTATCATCGGGTCAGGGCTTGTTGAAGGAAATGTAGATATTGTCAACAGTGTCGGTCTTTGTTTAGTGAGAGTGGGAATCCTCGGTCCTCAAGACTCGGGCGCCGGTCAGTCTTCTTCTAATAGCTTATTTCCAGATGTGTATGCCTACATATTGTGCTTAAGCTTGATTTCAACCTTACAGGTTACACCCTGACCGCAAAAGGAACGTATGCGGAGCTCTACTAAATTAAAATTACCGAGCATCATAATGCCTACACCTCAAGTACTAGCTCTGCGTCTGGTTTACCGTGGACACGCCGAGATTTAGTGTGAATCAAAAAAGAGCTTAAACTCTTATTGAATTATGGTTGATAGCTAGGATAAGCTTCTTGTGTAGTCTTGACTAGTTATAAATCCTACGGCGATGCTTGGAGGGCATTGTTTCGCCACTTCCTCTACCAAGCAAGACCGCTAGGGCGCTTCTACATATGCCGTTTGGACGACTGAAGAACGATGTATGACGAGCCCAACTTGCGGAAACGCAAAGCAGAACTCTAAGGCGGTTGTATCGTTCTGGGTGACTTTGTTTGAGACGTTGAGACATTACTAATAATGCAAAAGCTCGGCCGAGCTCAAGACGGACGCTCTCGCTCTCTTCCCGAAACCAAGGTCACATTACTACTAAGGCATGAGAAGTGAACTCCCAGTGTCAAAATGTTTGTAATCAAAGTCAAAGGCTCCGCTTGGATGGATATCATTTATCCGTGTTGACACTTGGGAATCGTATCCATTCCATGTGCCGTGCGGAAGCTTTGCTCTCCGACACTTTACAATTTGGTGACGCGTTACCATTCATCAGAGCCACGACGCTTCATGGAGCTTGTTTGGGATTGTGTCGTTGTTTTTCTTCTCTGGCGCTGAGGCCGATAGTTGGGTCGTCTTGTATTGGTGGGCTTGTGGCACAAGATACATGTCACGAGTTGTTTGGTGCGGCATTTGTCTAATCAAGCAGCATGTCGTTTATCGGTGATCGGTGGCAAGTTGTTTACAGAGCAAGTTAGTGTCCAGTTGGGTCGTGTGCAATATAGGGTGAACACGAGAAGCGAGACTCGGCAAGGAAGTCGACGGTAGGCTTACTGCAAGATAAATGGTTGCATCGTTAGTCGATGTTGCGGTGGTACCGTGGTGGAGTGCAATGGTTGGCCATGGTCATATTGGGCAAGCCACCGTCTTTCTGTGGGGACGGCATTGATTGGCTTGGAGGGAGTCAGTGTTGGATGCAAGGTCCATGGGATCCAGAGTATGGCATGTATAGCGGGTCGTGTCCCGACATCCGTTGAGAGTGGAGGCACAAAAGCAATGGGTGGGAATAGCGGAGTCGAAGGATGCGCTGGCGAGGGGTAGAGAGGGAGCGAGTGCAATCAGAGTGGCAGTTGGAAATGACACCCCACGCCGGTCATGCAGAGGACGCCCTGCGTAAGCGTTTTTTCTTCTTCTTCTCTTCTCAGGCTCTGAAACGTGCAGTGCATATGCAGCAAACGATACCAGTAGAGCATCGCAGCGATGGCGATGGTGGTGGCGGTGGTGGTGGTAGTGGGGTCGGAGGAGGGGATGGAATCGGACCTATTCAGGGTCTTCAGAGGTTGTACATGTGTACAAGTGTACTACGTGTAAGTAGGTAGTGTAGTATTGGTACATGTACTACGGCAGTCGGCCTTGTCAACGCAGTTCTCCCGAGCTGCAGGTAGCCGTGGTGCTGGCCTGGAGGCGCGAGCACGTCATGGAGCGAGTCGTGTGCTCTGGCTCGTCATTGCATTGCTGCGGTGTGAGGCGCACAGATGAGATGAGCATGAGGGCGGCGATGCGGGGTAGGCAGCGTGGTGGTGACACGAGACGGCGCCTCCAAAGCTGACGCCCATGGGCCGAGTCCTGGTATTATGTATGAGTGTGTGTGTGTGTTTGTGTTTGTGTGTGTGTGTGTCTGTATATGGCCGGCGGTGACGCTCCTCGGTTGGTGACGGGACAGTGGAAAGGCGCTGGATGGAGATGGAGCATGGCGACTAGCAGTAGCACGGGCGCATACATATCGCAGTGCTGAGTCAAGCAAGATAGCCTGCCTGTGGGGCCATACCAGTAGTGGTAGTAGTTAGTGTTCTGGAGTAGGTGTTGAGCTCTCACAAGGCCAGAGGGCTTCAAAGAAAGCCGCCTGCTGCTGCTGCTGTTGCTGCTGATGCAATAACGGCGCAGTGCAACCCCAAGAGAAGACACGGCCGCTGGCATCTACACGGCTCATGCTGCCCTCATGCTCTGCTCATGTCCAATGCGCTGCTCGCCCACCTGCGGTTTTGCCTCCCAGGACAATGCAGTTCTACGATGGGTATGGTGCGGACGGGCGTGGAAATTTCTCCGAGTCTCTCCCTCGTCGAGTCACCGTTTACTAGCCATGTCGATGTCGGCGCCAGATACAAAAGCATCGACGCTGCCTCGAAAACGCCCACCCACCCCCGGCTCCCTCTCACGCACCCATACCGGTACGTACAGGCCCAGTGCTCACATCCACCTGTCCATCCATCCATTCATCCATCCACCCATACACAACAACCCTCTCCCCCACGCATCCTCAACATCGACGTCAGCGGCACCATATCCGCCCTACGCGCCGCGCCTGTTTCGGACCCGACCGACCATCCCACGCCGTCCCAGGCCTTTGCCCGCGCGTTGCACTCCCTGCCCTGAACACTAACCTTAACCCTCCCCCTAACCCTCGTCGACCCTTTTGCTACCCTCGACCAGCCCGCCAGCCAATTGCACCTCTCCAATCTGCAGCCATCCCCACGCTACCTGCATCTGCTACCCCAGACTTCTCCCTGACCACCTTGCCCTCCCCTTACCCTTGCCCTCCACTCTGACGTCTTGCCGTCGCATACAGCGGCTTCTGGTCCTCTCTCCTCTGCTTCTCTCACTCCTGCTTTCATCACCCACCTGACTCGTCCCTTTTCAGCAAACTTTGTGGGATGAATTTCGGCTTCAAAAACGACACTTCGCACTGGCCCATAGGACAAGAACACATCAACCGATAGTCTGGTCACCTCCCCCCGCATCTCCCCTTCCTTCTCGTGATAGCGTCGGAATAAAAAAGTACCCCCTTGCTTTTTCCCACGCTCCTCAAACGCTTGCCCCATTGTGCTAGCAGCCTGTTTGGTCTATACGACTTACCAAATCGGAAAACTGCTGCAGGTGGGCACCCTGCCACCACGCGATCCATCACCACCATCGCAGTCTTACTATTCTTATCTTGCCGTTGGCCTGCGTAATGGAGTCTTCTTTAATCCTTCTATCTGCCAATATCCGCATTTTGGTACGTCGATTCTCCATTTATCATGCTCCTTTTGCTGCATTGCAGGGAAGAAAAGAAAAAAAATCTGCCTTTTACATCGGGGGCGGCCTTGGTGGCGGGTCCTTCATGCACGCCTTTGCGCAGGGTCGACGTCTTATCATCCCCTGCCGCACCAAGTTTTTCTTCCTCGCAAGTCGGCTTTAGCTAACATGATCACTTCCAAGGATACAGAGCTTGCTCTGATACACATTCCATTGCGCCTGTACCATACCTTTCTTCAGTCCATCCTCCAGCTAGTGTTGCCTAATGCAACTCGCGATGGCTTTGACAGTAGCTCGGGTGCTGTACAGCCTTTGAACAGCTGGCCCTTCGAGCATCCTTTCGTAAACATTTCAATCACCCCGGTCGAGTGTTCTATTGTGTGCTCGAGGGCGCTTGCCAATGAACTGTTCGTACCTGTCCTTGCTCTTCTCGATGCCGAGTCCCGAGAATCTGTAAACATTACTCAAGACGACTTTGTCGTCATGCAAGTCGACGGCGAAGGACTGGATGCTGGCCAACGTGTCCTCGAACTGACGAGTCCTCTTGCCCTTGCGGGCATGTGAGTATTATTGCTGCGTGCAAGACGATCCAAGGCTGACGCAACATTAGACCCATCTTCTTCATCACAACCTACTTCTCCGACTACATTCTCGTGCCCCTTCGACACCGCTCCCAAGTCGTACAAGCACTCGAAGAGCGCGGGTTTCAATTTGAAAAAGACACTTTGTCGTACGTCAACTCCTTCCAACCTGGTCGCAAGCATTCGGCCGCTTCTTTGGAAGTCCAACCCCCAAGGAGCCCGCCCCCAACTACCATCTCCGAACTGCAAACAAAGACTTTTGCTACCCTAAAGCGCCGCAACATCGTGCCGACGGTAGACTCTAGCATCCGCCTAGTGCAGTGCGCGGGCCGTCGAGATGGCATGAACCAAGCGCGCAACCGCAACAGCAGGACCACTGTTGCCGATGACGCACTCCATCTTGGCCTCGTAAAATGTCTCATTACACAGCCTTGTCCGAAATTTTTATCCCTCACGCTAACTGACACCGAATCCGCCGCTCTGCTCGTGGATCACACGCTACTACCGCACTTTGCTCAAGATACTTTGCTGGGCTCGAGGGACGAGTTCCTTACCCCTATTACACTTGATCTGAGGGAATTGCCCATGGAGAGTACGGGTATCGTGTGCGGCGTGGCGGGTCGGCTGGTGGGCGAGACGACGAGTCAACTGCAGGATCCTGTTGAAATGAGCTATTTAAGCACAGCGCGGGCAGGTACAGTCATGGTTGCAGAGGAAGAATTGCAACGGGCGCTAGGTGCTTTGCGAGGTGCAGAAAACGGTGTGGCAGCTGCGAATGAGTAATGGATTGGACAGAGCCGTGCTCATGTGGAGCGATTGGTACTTTATGATTGTACGCATTATTGTAGCCTGGGTGGAGTTTTTCTTGGATGCGCATGCATTGGCTGACTGGCCGCAAAAATGGTGTGGGGTTGTTCTCTTTTTCTGCATCTACTCTCGGTAGCAAGTCGACATGATGGTGGGAGTGTTTTTTATGTTTTGTTTCTCTCTTCATTTATCACAATCCAACGGTAATGTACTGATTCCAAGTTCTCTGCTTACCGTCTTCGAGATGCACGCGGCCACCTGTCCATGCAGTCTCATACTCATGCATATGTACAATAGTAGTGGGGGAGCCAGACAAGAAGGGTCCACACGCGTTCCTCGTGGGGCCGGGTCAAAACGCGCCGGAAATAAGCTCGAACCCTTCCTTAACCCCGGACGTGCATGACACTAGACTAGAAATGCGTTTCCACAACAAACAGACATCCATATCAGCCCAATTCTTATCCACTCCAGCACCACAGTCTTAATCTGAATGCAGCGAGCACAACGCGTCAATACAAAATGCCGCCATCGCATTCCTCATACACAGCAAGCCCGACGCGCTTCCAATCACCCCAACGCAGCCCGTCGCGTCCGCCCTCGCAAGATGGATCGCAGTACGAGATGGATCTAGACGCCTTAGGCCTCAATTCGACATTTGAATCGACAGAGCTTGAGCATAGCCATCAGCCGCCCGTTGACCGTGTAGACACGAGCGAGATCGAGGGACCAGAAGATTTCACCATGAACATGACCTACTGGATGACGGCCGATCTGCCCCTGGCGCAAATCAAGTCGCGGAAAGAGGCCAATACCAAGCGCCCGACGGCAAGGATGGATGCTATACCAGACGGCAGCGAAGGGCGGCAGGCGACAGAGGTGGGTGAACCGGTAGTTGTAGTCGAAGAGCCCAGGCAACGGTCAGACAAGCTGTCTCGTACAGCGTCACCCAATAGGCGCGCAAACGGCTCGTCGGAAGAACGACGGCACAGCAAAGCGGTGTCGGAACGATCGATGGAGAATGATGAAAAGGTTCGCAGCTTCCTCAGCAACCTCCCAGACACAGAAATGGATGGCGCACTCACCGGAACGCCACTCCATGGGCCCCGGCGTAGTTTCTTGCAGGTTCCTAGGTCTTCACCACCAAAGGCGCGATCACTGCAACCTACCGTCGAAGACTATGATACTCCGCGGAAACCCACCCTAGAGACCGTCATACGCCATACGTCGGCCATCATTGATACGAACGAACAGGACGTCGCCCGCAACAAGATTGCAGAGCTACAGCATCAGCTCGAACAGCAAGAGTCGTCTTCGAGGTCGCGCATCACAGAACTCGAAACCATCTTGTCGTATACTCGTTCCGAGCTCGAAAGCACCCGTGCTGAGAACTACAAACACAAGGAAAAGTTGTCGAGCCTGGAAAAGAGCATGCAGCGTCAGAGTGCTGATCATGATGCAGCTCGCGCAGCTGCTGATGTCCGCTTGAAGTCGCTTGAAGAAATCGAGCGCCAGCGGAACAATCTCGAAGATTCGAACCGACAGCTTGCGGAAGAGATCAAGACAAAAGACCATAGCCTAGACGAGGTGCAAGCGGAGTTGTCGCACGCTAGGCTTTCGCATGAGCGGGAGGTCCAAGACTTGAAAGGCACAGAGGTACAACGGTCTGATAAAACGGACGAGAGTGCGGAGAATAAACGATTGTTGCTGGCCGAGCAGCTGTCTTCAGTTCAGGCACGAGCCAATGCTCTTCAGTCCAATCTCCAAACGGCGACAGCTGAAGCAAAGCTGGCACGTGAGGAGGCACGGGAAAAGAATCAAATATGGTCTGCAGTCGAAGCAACTGCCTCCGAGCAGACTCGACGCATTGTTAAGCTTGAAGGGGAACTGCAAAATGTGCGTTTCGAAGCTCAGTGTGCAAAGGCTGATGCCGCAGCTAAGCAGCAATTGTTCCAAACAAATCTCGAGCTCAACACTCGTCTTCGTGCGCTCCAGTCTGAACTCGAGAGGGCGCAAAAGGACTCTACTGGGCACGGCCAGCGCACTGAGCCTGATGAATTAGAGGCTCGAATTAGCTCTCTCCAATCCCAGCTGGATTCCGTACGTGCAGATAATGCTGCAAAAGACCAACAACTTCAACACACGATCTCTCTAGAAACAGAAGTGCAGTCACTTCGAGCTCGAATTACGGCTCCTAGGGACGATCAGACTACCAATGATGGACAGCCTCGCCAGGTTGTTGAGCTGGAGGCTCGTATACGATCTCTCCAATCCCAGCTTCAATCTGTGCAGTCTGAGCTCGCAACCAAGGATCAAGAGATGAGAAATATTATTGAGGAGCAGGAGCAGGCTGAGCATCGAATCAACATGTACCAGGGCCGCTTGCAAAGCCTAGAAGCTGGCAATGCTAATCTTCGCCAACAACTAGCAGAAGCACACCGTGAAAGTGCTCAAGCAAGAGGCGATGCTGAACGATTTGAACGAGACTTGGAAGATGCCAATGATCTGTTGAAAGAGGCCCGAGCCGAGGCAGACCGCCGTGTCAGCGACATTGACAAGAAGCTCAGCAAGATGAAGGAATTGAAGGCCGAGGTCGAGACCAAGTTTAAAGAATTACGAGCGCAACACGAAGATATGATTGAAGAACACGATACCACAATGGAAGAAGTCCGCGACAAGGCCGAAGATGCCGTGCGCAAAGCCGGCGCACTCCTGGAGCAAGAGCGCAGCGAAAAGCGACGCATAACACGAGACCTCAAGCGGATCAAAGAAGAAGTCGAAACACTGCGTAACAGTGCAGCACAACAGGTGCAGAGCCAAGACGATGACGAATCCACTGTGGATGACCATGACACGATAACCAACTCATCCGCCACGGCTACCAATGCTCAAGCTACGGAGATTACTAGTCTCCACAGCATCATCCGCACCCAACTTGCCGACATCAAAACTCTCAAGTCAGAAGTTTCGGCCCTCCGTAAAGAAAGCAAGACGCACAAGTCCACGCGCTCGGGCTCCTCTCCTTCCACCATCTCTGTACTCGAATCCACCATTTCCGCCCTCCGCGCAGAAAACGCATCTCTCCAATCTCTCCTCGCTACCAAAGAAGCAGACCATGAGGCTGTGAACAAAGCCATGGATGAAAAATTGGCAGTTTTATTGAGTAAAGTGATGAAAGAAAAGGCGAAGACGCTCGTGGGGAAACGCGATGGGCAGTGGAGTGAGAGTGTCCGGGAGTTGGAGAGTGAGAGGGAGATGTTGGGTAAAGTAGTAATGAGGCAGTGGGGGAGAGAGGAATTGGGTATTGAAGAGGAGAGGGATACGAAGGATGGAAAGCAGGCATATCGGTACAAGTATGCTAAGCGGGCATGAATGTTCATTTTTTTGTTAAGATATTAGTTGAGGATCTTGGATGAAGCGGTTACAGGGGCGTTTTTTTTGGCTTTCATGAACGCCCTCTTTTTTTTCAATGTGAATATGACATCCTTGGTATGATCCAGGCGCGCATTTGCATGAGTGTATGAATCGAATTTCGACGCCTATTCCATTCGAAATCCCCAAAACTTGATCACCATTCCCCCATCTGCATCGTGTATCCCCCAACGAAAACTCAAAGCAGTCCTTTCCTTGCCAAATCCACCTTTTTCGCAAACTCGCCCTCGCTCCATCCACCTTTAGATCCGCAAATCGCAATTCCGTCGCCCAGCTCAACTTTATCTTCTACACTTTCCCATGCGCAGGGGCAGTGATGCGGGAAATGGACGCAGGAGAGAGTACCGGGGCAGAGGTAGTGTGAGCATTGTGCTGTTGTTGACTTGAGATCAGCCGTGGAACTTCCATATAAAATATACGTAGGTATAATGGGGGGGAATGTAGTTACTTACCGCCTTCATACTGCGCCTGATACCAACTACTATCGCTCCGCACATTCTGCGCCTCACCATGATGATTGTGTCCGCCACCATGGTGGTGACCGCCGCCGCCATGATTCCCGCCGCCGAACATTTGGTCGAAGAAGCCGAATTGGGCGGCTATGGGGTATGTGAGGGAGAAGAGGACGAGGATGAGTGAGGTGAGGCGAGACATTTTCTTCTTGAGATCTTTTTAGAATTTTTTTCCTTCTATTTTTTCTCTAGAGTGCGAAACAGGACAATGAATGACTGGACTTGGAGGAGAATACACGGGTCTTCGCAGAGAGATATAGGGATGCAGGGACCTTTGAACATGCGAAGTGGATGATGTGGAGGTTTAGGCTTCTGGGTAAATCGGGGGTGCAAACAGTGCAAACTCCCCAATCTCTGATTGGTTGCCAGTCTTGTTGCAGGGATGCAGCGGTCGAGCGCGTGTCTTGGCGAAAATGGGGAGCTCGGTGGTCCGACGAGAAAAAAATGCCGACTTACTTGGAACTTTCCTTGAAGCTACCCTACCGACTAGCTTTTTCTGCTTCGCGATTCACCCACTCGTCCCCGTCGCCAACATTTACTCTTCTTCGCAAACCCCCGTAAAGTCAATTCTTGCGCACCAACATCTCGCAGCGTACGTCTCCAGCCTCCCTCGCCTTCTTCCTGCCCTGCGTGCGCGCGCAAAAATCAGAAGACACAATACCGAACGCAGAGCTAACGTGAAAACCGTTCACAGCATGCATCTCATGTACATTCCCGACCCGGCGAACCCGTCGAAGCGCATCTACACGCTCAAGAAAGTGATTGATGGCGAGGTCAGCAAGAGCGCGCACCCGGCGCGCTTCTCGCCCGACGACAAGTACAGCAGGCACAGGGTTACGATTAAGAAGCGATACGGTCTTCTTTTGACGCAGCAAAGTATGTTTTTTTTTCTCTCTTTGAGCGGTGGGGTTTTTGGGTGGGGGAGTGAAGTGGATTGAATTGGGAGATGGGCAAGAAGCTAACACGTGAGCAGAGAACAAGGTTGCTGAGAAGATCTGAGTGTGGGAATGTGATTGCACGAGCAGATGCGATATATATCAACGGGGTGTGTGTTGGGGGAGTAAAGAAGAGATGGGGGGAATGTCCAGAGGGGAACAAAGAGAGTGTGGATCAAGGGCGTTTACAGGCGTAAAATGGGCGAGGGCAAAAACTGTCTCATTGAGAGAATGTCACGCCATACTTTGAGGAAATGGGGTTTTTGCTTGCATGGGGTTGCAAATGTCTCTTATAGCAATGTTGCGGGCTACATGGTCCTTATATGCGGCTTACTTACACATTTTCAGTGGGAGTGAACATGTGGAAATGCCTTTGTGAATGCGATAACCCAGCTGATGATGTCACGTTTTGCGATTGATTTAACTCTCCAGTTACCATGCAATATGTTTTGGCTATTATATCTTCGCCCACCTACCCTCCCATCCACGCTAGCAATGTGAAAGCTTTCCATTTCAAACAAGATGAATAATTCCACATTAACTACCAATAGCCAAAAGTGTTAAGACGTAGCAAATGAACGAAGAAGAAAAAGAATATACCTTTTTGGAAGTGAAAAAAGAGAGACATGGAAAGATATAAAACGCCCCAGAAACCCCGAACATTAGGCTTGGTATCGAAACACATGCTTTCTCCGTACTTCCCCGTTCACCACATTCATCTCGATCGTTGTCATGGAAAGAAAAAAGAAGAAAAAAAAATCAATACTAGCACATTCTCAAGTGTCCAGTCAAGTCAACCGTGCCAATGGGTGCTATTTCAAGGGGAAGAGAGATGGGGTGGGAGACGACTACAATGTACATCTCCTCCTCACCTTCTTCTCTTTATTCAGCCTCTCAACTACCTCTTCCACGTTAGCGAATTGCTCGTAGAACTGTAGCGATTGGGGGTTTAGCAGCGTGCCGCTGGGTTTGATCTTCTTGCCTGAGACGATTTGCTTGACAGGGAGTTCGACTTTCTTGAGGTTTACAGTCGTCTAAACAGTGTTTGTTAGCTTTTTTTCTTCTTCTTTTGCACTAAACGATATTTCGACACACTATGTTTGCCCTTCCCCCCCTCTCTCTCTCTCTCTCCTCATAAGAATGAAGGGGGAAGGGGGAAAGAAATTGGATAAGGAGAGGAAAAGAAGAAAAAAGAAAAAAAAGAAAAAAAGGACAAAACGCATAACGTACCGGAATTTCCCAAGTCTGAAACACAAACCGCGGAACATGCCTTTTACTTCTCTCTTCCGCAATTTTGCTCTTGATCCGTTCGACCAGGCCCTCTCTGAATTCATGACCCTGTGCCATTTTCAAAAACAACATGACGCTCTCATCTACATCCTGCGGCCGGCGCTGCCCGACAACCATGCAGTCTGCGACCTGTGGAAAATGCGCTTCAATCACACTGTATATATCCGCCGACCCAAAGCGCACGCCAGATGGATTCAACACGCCGTCTGCACGGCCGAGAAAGAAGATCTGGCCCGTGACGGGATGCATCTGGATGAAGTCGCCGTGCGTCCAGACATGCGGAAAGCGCGCATAGTAGGCGCTTTTGTACTTTTTGCCCGTGGCGTCGTCGCCCCAAAAGCAAACGGGCTGATTGGGAAACGAAGCCGTGGCGACAAGCTCGCCTGCAACGCCGTCTGGAACTGCTTCTCCAGGCGTCCCACTTGGGATCAGGGCATTGTAGACTTCGACTTTTGTGCCTAGACACGGGCCCTGACACCCGCCTGCGTACAGGGGCTCCAGCGGGTTTTCCATGCCGAACCGCCCGGCGATGTCAGTGCCGCCGGATATGTTTCTGAGGTGGACGGAGGCCGGGAAGGCGTCGTCGTAGAACCAGGCGAATTGCGCTTCAGGCAGTACCATGCCGGTTGTGCCTACGCTCTTAAGGTGCGACAAGTCGAACAGCGAGCGTGGCCGGATATTCCTTTTCTGGAGCTCGTGCAGGAAGCGGGGCGATGTACCAAAGTCTGTGACGCGCTGGGAAGAGAGGATGGAGAGGAAGCCTTGGGGTGTTGGGCGAAAGGGAGAGCCGTCGTAGAGGATGCTGCGACACCCGAAGAGTAGGATCTGGATAGATACGAGATACATGATCCAGCCAGTCTGTTTCGACTATTGTCAGTGGCAGGAATGGGTAAAGAAGGTAGGACTTTACAGTTGTATATTGCAGTATCACACTTTCCGGTGTCACTTCCTTGTGCAGAATACTCTCTTTGCACACGTTGATTAGCACGCCACCAGTCGAATGCGCAATGCATTTCGGCACACCCGTAGTCCCACTAGAGTACACAATCAGAAAAGGGTCGCGAAACGCAACTCGCTCGAAAACAAGGTTCTCGTTGCCTTGTGCTGCTTGCAGAAAGGTCGCGAGTGTTTGCGTACTGCCCAGTCCCTCTATGCCTGCTGGGCAGCCACGAAAACGCGGCTGTGTTACTACGCCTTCGAATTCCGGTACGTCTTGCATACCTGCCACGAGCTGGCTAATCTTGGGCCGCAGATCTATCGTCTTGCCGTTGTACACAGCCCAGTCGTCCACAAAGATGTACTTTGGCTTAATCTGCAAGAGGCGCTCAAGAATGCCTTTTGCGCCCATGTCGGTACTGCTGGAGCTGAAGAGCGCGCCCAAGCTGACTGTAGCCATGAAGACGATGAACGTGTCGAAACTAGTAGATGCAATGAGGGCTACTCGATCTCCTTTCTGCACTCCCTTTGCACGCAGCGCATTGGAGAGGAGGCCCACGCGGCGGCGAAGCTCACCCCAAGTTAGATGCGCTACATCTGTATTTCCTTCTCGGATTTCTGTCAGCGCGATTTTGTCGTCTTCTTTGTGTAAAGTGGTGCAACGTGATGAATTCATGTCAGATGCGGTGAAGAGAATGTTTTCTGCAAAGTTGAGATATGTGCCGTGGAACCAGTGGGGGTTTTCTTCCATGGGGATCGAGGTGTCGACGACCTAGTATGTTCAGTGAAGAGCGATGCAGAGGTCTTAGACTGTAGAGTTTACCTGCTTATAGGAACCAGAATGAATCAAGTTGGACATCGTCCACACGTCTTCCCAGAAATCAGTTCGATTTGGGCCAACACTCCACGCGTACAAATCACGATAGGTCTGTTCTCACGTGTTAGATACTGGTTGTTTATTTGCAAACCTTAAAATGAAGAGGCAAGTGACTCGCCTCCATCTTTAGTCCATGTTTAGCATTCGCATTTTGCATGAATTTCCACATGGCCGTCGACTTTGGATCCGGGTGCTCCCATAGTTTACGCGGCATGGGCATACTGGAAGCCGACTGAGACTCGTAACCATGCCCACCTATATCCATTGCCTGTTGTATCATGTTTCTTTGTAGGCGAGAAAAGTCGATGTCGAGACTAAAACGAAGCAAACCAACGGTTCGGCCACAAACGCCGCCGAACTGCTATATGTTGTACAAGGAGAGGAGCAAAACCAAAGCCCAAGGCTGACTGGGGGCGAACAAAGTTTGATCTATCATGTGGGAGAAGAGGGATTTTTGTTTACATTCTCGACGAGGGGTACCACCCAGGTGTTATGCTCACAATTCTGTTTTCTTTCTTTTTCGTTTGTTCAACTCAAAACTCCCTGGATGATCGCCACCACGGAAGACACGGATCTTGGAAACACAGCTGTAGTGTTGGGGGGGGGGCATGCATGTCGACTCTGGAACCGCCGACAGGTCCCAAGCCCCGAAAAGCAACAATTGGAGAGGGATCGAATGCATGATATGTGACATAGATTCGCGCTGAGCCAGATAGGGGAGAGAGGCCTGGAGACAAGTGCAAGAGATGCTACTGTTGTCTCATGCAGTGTTTCGAGGTACAAGAAGTGGGTTGGATGCGCTGTAATGACATGTACATAAGTAGATGTTCTGCCGCTTACCGCAATCAGACGAGAGGTTGAAGGTCTGCGGGGAACCCTCCGGGCGCATCAAACAAACATTTTCGTTGCTTTTCCCGGCTTGGCCTACATATGCCGTGTACAATTGGGAGGTTTGCTTGGATGGTCTTATCGCGCCTTGCTCTTTGATTTTTGCAAGCGCAGAGATTAATGCTCCAACGCGATGCCAACTGAACCCCTTTATAGTTCTAGATTTTGAGCTGAAAGCAGTGCATCTAGATGCTGTCATCCATTGGTACCTTGGATATATAGTGTTTTGAAACGGTGGTCTATTTTAGACTTGTGATCGGCGATGCGGAGTAGTCTGTACCGACGTCAGAATTGGGTAGGGCGGAGTTGTCTGGACAGTTTGGAGACTTGGAGCTAGTACTGCATGCCAGCGATCACCACGTGATCTCAGCTTGAGGTGCAAAAGTATCTCAAGATTTCTCACAAAAACACACGACAGCGGGGATTTGTGAGTGATTGGCCACCTGAATACAATTCACCGGCGAAACGGCTCACTCAAGAATATCGAACATGTTTCGATGATCATATGTAACTACGAAATATTATGATTTGATGTATTATACCCACTTCTATGAATTAGGAATAGCTGCAAGGTAAGCCATATGTTCAAATTTTTCTATCATTGATGATCAAAACCAATTTGATCATAATTTTTATGCATATTTTGACTTGCTAAAGTTGAGTTGGAAATGCAATCACAGTACAGACAAGTATTCACGTGATCCCAGTCACATGACCTTCTCCCAGCAATCTCCGCACCCCCCCCCCCCCCACGTCCTCCACCCTTGCTCGCACGACGCAATCAACCCGCTATCCAAATGTCCTCTCGTACACCCAAATTTCCAAATTTCCAAGCACACGGTCCCCGCACTCGCTCAAACAATAGTCTTGCGGGCTCAGACCCACATCTACCGAGCACTCGGTTATTAAACACTATATTTCAAACGCGCTGACAGGCAACCGGCTTGGAAAGGGTGTGCACATCATATGTGGAATTAAATCATGGGGGCATGTGGTTTAGATAAGGTCGGTAAAATTTTGGGGGGATTTCCCCGCCGGGTGAAGGCGATAAGGCGGGTGGGTTATTGGGAGTGCGAGGGCTAATTAATGAGGTTTTCTTTGGGGGAGTGTTGCTTGCGATGTCGTGCAATATGTACGTGCAGGACGGGATATGGAATTGTGCAGCTATGGGCCGTGTTTCCTCTGACCTTGTTCTTCCGCCGTACCCCGGTGGCCGAATCATGAACGAAAGTAGGTGAATAAGGTTGGGTGGGGGATGATGGTGTCAGCGTGGCGAGTATGGCGATTTCGACTAAGCTATTGCGCTGCATGTTTAGTAGTAGAAAAGTACAATAGGAGATTCTAGACATCAAGGCGCTGATAGGAGATGGATTTAGTTGCAGTTAGAGGTCTCTTTCAAACTTGATGTTTGATTGCATGTATGTTGCGTCTATGACAGATTCATTTCTTCGTATGTCTTGCAAGTCTATGATTTCACATAGTTGAGAGATTGTATCATCAACCTAAATCCCTTAAGCATATGACTTCTCGTTACTATCTCTAGCGCGGATTAAGCTTCTCTTTGCAACGCTGGTAGTCCTTTTTGGGAACCCTTCCCAGGAATTGGCATAGGTAGCAACAGCTGTTCCGGCAAAAATGGCAGCCTGCTCAGGGGTCTTTTGCACATCTGGGCCTGTCGAAGTTCCTCCGACGGGAATGCCAGCATCGACAAAAGGTACATGATCGGAGCGGCCGTCGTACTCCTTTAGGATGGTGCTTGTTCCTGCAGCTTTGAAGTACTGCTAGAAGAGGTTTTGTATCTGAGTGGAGCCGTCGGGTCCAGGCGTGCCAAAGGCCTTGCCATCGCCATCGTAGGTTTGATGGACGTAGTTGAGCGAGCCAAGCTAGAACATAACCGTAAGCAGCCACGTCTACAGAGCATGAAGTGCAAGACGTACCAGATCGAAATTCAAATAAGCGCGGGTTTTGGCATTGTCAGCTGGAGTGAGGTTCTTGATGAAATGTGTTGAGCCGGGAAGATAACCGGCCAGTTGGGTGGTCCAAAAGGCAAATGTTACCGCGTTCTTGATTTAGTATTTTGACAGTCCTTTGGCGACCTCATAGACCCCAACTAGGCCACTTGCAACGTCGTTGATTGCTGGGCCCTCAAGCACACCATCCGAGTGAGCACCGACAATGAGCTTGTTGTTGTGGTCACCGGATTTGGTGGTAGCAATGAGGTTTGATGAAGTGATGTTGCGGATGTCTGTGATACTCGTATGAGCCATCTTACCTCTTCGAATCATTGAACAGCTTACCTGAGTAGACATCAAAACTGGCAGATATCTTTTCTCCGCGTTTGAGTGCCGCGACTATGGGAGTAGATACATTCTTGATGATATTCAGGGTAGGGACGTATGGACCCTCAGGCCGAGGAGGAGCGAGCAGAGTGCCGTCTTCAGGGCCTCTGTCATCGATGTTGTACAGAATAGATCCGACAGCTCCAGCGGGGCCAGAATAAGCAGATTTGATACCATAGTCGCATGTCCCACGGGCTATGAGGGTAATCTTGTCAGCTACCTCCGCAGTATAATCAGTCTGGAAATTTTCAGATTAGTTGCAAGTCAGATAATTTAGCAAGGTGATTTCACAAGCATACTCTATTACATCCACCTTCGACGATGATCAAAGGAGCAGTGACTTTTGCAGTGGGAGAATATTCGACAGAGCAGTGCCATTGATGGAGAAGGAGTTTATCTGGTCACTCCAGGAAATTACCTAGGGAAACGTCTGGAGGGAAACATCGTAGTAGTTGAGGGCATCAAGATTGTCTTTGAGCTACTCGAGTGTTGCTTGCTGTCCTAGGCTACCCATGCTTCGACTCTTGTTTGGAGTGACATTGGCAAAGTCTTCCAGTTTTCGCACACTGGCCAACAAGTTATCACGCAGGATTTGAGACTTGAGCAGTACCTGGAGATTGTTAGAGCATGAAGCGTTTTGCTAAGATGCAGTCGACGTCTTACGGGGCTCACGGCCGGTTTGTCACTTGCAGAAGCGCTAGCAACAAGCGCAGTGAATATGATGGAATACCTCATAGTGTGGACTACGAGAACGGGTATTCACAAAGATGGTTTAGGAAACGATGTGGGAAACAACAGAGCTGACTGTAGCGGAGGTGGTCGCTTTTAACACCCTTGATGTGACCCCTCAAGTGATGTATAGATGCAGCCTTCTGTCGAGGGCTTACTGCTCTGTGAATGGACCAGCAAGGTATCGACGACGTAGATGAATGCTGGCAGCGGCAGGATGGCGGTGATATGGAGTAAGCACCAGCATCGGGGGGAATACATAGCGACGTACCGCAGTAGATTTGGTGTATTCGGATGCTGCGCAATGCTGTACGGTGAGTAGTCGAGAAGGAGTGCGTCAGATAGAGGAATCCAGTGGCCAGTAGGCAGAGACGTGAGCAATAGAATAGAGCAAACACGCAAGGTTGGCTGTTAGATGGCGGCAAGACTAACTTTGATTTGTGTGTGCAAGGTCAGGAAGGTGCACTAGGCCAGATGGAGCAAACAATCCATGCACGTTTAGCTGCATATCAGAACGGTTTGGGGGTATTCGGTACGCGAAGAAATAAGATTGATCGATCCGATGTAATGCATGGGCTATGATTCGCCGAGTTGATGCAATGATGGTAGGAGACTCCTTGTCGGGCTAGTTGCTAGGTCACGTGGCAAACACTATACATTTTCTGGAAAGATTTGGTCACTTTCAGTGGATGACTTGAAATATCACCTGTCGAAGAAAGCGTCATTAAGGTTCACGCCTATGACGCCCGGACAAATATCGCAGACTATAGAGATACCAAGAACCCTTTAGGCGCTGTTCTGCTTTGTCTGAGACCGAGCAGAGGGTAAGATGTCATCCATACGTAGCCGTGGATTGCAGCGTATTAGTCATTGATTCAAGCCTTGAGATGGTTTGGTCATTTTCATGATCAAAAGGTCTCGAGCTCATATATACTCGGGGCGACTGTCACGGAGGGAAGAAGCGCAATGTCTGCCTAGATGCCATGTTTCTTGGCGTCATTGCTGAGGCTACTAGCAGACAAAGCTCAGGTTAGTGGTGCCCGTATTCCGCCTTGCAACACATGGCCCCGATTGTGGCGAGTTTGGGGGCAGCGGTGTAGACCCATGTCTTACAGACAACAGCCTTGGGTTGGTCGGGTGCTGCCGAGTCACACTGCGCACGAGGCTGTTTCCACGAAAAGGGCTGCTGGGATGGGTGCGGCGATGGAAATGCAACACGGGGTGCCGTCAGCGTGGTTGATGGTAAGTAAGTATAGCCATGTGAGTAGTATTAATAGGGAAGCCAGAGGGTCGGGTGGAGGGTGAGTAAGCAGAGAATACGTGGTGCAGGGAAGTATTAGGATGTACACTACACTAATAGCAGGTGGGGCGATGGTTCCTTCCTCAGGCCACGGCTAGGAGTCAGGCGGTGAGGCTTGGCAGGCGGCGACGGGGCGGCCATGACATCAGCATCGTAAAGGGAGCTGAGACCATGAGTGGAATGAGCAGGCTTCAGGAACGAACGTGTGCAGCGTCAGCATGGCAGTGGGAGCTAAAGATGATGGTCAAGCGGCAGTGGAGTGACTAATGCCGCGATCAGCAGGGCATGGTAGGGTGGGTCGTGAGCTAGTGGATTGGATATGTAGGTACGAAGGTACTTGGGTACGTACTAGGGACTTGTTCGGGTACATACCACGCGGTACGGTTGGGCGTGGCGTTGCTGCAGGACGAGGAACATGCAGGGCGTTTGCAGCGTGCTGGCGCACAAACGGTTCGAGAAAGGGCGGGGGTGAAAAGAAGAAAAAGGCGAGCGGTGAAACGGATGTGCAGCGGGTTGCAACACGCGATGATTGTGATGATGCAGGCAGAGTAGAGGGGCTGAGGATGTGAGGGTGTGAGTGCGTGTCTACAATGCAAGTAATCACTCGATGCTTAGATGGATACAGCTAGAGGTAGATGGACGGCGGGGCGCTTGGTGGTGAGAAGGTGGCACGGGCCTGTGTTCCGAGCGCGAGCGTTGCCATCGCTGTGGAGCAATCTATGTGTGCAGCTGGCAGATTGGCGAGACGAGCTTGATGTGGCGGTCTGGTCAGGCGCTCAGCAGGGCGTGGGCAGGGCAGAGGGCTGCAATCTCGGGCTGAGTTTGGAGTGGCTATTGATATCGACGAAGAGGCTGTAGGTGGGTCTGAGGGCATGCTGGCGGTGTGGGCAGGCGACAGGACAGAAAGGGGATGGCGGTGACGGCGCTCGCAGGCACAGGTGGTGCAGCTGCAGGTGACATGGGCCCGAGGATGCTACTAGGACTAGGAGCAAAATACTACTATTTGGTACTAGCACCAGAGCCGGAGCCGGAGCCAGAGCCAGAGCCAGGGCACAGCCAGGCAAGGTCATCAGCACGTCCCGGTACCTGAGCTGCCCAGCGGCGGCACAACCCTCGACTCGGAGCCAGCCAGATACCAATGTTTGGGCCAGTGGGTTGGTGAATGCGCCGAGCAGAGAGAGGACAGGTGCATGTATACACATGGAGTAAACAGCCGTCTAGTCTAGACTAACATGTCGAAATGCAGATGCAGATGCAGAGGCAGACAGGGAAACGGATAGTATACAGTACATAGTACATAACAACAACATATGGCAGCAGCCGACGGAGAGAACAGAGCCAAGACATGGAAAATGTCACGACGGGTGGAGCGGGCAGACAATACGACTGCAGAGCGGCATGTTGGAGCGAATCCGGCAATGGCGTCGGCTAGCTTCTTCGCAACCCCACACCATCCACGTCCGCTGCCCCTGACCGGCACAGGAACGCTTGCAATCGGCAGGCGAGCGTGACGAGCGCGGACAAGACAGGAGCGCGAGAGATGAAGGGATGGCGATCACGGCCGCCTGCCGCCCACTCGTCGCATTGCCATCGCAACGCCGGGTGCTGGGGAACGGTGCAGTTCATGGGCTTTCTGGGCTGATGGATGGGTTGATGGATGGGTGGAGGCGAGTGCGCAATGCCGTTGTGTTGTGGCCCTATGGTGTGCTGTGTGTGCGTGTGCGTGTGCGTGTGCAGACTGAGGGCGTGAAACGAGGCCAACAGCCACTCAGGGCCGCTCTCGCCGTCACGCTCGTTCGCTAGCACCACACACAGCAGCTGGCCGCAGCAATGAGATGGCGGCGCTGCGAGGTGTGTGGCAGGTAACCCGGTGTACACTGTAGAAGGGGGGTGTGTGGATGTGTGGATGTGTGGGTATGAGGCCCTGCCCTGCCCTGCCCCCCCGTTCATCATCACCCACTACAACGACTATTACGACGACAGCGACACCATCCAACTAGTCCTACGACAGCGACAGCACGTTTAATGATGGCATCGCGCACAGGCCTGCTCCACTGACTCGCGCCTTGACTCTGCTGGCTCTGCTGGGTTCCCTGGCCCGTTCCCAGCCCGTGCCCGGTCGTGGTTGTACTTGAAACCTCGACGCCGTGCCAGGGGCCGCGTCCAAAGCTGGAGAGTGCTCTGCAATATATCCACCCACGCCCTATCCCTCTATAATATAGCGCCGGTTCTTCTTACACTTTTCCGCCTGCGGCACACCATCGTCCGCCATAATATACCCGCCCACCGCCTGTCACCTCACTCTCTAACACTGACGCCCTCAGCTCCCACCTACACCACCAACGCCGTGCAACTCCAGTCTCACCCATCCGCCGGGCTGGCGCCTACCAAGGAACGCCCACAGTCGACCACTCCGACCACGCCTATATACATATACCCCCCCACCCACAGCCTGACTGACGCCTGTCCAACCACACTTCACTCCACTACCCTCCACTCTGCAACCATGGTCGACGTCGCTGTCACCTCGCAGCTGTCCCAATGGACCTTTGACAAGCCCGAACTCGCGCCCCGCCCCCAGCGCGGCAGCACCGACAGTGCCGCCTCGAGCCCCAACCTGTGCGACGATGTTTCCGACACACTGCGCATCGACACGCCCGCCTCACAGCAGCCCACCCCACCTACAGCAAAAGCACCAAAAGTTTTCCAGGAACGCTATCTCTCAAGCGAAGAGGACCTGACTGCCGATGATGGCTCAGCCTCGGGTTCAGACTCAGAATACGACTACGAAGATGCCGTCGTCCACGACATTTCCACCCAAGCTACCGCAAAGACAATGTCAATCTCCAGGTGGGACAAGGGTCGCAGTTGCGACATGGCCGTCGCCGTCGCCTATGCCCACGCCGGCCGCCCCAAGATGGTCGACATGGAAACTGATCGCCCACCCGTCCAGCAACGATCCGCATCCGTTGCCAACCTCATTCCCATCACAGCAGCAAAGAAGCTGCAAAAGGCAGACGAGGCACAGCGCTTCTCCATGAAGGTCATGCCCACTACAAGCATGGTTGCATCCTCGCTCTCCCGCCCCATCTCTCCACCCGCCGTTGTCGAGGCACGCCGACCCTCAACCAGCCATAGCCCAATTACTCAAAAGCCCAGCACCTTCACAGATTCGGCCTCCATTTCTTCATCCTTCCAAGCTGCATCAACACGCAGCTTCTCACCTGCATTCAGCGATGCCCCACCAAGGCCCTCCTCCTCAGCCGCTGGAGAAGTTGCATCCGCTCGCTCCTCCCTCTACATGCCCTCGCGCTCCCGTCTCGATCTCTCAAAATACCCAACATCACAATCATACCAGCCAGGCCATCGCCAATCGTACCTGCCCCCACCAACTCCAAACTCTCCAGCTCTTTCCTTCCTCAGTTCAGATCCCTATGAAAACTCTTCCACTAGCCCCGCCTCACCGATAATCAAGAAGCAACCCACAGCCCACCGCCGACTACGTTCCATCTCCATGAAGCTCTCGCTCGCCAAGATTGCCATTACACCTGCCAAGAAGCAATTCGACTCGCGCCTGCACGGCAAGGTTCCACCCACACCCATCACCCCAGCTCCCATGACGCCTCATACAGCCCCCATTGAAGGCGCAGCAAACTTCGCTGCCCAAAACAAGATTCGCCGCGCGTCTACCATTCTGCGTCCCAAGTCTCGTGGGGGCGACTCTGTACGAAAGACCCCTTCGCCGGACCTTGCACCCCCAGTCCCGCATGTCAGCACTAGCACTACTATGCAACAAAAGCGTTCAACCACACTTGGACGCATGACTGCTCGCGGCGCTGATGAGAGGGAGCCCACGCTCGTCATCCCAGAGTGCCCGAGAAACGAAATTGATCCCAGTTCTAGTGCCAGAAGCCGCGCAATCCGGCGCCGCAAGTCGCTGATGGATTTCATGGATTCGTTGTAAACCTACCCGCACATCGAAGACGCCATTTTTGTTTCGAAACGCCTCTCCTCCCCGCAGTTCCACCAACGCACAGACGACTTGCATGCATCATCCCTGTCGGTTGCGACAATCATCTTTTCTTGTACATTCTCTTACCGCCTAGCTCGTGTATACCTCTATTTTTTACCCTTCGTCTCACAACCTATTTTCCACTACAAGCGCGTAATACCTGGCGTACCGTTGGCGCAACGACCTGGCTTCGTTCGATATCTGCTTTTTTGTTCCTTTCTTCTATTTTGCTCCCAATCATCTCGCTTGTCAGAGGTTATGATACCCTCTCTGCTTACTTTTGTTTTGTTATCTTGGCAATCAACGCGAAGTGTTCGCCCGCCATTCAGCAGTAATTTCCTTGATCTCAGCAAATCTCGCATCTAGGATGCATGCATCTCAGTCGCATCTAGTCCAGAGCTTGTTCTCGGATAATGAAAGACATGATGTCCTTGTTAGCGTAGCGACAGCAATACAAGTATTTCCGATCTTCAATAACCTTGGTTCATGTACATGTGATGATTGTGGTGATGTTGTGTTGGTGCCACTTACGCGCATGTACATATGGCTAGGATGGAGTTGCAACATGGGATCCATGAATAGGTCCGGTTCCCTTCCATTGTGTTCAACCCCCATGACGTATCCCTGAGGATTCCCTTTTTTTTTTAATCACAGCATCAACGGCATCGCCTCACTACCAAGCACCCATGCAATGACGGCATTACATGTACTCTACCCTAAACACGCCAAGACGTTGTTCCCTCCTCTGACTGTGATTCCAACTGCCCCGCATCAGAAAAGACAGCTCGCAACAAACTTTGGCACCTCAGCCCGCCAAGCACCAACCAAAGCACTGGACTTGCTACTTGCACTGCCCCCACCCCCATGTCCCGGTACCTACATATCAATCCATTCCATTTGTCGTATACTGACTTTTTGCTAAACTTTTGGGCTGAGCAACAACGTTTGGCTGGCTTGCAACTGCGGACGATCTGCAGCACGGCCAATTACGCGTAAGTAGGCGACTTACGTGGACTACTACCATAGCTTTGTACCGCGAGAAAAAAAAAACTGCACGTTTGCGTGTGCGAAAGAGGCGAGGTTGCATTTTTTGTGTGGAGAGAGTTATACTCCGGTATAGTAAGTATAGTTACATCACTCTCTAACTTAAAATTCAAGGTGAGGCTGCGACACAGAACTCGGTTGGTTGGTTGGTTGGGCGTCGATAAGACGCGTGCGTGATGATGTCATTGTCTGCATTATCTCCCTACACAAGATAACAGCACAACCGCAACTTTTTTTTCTTTTTGTGTTCTTCGTTGATTTATGAGTGGTCCCGCGCCATGCGCCGTGTGCCAGCTGCTTCCAAGCCTCGTTTTCCCACTACTACTACTACTACTACTACTACTACTACTACTTCTTCTTCTTCTTCTTCTTATCTTTCCTAGTGCGGCGGGAGAGTGGCTGTGTGGGTTTCCTCCCCCCTCTTCGTATTTGTGACCGCCTCTGTGTTTGGAATACGTGTGCTTTCTCTTAGAAGAACGACAAAAATAGGTAGGATAGACGGTCGTATAACTCATACGTGTTCTCTTTTTCCCCACCTCTGTTACAGTATGCAAGAAAAGTAGCGAAGGCATAGTAGATCAATGTATATGCATGTAGGCATTGTTGTTATGCTATGTACGTTTGTGTTTCTACCAAAGTGCCAAGTTCATGCCTTGTGGGCGGCGGCCCTGGGAAGAAAAACATGGTACTATTAGTGGCACATACGCGCAAAACCCGCTAGTATCATCGCGTTTGGCAACGCCTGGCACTATAGCCACTTTTTTTTCCTTCTCCTCAAGGCCAGCCAGCAATTCCAATTGTACATTGAGAACGCCTTGCAACTTCTCTCTCTCTCTCTCTCTCTCTCTCTCTCTCTCTCTGCCCTTTTCCCTTAACCAAATCACGCGTCCCAACCCCTCACGTATCAGCGCAGCTAGCTCTCCAAACCTTCCTTTAGATTCCTGCTCTGCCCTCACGAATCAAACGAGTCAGCGCCGAAAACACCGCATGAATCACGTCTCCTCTTTCGCTTTTGAAAGACGGGCCGATAGAAAAAAACACACACACCCTCCCCTCCCCTCTCCCCACTTTGACCCTCTCTTTTTCCTGCACAACACGGACACCCTGCCGGTCCCGGAGAGACTGCTTAGCTTGTGCACTTAAGCAATACGATGGCATGATCGTTTGCGGGTCTCGGTGTCTCCACACTGCGCAAAGCGATCATAATGTCCGCTCCCTGTATTTACCACGGCAAACACATACGCGCCCAAGAAATGTTTTGCGGGATGGGGCGGTAAGGGAAGGGACGGACGGGGGGTTGGGTGGGTTCAAGAAATCTCCGGGGTCCTCTCTCTTCCTCCCCCTCCCCCTCTCCCTTCCCAAGGGGGACTGACTTCAGGGTAGTGATATTGCGCAAGTGAAGTTAGTGCGGACCCTGATGTGTATTGGTGATTTTGCACCGTAGCAGTCAGGGTCATGGAATGGGGAAAGGAAAATCGTGGGTATTTGAGTTTCGCTCATGTTCGTCTCGCACGCACGCACCCGAGGCCATTTGACATTATTGATGTTGATTTTTCTTGATCTTTTGCAGCACGCGTATGCGCATGTTTTGTTGTAGACGCGCGATACGCGTTGCCTGATCATCCATCTATCCATAGTTACGTCTGTTTGTTTTGTTTTCCATCCACACGCGCACCGTTGAACCCATCAACCATGCGATTGCACGTAATTGCCCAAATTTCACTGCTGTTATTACTTTGTACCCTGGGGAAATCATCGTCGCCTTGACTGAACCCCCACGTTCCCATGAATCCCCATTGTAGTCTATCTGAAACTACATTTATCGCTCTCCCTATTGGCGTTCCCTTGGGGACTTCGCTTGCGCGCGCGCGTGTGTGCAAGTATCTGACTAGGCTGCAAAAGTTCATGATGGGTTCCTCGCACCCCGAACCGCAGCTGTTGGTACCTGCAGCAAAACATTCAGTCCGTGCTCTGCTCTCTTTTGGGGGGACGGAGCGAAGGGGCGGGCTGTGTTTTTATTGGGGGACGGGTTAGAGTTTGATCGTCGGGTTAAGGTTCGGAGTTGTGGAGATGAGGTCGCGTCACGTGAGTGATGTTTCTCCCGTGCCAGCTTCATGTGTGTGTATGTCTATGATGGGGAAGGAAAAGGATATGGGTAACTAGCGATGACTGTAGCACATGGTCTCCGTGGACAAGGGTTGGAAATTATCTCGTTCCTGTTCTTGTTGTCCCTTGTTTTCTTTTTATTGCCTTATCTGCCAAAGATGGTGTTTTGTTTCAATGCGTGTCTTCTTTTTGTATTGGTTGAGTAGCCGCAATGGCTTTTTTTTCTTGTCGGCTGGCAGTGTTACCGAGCCTCACAGCTCATGTTATCCGAACCCGACTAGGATGGGTAAGCGTCTCGCCGGAAGACTCTTTTGCGTCATCTGGCAAACTGAATCGGTTGCGGGCCACGTGCAGAATCTTGATCCTTGTTCTGCACCAATAGTTATTTTTGACTGCGGCGCTATTATGATCAAGTGTGGTGGATACGATAGCGTCGGAACTTTGTTCAGGACATGGTAATCTTGGAATCCTAGTAGTTATCCCGCTACAAGTACAGGTCATCTTACTGTAAGATACACTTTCAACTCATCTTATCTTGAACTTAATGACATGCGAGTGGGGGATACATGACACGACAGATTGTTGATGGCTATGCTGGATAAATACATCCATTCGCATTCGGTTCAATTTGCTACAATTAGACCGCTATTATGTCACACAACCACCTTTCTTGCGTCAATCATCCCATCGTAAGATGTGTTCCAAGAAACACGCCTGAACAGCTCATAAAGAGCAGCATTGGCGTGATTAATCTATTTAGACTAAGCTCAAACCATGGCAATGACGCCTCTACGGCTGTATTCCTAACCGGCGCTTCCCAGCACTTGTCCTAGACTTTTAGTTCAACCTTAGGCCATTTTAAAAAATCTGATGATCATGCCCATGGCAAAGTGCATCACGTCAACCTGTGTAGTTCTGCGTGTGTTGGAATTTTGATGCAAGGCACTAAATACCAACTACTCAAACTGTTTTATCGCGCCTCTGCTAGCGCAATCAAATGTAAAATGCCTTTGTCTAGTAAACGAGCTAGTGTAGTTTTGACTTTTGATGGAGGAGACGTGTACGTGTCAGCTATTGTCGTATCAGTGAGGTGCGCACCTTAGATGTGTGCATGCATTTTCTTGTCAGTGTTTGATTGCTGACACTATTATAGAGTCGCACAATGAGTGGACGTGTACCTTGCGAATCGCCTGCCTACGCAGCACCTATTTGTACAGTCACTATCTCTATGCCCGCATCTTATCAGAAATACGAGGCGTACACTTTTCTCGCAAAGAGTATAGCGTGCTCTGCCATTGCCGGGCCTTCGTCGAAAAGCGCCAATCATTGGCTGCCAGTTGTTGCTGCCCCCACCAAGGCTGTCCAACAGCCTCAACTACATGTCTTCTGAGCTGCTTTCTTTGCACAAAATTCTGACCAAAAGTCCACCCCGGTTCGCTCTAGCTCATTCAAAATTTCTGAAGGTGTCTTCAGGACCATCTCCCTATCATCTATAGCCTTATCACAGCGAAGATGAGAAGCTCAATCCGCAGAGCAGCCCCATCGTCACAAACAAAGATCAAGCACGAATCAGTGAATTTTGTGGAAGATAATAACGCTCCCGTATCGCTGATTGAGGTACGCAGTGATGGCAGTTCCCGGAAATCCCAAGTTACAAAAAGTCTAGTTGAGACATATATCCAGAATGATTTTCAAACACATCCAAATAAGCAGCCTAGTTCTTCACAGCAGCCAGACCATGAGACAATAAAACTATTGTGTGCATACCTATTCTTAGCCGTAGTAGAAAATCACTCATCAAGTCTTCAGTTGTTCACAGCGGACAGGGCTGTATGACGGGAGTTTAACGCCAATCTCTTTGTCTCTACAAATGTACACATTCATTGCGCCATTTGCACGCATACCAGACGTCTATCCTAGTATACTGGATCAAAGGGCCTTGGTCAATTCCTTTACACAACCTCAAATACCCGCCCACTTATCCCATACACCGCTTCATGACGTTCGGGAAAACTATCTCAGTAAGTGAGCGAATACTTGAATAGGGAGATTCTCTAAATACCTTCTAACAGGTTTCGTCATCCAATCTATTCCTGGCGCGATGAACTATGTATGTGCTAGTCTCTCGCTTACATATCATTTCCCCAGTCGCCAGATGTACATTTTCATGCATGGCTTAGCAACGGCAAATTACGACCACATCGCTCGCGATGTCGAGGAGGGTGCTGCAAACCAATCTGCCTTTATAATTCCCAGTATGATTGTTCAACATAACCTCTCCGAACTAGGCAAAGTCATTACCCGGTGGCATGACCAGATCTACTGGCACGAACGAGCGCTAGGCATCCGATTCGATCACCATGATAGCATTGACCTGGCGAATCTTGACTTTACGGCACTGTCGAGGACTCTGAATGCAGCAAACACTCAGCTTGCATATATCGCTTGGTCGTGCAAAAGCACTGCGCGTTTGCTTGATTTCCTGGACCAAGTTACAGATCGATATCGATTACAAGCTATGGCCCACGGTGAGCCAGAGAATGATATTTCGCATATCGCAAATTTACTATCGGAGACGCATGAACATCTGCGCGCTTGGAATGTGGGACTGCAGGATAGAACTGACTATCTTTCTAAAAGAGGTCAAGCTCTAGTTCAGACTGTATGTACTGTTGATGAGAATAGTACCGAAAGCCATTCTCACTGTCGTAGATATACAGCGGCATTGCTCAACGTGATGCAGCGACCAGTCTCAGTCTAGCTAGTACTAGCACTAGCCTGGCACGATCTTCGCAAAGTGTAGCCATTTCCACATCACGTGATAGCGCCGTAATGAAGATCATCGCCGCAATGACAATGATCTTTCTTCCTGCCACATTTACTGCTGTAAGTCATCAATGAGTTGCATGTCGCCATATCCTTTCTAACAGCTCCCTTCCAGACATTCTTCAGCACCACATTTTTCGACTTCAACAACGATCTCAATGGGCGCATGTACTCTTCTTGGCTGTGGCTATATTTTCTAGTCACTTTTATACTTACGCTGGTAGTCATGCTAATCACGTGGTGGTTATGGAAAAAGAAAGAAAAGGAAGTCGCTGCATCTCTGAACACTAAATAACGCATGTCCCACAGCAATTTACAAGTGTTATAAACAAATTAAACTTGGGGAAAACAAAACGGAGGTGGGTAAACAAGAGTAAGGTCATGCGTGGATTCAGGGGTAATCTGTTGGTACTGGTTCGTTTGCTTGTTTGGAATTTGCATATGTCAGAAACAATGCACGAAGAAAAGAAATACAGTAGGAAGAGAAAATTATTAGCCACCAAATGGAAACAGCGGCGGGCATAAGATGAAAAGGGAAGGTGGTGAACTAATCAGTTCATACAGAAACACTGCAACTATTAATCTCCTTGCAATGAGGCTCAATTCCTGCCATAATGCCGAGTGATCATATCTGGCGGTACTAAAAGTGAAAATACTACTAAAAGTTGGAGAAGGTGGTATGTGCCAAACAGCTATCAAACAACATATCATTCGGTGTTGGGAGCATCTCATCTAATTTGTCATACGAACAGGAATTCTTGTGGTAATAATGTGTCCTGGCTGCGATGTACATGTAACTACCGAAGACATGATATTAATGGGTAAATATTGAACAGTATAAGTGATCTATTTGAAGTGCTGCGGAGCACATCCCCCGCATTCACAACTGCCGTTCGCTTCATCCCCACCATCGGTACATATCTCTATACTTTAATCAAGCGTGGATTTTAGCCAAGCGAGCGAGATTATTGAAGCCAACAATTTAAAAGAATATCTAGAGGTGCTTCGTCCTGTGGATCTCTCACAACAACTTCACTGAATCACCATGCTATATACTATTATCCTCGGCCTTGCACTCGTGGCAAAAAGCCTCGCCCAGGCACCAGAAGGGCAGCGCACTGTTTACATCACCTCAGCTCAAGATGCTAAATTCGTCGTCGTTCCAAAGTCGCGCACCGCAGGTGCATCTCTTGTAGTGTTAGTTGTCATCAAGCACTCTCTACACGTCGAGGTTGTATACATAAGCTAATAAGTCGGCCCACAAGCCAATCTCTAACCATATCTCCTTCGCAAACATGGTATCTTGTTGCACCATCAAACAGCACCTCGATCCAACTTGCCTCCACAACTCTGTGCATGGACGCCGGTCCCAAATCTGGGTGGAAGGACATGGCGCTCGTCTCTCTCCGCGAATGCGCACCCAAGGCGGAGTCTCAGACTTGGATTGCCATGGCTGATGGGCGCATTGCACTTGAGGCTAGCGTGGGTACCAAGCAGTGCCTTGATCTACAATACATGAGAGCTGTGGAGAATAACCCTGTAGGCATGTATAATTGCGCAGGGTTGGGGAATATAGGAGCGAAGGATAAGGGAATCAATTGGCCGCTCAAGGATGCCTGAGGGGTGATGCATGTGGAACACACCAACTATGGCAATGTAACTAGCGAGAATGATATCGAGTTTCTTTTCTAAAGTCCGCTGTGTTATGACACATTCAGAGGAACTAACTTGTAAAAGAACAAATGATTGTGTAAAGAGTGATAAGTGGTCTGGAATAGAAACTGATAACAGGAGTGAGATAGCAACAAATAGCTATTCTAGGCTTTAGAGGCCTTCTTAAGCCTCTCTTCATGTCTCTTCTTGCCTTCTTCCTTTAGCTGAGCATCGTCCTCTCGTGCAAGTTCTATCTGAGGCATCAAGAACCAAGCAGCGACGAAGGCAATTGCATTGAGAGCCGCACCCACGATAAAGATGATCCGAAAGCCTTCCTTGTATGCTAAGGTGAGCGAGGCGCGAATCTGATCCATACGCTGTGTTCCTACTAACTCGCGAAATAGGTCTGGCGAGTTAAGAAGTAGGTTCAGTTCTTTTCTGGAGAGGCCGTATGGCGCCAGTGAATGCCGAACAGCATTGTTGATGATAGTTCCTGAAATGGCCAATCCTAGGGTGCCGCCGAGATTACGTATGAAATTACGTGTTGACTGTATTCAGTGTTAGTTTTTGAGTAATAATGTCAAAGAGGCATAAGTATATATATCTTACTGTAACGACTGCCATGTGCTTGCGTTCGGCTCCTGCTTGTACGGCAATCAGGCTTGGCTGCAGTGTGTTTCCAAGTCCGAAACCAGCAAGAAGGGAATATCCTATCTGCTTTCCAAGCGAAGGACTATCAAGCGTTGATAGTAAGCCCAACGCAATTGCCCATACTGCCCATCCTATGAGAAGACATTCTCGGTAACGTCCAGTCCAATGCACCACAAGACCTGAGAGTGTGCTAAAAAGCGCTATTCTCCTATCAGCAACCATCTAATTTTCTTTGGATAACTAACAAAACCTACTTTGTGTGAGTGTGATAGGTAGCAACAGTGCTCCAGACTTCACAGCTGAATAACCATATACTAGTTGGTAGAACGATGGGATGTAGAAGATCTGGACAAGAAAATTCCAACCATTAACAAACATTGTCAACATAGCCCCGTTGACGACCTTGGAGGTGAAGATTTCCACTAAAGATGATCAGTAAAAGTGATTCATAGCAGTTGCATGATGAATGATAAAATCTATCAGCTTGATCCGATGCCATAACTTACTCGAAACTAATGGCACACTAGTGCCTTTCCATTGCCACAAGATGAAACCTGCGGAGACTGCTACTCCGACAACAAGAGTGGCAACAACGTGAGCAGATTCCCATGGGTGCTCACCACCAGCCCATGTCAATGCTAACTGTTACTAGTAAGCCTTAGCACACTGACTGAAACATGAAATACATACCACGAGTAGTGTAGAGCCAGCCAGGGCTAGGAAAGCTCCAAAAAAGTCGATAGCTGCTACTTTCCTTGTTCTCTTAGCATTGAACTCTGAGATGGATCTAACAACTTACTCTTTCCATGCACCGTGAACTTTGCGTAATGGCATAAAGAAGATCACAGCGCTAGTAGCCAAGAGACTTGTGAAAAGGTTTAGCCTGAAGATCCATCGCCTGAAGCAGTCAGCACATGATGGATTTCGTCTCGTTGGAAGGTGTTACCAAGAGTCTGGGCTTTGCGATGCGAGTGCACCTCCAATGATTGGTCCGATTCCATTGGCTAGTGCTACAACAGACCCCTATGGTAATGTAAGTTACTTTCTTCAACATGAATAGCATGTGATATACCAGTATGCCTTGATACTTGCCTCTTTCGCGAAGCGGCACTATGTCAGAAACTATTAGTTGGGCGACTGTCATAAGACCGCCACCTCCAGCTCCCGTGAACGCGCGGAAGATGATGAGCTGAACGGCTGATTGTGCTAATGACGCAGCTAATGAACCGAAGAAGAATATTGCGATGCCAAAGATCAAGATGACTTTGCGAGACCATATATCGGAAAGCCGGCCATACAGTAACTGAAATGAGGTCGATGTGAGAAAGTAGGCGCCTGCAATCCATGCGCGCTCACTGTCAGCATCAAGAGCTTTGCTGACAATGGTTAAACTTGCTCCAAGAGTAGTCTGGTCTAACAATGCTAGCAAGTCAATACTTGCGCAGGCCAGGAATATCTAGTTTGATGAGCACAGGGAACGATATTGGACGCAAGCACTCTCACAGTAATGATAGTCTTGACCGGCACATAGTTAGTTTGCTCGTTGAACCTCGGCCCAGTTTCCTCGTCTGGCGGGTGTGGTTCAACTTCGGGAGTAGGCTTAGTGTCCATGGTGTACTCAAGACCGGGTGCGTCAGTCTTGGGCATTCGATTGAAGAAGAGAGGAGAAAAAGGCAGCCACTGTCGTCACTGCAATCACTCCAAGTTTCTTAGGGGATGCTATATATCACCGGGCCTGGAAGTACACAGACAGCGCGCACTGCAATTGGAACCAAATGGCTTAAGAGCGCCAATTTCTTATAATGTGCTTACCGGTCTCTGCAAGCCCAGGCCTTTAGAATCCAGTCCATCTTTGTGTATCGCCGACGGCTGCTCAGGGAATCTTCCACCGGTCTACAATTGTGCGTCAATAGATGGCAACAAAACGTGCGCAAACTTGCTCCACTAAGATGCTCACTGGATGCCAAGGCCCCTAGCGGTGTACTAGTACCATACGTAGTACTATTAGTACACGACACTGGTTCGTCGATCAACAGGCTATACACATGGGTAGTGCATCATGCCCAATCTACGTTGCTTTTGAAGGGTCTGACCGCTTACCACTTGAGCACCTTGAAATACACTACAGCATGCATGGAATGAACGTTGTATGTCGACCTGCCAAGTTAGGGTCCACATGTGAAACGGATTGGCCGGAGGTCATGGATGCTGAAGCGAACAGGGAGTACTGCCCTGCCAACGCTATTCTGCAAACAGAAAAAGGGCCTATTGACCCCATGTCTTTGATTCGACACAATGTGCTCAATATGCCTTAGAAACCATCAAGGTATGAACACCGACTATACCGTAATCATGTAACAACTATATTGCAGCGTTATTTTCTCGGAACCATGATGGATGACATGGCCCCTACAGTCGCGACCACGGAGCAAAATATAATGTGCATATTTTTCGTCCACATTGGTCGGGTAGACCCGGTGAATGCATTCACTTTAAAGAGGAGAGCTTCTCTACTATCACATACCTCGTGCCTTATCCATCATAACTTTATTTGAATACAAAAATGCCTAAACGGAACTATCTGAACGCCTACTCGGGTCCCGATGCAATTCGGAACTATTTTGACCCTGATTGTCAGCCAATGCTTCCACTTGTAGAACTACCACCCAGCCTAAACCCATTTTACAATGACGGTGTTCGCATACACGCCAAAATGATGTCCATGCATCCTGCAAACAACGTCAAGGTCATGCCGGCATTAAACATGTTGGAGAAAGGAGTGCAGCCAGAAAAGTCAAAGACCGTCGTCGAGTACTCGAGCGGATCGACCGTTATCTCACTTGCATTACTTTCACGGATCAATCACGGAATTAAAGACACACGTGCTTTCTTGAGCAACAAGACCAGTGGTCCTAAACTGCGGCTCATGCAGTTCTTTGGGCTAGACATGTAAGTATGTCACTGATTCTCCACGGTTCCCAGCTGAACTTTGTGAAAGAACACTTTTCGGAGGCCCGTCTCAACCCGATCCTACAGATTGCCGCGGAGGTATACAACGAGCCAAGAAGATGGCTGAAGAGGATGAATCAGTCTTGAACTTGAATCAATATGAAAACGACGCAGTAAGTTGCTTACGCGTAAAATTCTTTCAAACATGTACTAAATATTACAGAATTGGCAATCTCACGTTAGATGGACCGGCCCTCAGATCCTCGAGCAGTTGCCTAATATTCGACTGATATGTACTGGTATGGGTACATCGGGTACTATGACGGGCTTAGGACAATACTTCAAGGCTCAGGATCCGTCAGTGTTTCGCTTGGGGTATGTTGATATGCTTATCATTGTTGGATTTAGAACAGGAACTAACATACCGCTCAGTGTGTGTACAGCCCCTGGCGACCGAGTTCCCGGTCCCCGTTCTTTTGCGCTACTGGCTCCCGTCGAGTTTCCTTGGCGCGATTCTGTAGATGCTATCGAGGAGGTCGGCTCAAAGGACGCATTTGGCCTCAGCCTGCAGCTTTGTCGTGAAGGCCTTATCTGTGGACCATCGTCCGGCTTCAACCTGAAAGGTGCTTAGATCATCTATTCGTACAGCAACAACTGACAGTAAAAGGACTCTTCAACTATTTGGGCAAGCGAAAAGCGGCTGGTACCCTGAAAGAACTTGCTGGCTCTAACGGACTCATCGAGTGTGCCTTCATTTGCTGTGATCTCCCTATCCAGTACGTGGATGAGTATTTCGACAAGCTTGGTGCCGAAGCTTTCCCACCTATTCACAATGAAGTATGGTTGTCTTTTCTTCTTTTTCAGTGTAATTCTGACATGGAAATAGAATCTCACAGCAGTCGACCTTTACCGTTACGATGATGCTTGGGAACTAGAGCCCACTCAATTACTCTCGCAATTCACCAGCATAGCGCAAGGCGACAACAACCAGACGGTCATACTTGACCTACGAAAACCAGAAGACTTTGCCAGAACTCATATACCACGCTCATGCAACTTGCCACTGCAGAGCTGCAATGCCTCTATGCCCAGTCCATTTCTTGATGCCGCAATCCTCGAGACTCAATGAAAGGAGCTAGAGGCTACGTTCACCTCCGATCGTATCAGTGCTTATGATCTTGCTGGCAGGCAGGTATATGTGGTATGCTATGATGGAGACACATCGAGAGTTGCTACCAGTATACTTCGGGCCAGAGGAATTACAGCGAACAGCGTGAAAGGTGGAATCGCTGCAGTACGAAGAGACATGCCACAACTACAACTTACTGAGCGCGGTAGAGAGCTAACGCAGCAGAATCGATCGAATTTATCCAAGGCTGCTACGAAGGAGATGAGAGCAGACTCGCTATCGCCTCAAGCTCGGGGGCAGACGGACATTGTGCAGTGAACTTTTAGCATATTAGTTATTAGCGTTACGATTATCAAAAGCCCCTGATTAGATTTGGATTTATGGATCAAATCTAGGAACATGAGATCATGAGAACTACTCTCTCCCACACATACCATGTGCAATCTGTTCTGCTTTGAAAAGTGCAAATCTTCTAGTCTTAATGTCGTTAGCCCGCATGCAAGTGCAAAAACGCCCGGCGGCCCTCGCAATCTAGACCCGGCGTTTGTGTTACACAGTGGCTAAATCCAACAGAGTACTAGCCAAATCGTGCATAGAGTGCAGATCTGCGATCTGAAGTCTAAATCCCGTAGACAGGCTAGGTTGAGTGAACCGGACTTACAATGTACATCTCCGCGAAGGATGCAAGTCAACTACAACGCAACATGTACATAAAGCTACGTTGGCAGGACGTGTTCGAAAAGAGTCTCGATACACCATTTCCGTACTCTTGCACTATATTCAATATTCATCCTGGATATAAGTGCAGTCACCAGTGAAGCCACCGCCATGACATCCGTTATTGCCAAAGAGATTGCCCTAATCACCGGCGCGAATTCTGGAATTGGCTTCGAGATAGCACATCAACTTCTCCAAAAAGGCACCTATCACGTCCTCCTGGGTTCCCGCAACATCAGCAGAGGTTCTACGGCCCTGCAAGATCTGCAAGCACGTAACCTCCCCGGCAGCGCCGAGCTGATGCACCTCGATGTGCAAAGCGACGACCATATAAATCAAGCCGCTGCACATATTCGAGAAAAGCATGGCAAACTCGACATTCTCTTCAATAACGCCGCCGTCGCGCTTCCAGAAGGGGCAACAGAGCGCGAAAGGATGGCTGCAGCCTTCGACATCAATGCCACTGGTCCGTGGCTCCTCGCAAAAGCACTCATACCCCTTCTCAAGAGAAGCGAGAACCCCAGGATCATCAACATATCCTCTGGTGCTGGAAGTATTGGTCGGCGACTCTTCCCAGAAAGCCCAATGTACAAGATCCAAGGCATTCCGTATCGTGCAAGCAAGGTGGCTTTCAACATGCTGACCGCATGCCTGTACGTTGAGTTTGGACTCGGCGTGAAGCAGACCGATGCGACAGAGCCGGAGTCGGGCAAGGATGACGCTGGGGCTATAGGGGGAACAGACAAGAAGATCAAGGTCTTTTGCTATGACCCTGGGTTCACAGTATCTAACCTCGGACCGTACAACAAGCAAGAGTTTGGTGCGCGAAGTGCTGAGAAGACGGTTGATAGTGTCGTGGAACTTGTGGAAGGAAAGAGGGACGCAGAGGTGGGCAAATTTATACATAATTCTGGTGGGTATCCGTGGTAGCCTGAGGTTCCTTCTACGAAGGGAATATTCGTGCTGGTAGATGGTATTAAGTTAGAGTTTGCATATTGAGAATCCTGGGGATGATTGGCGGGGTGAAGGAACAGGCCCCACACTTTTAGGCACCCAACGCCTATACAGCCTTACTGTGTAACACGTTTACCTACAATACAATATCATATGTTTATCTACATCCCTTTGCACTATACTAGAAGCAGATTTGGTTCTCCCTTTCCAAGCGATTTTCAGTTTGATCGATCATGACAGTCGCGTTCCACTACCAGCAGCTGAACCGATCAAGGCGCGAGATAAGACTTCTAGAGCTACTTCCAAAAACTCAATGGCGGAACAATTGCCAGCCCGCATGTCGACTATTTCACACTAGTCTTGATAAACATCCGCCCTACCTGGCCTTGTCATATGTTTGGGGAGATAAGAGCGACCCTAGGCGCATACTAGTCGACGGATGTACTTTCGAAGTGACACGGAACCTATTCGAAGCACTGAGCGGCATAGTCGAATCAGAGAGTTTCATTATCTGGATCGATGCAATATGCATCAACCAGGTGGATGATGAAGAAAAGGGGTGGCAAGTCGCTTTAATGGGTGACATCTATCGACAGACATCTGAAGTGATAGCGTGGCTTGGACCGTCAGCGCACAACAGTGATGCTGTTCTGGAGCACCTAGATATACTGGGTTCGATTTCGGAATCACTGGGTCTTCCTACAGACACCTCACTCTGCTTGACCGCGTGGAAAGTAATGTTGGGGATCGCATCGCACGAGGGTGATCTTACTGAGTCCACTTCCAATCCCGCCGGGCTCTCGATATCCTTACACGCATTCGAAATTCTCTTGTATATTATGGGTGGCTTTCAGTCCCATCGTTATCTGCTTCGATTGTCTGATCTGGATCATCTCTTCCGACGCCAATGGTGGAGCCGAATCTGGGTTTTGCAGGAAATAACTTTGCCGGAACAAGCTCGAATGGTCTGCGGAGCGAAGCGAATATCCCGCCGACGATTTCACGCTGCCCTGAAAGTGTTTTATGCCTTTGCAGGCATAATTTCAAAGTTAGCAATGCAACACCGGTCATTCTCGGATTATCAACAAGAACTATTGACGATTATGTCTCCAAAGGTCTACCTGATGGTATCAATGTCCCAAATATATCAGCAACAAGATTATTCGTTGCTATTGATGCTTCGAACGAACAGTTATAATAGTTTTGCATATATCGGAAACGGCGTCCAGCAACCTCTTGGAGCAACTGATCCACGAGACAAAGTATTTGCTCTCCTAGGTCTTGTAAACGACAAAGATAGTTTAGAGGCCTTAGGAGTCTTCCCGGATTACACTAAATCCAAAGAGGAGGTATACACGACTACGATGACTGCTATGCTACGCAAAGGTCATATCTCACTTCTATCAATCTGTTGTGGTATTGAGGGGCCAAATGGTCTGCCTTCCTGGGTACCAGATTGGTCTAAACCAGACCCGCCAATGCTGCAATTAGTCGGTGATGACAGACTCTTTCCCACATTTAACGCCTGTGGTTCGAAGAAGGAACATAATTTCGTTTTGCCAAGCAAAGACTGTAAGCTTGAGAAATTACTGGTATACGTCAAACAAGTTGATGAGGTCCTTCAACTGGGTCACGTCAGCAGGTTGCCCTCCATGCCCAGAGCCGTATCCCCAGTTGAATGGCTGGATGTAATGTTGCAACTCGCATACTATGTCGAGAAACCATACTTGGACGTCAAGGAGCGCATGCAAACCGCAGCCAGAGCCTCGCATGCAGGTATGAGAATTGGAAAAAATAACATGCTACAAAGAGCATGCGAGTTCCCTGAAGCTCTGACCATACTAGAAGAAGCGTATCAAAGCTGCGCAGAGAACGGCGGTTTCCCCGAATTCCAAAATGGTTTGATAGAGCAAATTTTCAAATACAGGATCATGAAATTTCCATTGCACATGCATCAGATGTCGGGTGAGATTTTAAGGATAAGTGACTGCAGGGTGCCTCTCATCACAAAAAAGGGTCATTTAGGAATCAGTTCCATGAGTGTCAAGGAGGGTGATCTTATAGTGTTGGTCAGTGGAGCGCAGACACCCTTCATTCTTAGGCGTACAGGTACAAAATACATGGTCGTTGGCGAGGCATACATCGACGGAATCATGGACGGAGAGGCAGCAGAGGGTGGCGAATGGTTTCACATTGAACTTGAATAGCACTCTTATAGTTCAAAGAACATGGGCTAAATACATAATCTTCACCAATGTGTTGTGCTGGGGCTGATTGGGCATGGCTGTTTTCCCTCACTCAGTTCAAGTATATCTGTCTTTCCAAACATAGCGTGCCCTGTAGTGAAATAATTTGTGACAGCAGTTTCGAACAGAACCACTGCGATCAGGGTCTATCCCCATCTTGGCTACGTTATCACTGCGTTATCTGGAACTTATAAAATTGACAGAGACCAACAGAGATTACGGGGCTAGGAAAGATGGCAGGTGCATCTCTACGACACGTATTTGCCAGCATGTCAGGCTTGCGAAATATAGGTACAACGTGCGGACTCGATGAACATTTACTCATTGAATCACCAACAATACACTCCTGATGATTCTACCAAACAGTAGTTATACCTTCGCAGTCGCCACAATACAAGAGATAACTTTGGCTTTCTTATAAAATGCGCACTCCCGCTCAGTAATCTTCCCAACATCTAGAAACACATCTTCTTTAATCAATTAAATACCAAAGCATCTAGCCCTAGCACCACGCTCAATTTTCCATCAACCCTCTCAAAACTTCCACACTATTATCAACTATCAAAATTTCCATGCCTCACCATAACTATTATGCCTGCCGCCACACTCATCACGTTTGCCGCCACGGCCACCACACGTGCCGCAGCATCCCCTTCGGCCCCATGCGTCGCGACCCAGTCCCAGCCCCCGCCCACGCAGCCACAGAATGGGACTACGTACCCCAAGACTTCGAAGATCTAGTCATAAAGTGGGGTCCATACACCACCGACGAACTCGCCAAAGCCTCACCCCACTATACCAAGACCACAGTCGATGTCGATCCCTACGCCAAGCTGCAGTTTCCAGAGAAGTGGGGGAGTGTGGAGCGGACTATTCATGCTGTGCATCCGATTCCAAGGGGGGATCTCGAGGATTTGGGCCCGAATTGCGTGCGGCAGCTTGGTGAGCGGTTGAAAAGTGGACATGGGGAGAGGGAAGCGGAGTTTGAGGCTGCGGTGCAGAGGACGCTGAAGAGGATTGATGATGTGTTTGAATTTTACTTTTGCGTGGAGAGGCAGGGAGCAAGGGTGGTTAGTGGACAGTAGTCTTGTTATCAGTGATGGAATGTGAGTAGAGGTTGGCTGTTTGAGCGATTGAATGAAAAGTAGGAGATAGTAGGTTGTTGTTGAAATCAAAAATCCATCCTTTCTGAATTCGTGTTGCGACAATCGTTGGTGGATGACGGTATTGAGTTGCTGTTGACCAGTTTGATTTTAGTACTTTATAGCAGAAAGACAACATATTGTTTTAAGTCCTGGATAAACACTGAGACTACGGCGGATCATCCATCAGCACATGGGAGGTTGATATGTCGACGATTCTATGTGAATTATGTATGCTGATGATGGCACATAATGATCAACAATCTCGGCCTGCTGATATTACCAGTTTTTAAACGTAGTTTCATTTTTCGAACAGATCCTCATGTTAGTAAACGGGCCACATGCAGGTGTACCTGACACTGCACACGTCATAGTCACGTAAGTTATTGATATTGAACACGATAAACCTCATGTGATATCCAAGTGAGTCCTCAATCCATTCAATCACTCCGTTTATTCAGTTACCTACCCTCCAACCGCCAGCAATCAGCCATGTGCCTTGAATATTTCCTCATGGAAGAACCTCAAACCACCTACCATGACTCCTAACTCCACCACAAGTACATAAAGCCCCCATTCCCAGCCTTCCAGCATCCCCAACACACCACCAAAGCTCTCCAGTATATCCAAAAACCACACTCACAACAACCCAGACCCTCAAAATTACCCCCAAACTACATATGAAAATGTCTCTCCTCACCCGCCCCCCACCCCCCTCAACCCACTCCTTCCTCTCCCGCCCCAACACCTTCACCCTCCCCTTCCCCACCGGCGCAACCCTACACTTCACCCTCCCCCTCCTCCCCGCACGCCTCTCGCCCCTACGCACCCCCGAACTAACCCACCTCCGTACCTACCTCACCTCCCTCCTCTCCTCCCACACCATAACATCCCACCAAACCCTTCTCGCCCACATTCTCAGCCTACGACGCATCATATCCCTCCGCTTATCTCGGTCGCAGCAACTCACGCCTGTGGAGCAAAAAGCATGGTACTCAGGCCACGGCTTCCCTATTTTCGATAGCGAGAATAGAGTGACAGGATTCGAGTGGTGCTGGGAAGCGCTGGAGTTTGAATTCGGGGTGCATGTCGTGGCGTGGGTTGTGCGGTGGCTCTTTAAACTCCAGAGAAGAACTGCGGAGGAAAGGTATGCGGTTCGGCGGTCCTACCGGTTTATGGAAAACGAAGTTTCGTATCGGAGGGAAAAGGTGGAGGGACATGAAGTTGTCGAGTGGAGATGCAACGGCGAAGAAGTGTGTGTGTGGGTTTACGGGGCGTGTTTTCGAGATAGGCAGGAGTGGGAGTTTATCAGGGGTGAGCTGGAGGGGTATGAGGTGGGGATGCTGAAGGAGGGGGTGGCCAAGATACGGAATACGGTGCGGGGAGGGTGGGAGTTTATGTTGTATGTTGAGGGGGAGGAGGCGGAGGTTGAGGAGTTGTTTTTGGTGGAGAGGCCAGCGTCTGAGAGTCTTTCGGATCGGAGCGAGGACGACGATGCGGAGTCGTTGGATGGATACTGCTATGGCGACGATGTAGAGCGACTTGTTGCGCTAGCATCAGGACTTGGGGAACTTGCACAGTCTTCCTGCGCCTCCTCTAGCGACGACCATGAGGAAGCTGTTGAACAGACACTGGCAGTAGCTCCTCGCTTTGGAGACTTGCTGCACCAGGCAGAAACACTGGTCAGCGCGATTAAGGGTATCAATGACAAAAAGCAATCGTCGTCTTCCCAGCACAGCCAGATTCCACCCGCTTTGCAAACTCAGCCACTTCCATCCCAGTACGCTGCATCGACTATCAGACTCCCACGTTGTGCGGCTACAAGGCAACCAAGGACGCTACAACGATATCAGGCCTATGCCGAAGATGACGACGGTGAAGACTCGATTACTGCTTTGCCGAGCTCATGGCGCGATATTTGAGGCTCACAGCTAAATTCAAAGGGTGTGTGTATAGTACTCTAATTTATCTGAATTAGTGTACTCGAGTTGTATAAATGATTGCATATTGATGATACAAAAAAAAGTGTTTTTAGCCAAAATATGTGTACATGAAGTATGAACGTATTAACCAAGCCTGAATTAACCCTGATCGCTTCAACAGAGTCTCTCAACTACGCTTTGCAGCATGATGCCTGTCAAACACTTCTTCTCATCTCCAAGTTCCGATGCTGAGAGTTGCAAGTATACAATTGACACACACCATACTTCACTATTCTGAACAAACAAAACTTCAAAAGCACTCCAGTTTAAACCTATTCATTCATAGTCAAATTTACCAAAGAACAAAGAGGGGGGACGGAGGGTCGTCTATCGCAATATATTTACCAATACCCAGCATTTCATACAAAATGGACACGTATACCACCCTAATTTCAACTTTGTACTGTCTTCTTTGTGTCTCGAAATTAAAAAAAAGGAATGAAGGAAAGAAAGTAGAAATAAGAAAAGAAAACAAGGAAATTCGTGGCTTACTACATCATTGGCTTTACCTGCCCCGTCATTTTTCCCATACATGTCATTTCGTTTGTGGATATCTTTGAAATAAGAAAATCATTTCACTGGTCGTTGAATCCACACTTAGCCTACCATCCATGTTCGCGTTACCGTTGGACGTACATCCAATTCCTAAATTTCTACACACACACAGAGCATCATGTGTCCTCGACGCTCCCGTCGCGTTGCGCCAGTATAAATGTAAGAAGATGGGGGGGTCAGACGGGAAAAGAAAAATACGTAAAAGTTCATCTCAAGTGGCTTTAAAAGGTAACAGTATGGGGGGAATCATGCTTGCTAGAAATCTGAATGAAGAAGAAGAATGAAAAAAGCAGGGGATAACAAACTTAAGAAACTCCCTCGCTATGCATAAACTGACCATCCATCATCTGGGCCGTGAACTACGTGTGCGCAACACGCGAAAATACTCAAGTTAACGGTTGGAACGCGGGGGTATCAATGCAGAAGTCGAACACCAAATGCGCAAAAAGACATACTATGCCCTGGTTGGGTTGATGTTCTCCAGCTCGCTTCGCTGGCGCAGGTACTTGGCAGCAAGCTGGTCGCCACCCTTCATGGACTGCTCCATCCAGTGTTGCGCAACGCACATGGTCATGGGATCGCTGCGTGCAGGATCCTGCGAGGCTCGTTTCTCGCGATTCAGAAGCTCAGTCTTGAACACCTCGCTGGGCTTAGTAAGTGGCAGCACGGTGCGGTGGATGAGTTCAGGGGAGGTGAGGTAGAAGATGGCGAGTTCGCGCTCGGCAACTGAATCGCCTTCCTTGGCAGTGATGAGAAGCATGCGTCCTGCATCTTCCATGGTGTACTTGGACATTGGTTCGTCACCTAGGGCTGACGATGATGCGCCGACCTTTTCGGTCATGCTGCTGCTGTTTGCCTTGCCTGCATCGCGTTTCGAGTTCTGGGTGATGACTTCATCTACGAGCTCGACCATGATGCGGCAGACGTCTTGCTTCAAGCCGAGGGCTGCAAGACCGACGTCCCAGAATGCTTTACCACGCGCAGTCTTATCGAGCATCTGCGCTGGTACAAAGGATGCGATGAACTGCAAGTCTCTGAAAAGAGTCTTGGGGCGAATGTTGGAGTCTCGCAAGAGTCCTTGAATGACCTCGACAATCATGTCTGTGCTTGGCGGTCCGACTGGAGAGCGAGCGCCGTTGCGAGGTAGCGGCGACGCATTGCTTACGCGATCTACGTTCATGCTTTGAGAACGACGCTCTTCGCAGTTTGCAATTGCCTCTTCCAGGTTGTGTGCGCGCGAAGTCTGGGTGGCTGGCTCACGAGAGCTAAGTTCTGGCATGGCACCAAGAGTGGGTGATTGGGGAACAGGAGGAAGTGTGTCGCGGCGGATGTTGTTGTTGTTATTGTTGTTATTATTATAGGATCGACCAGTTCGAGAAGACAACGAAGCGATGATGAGAAGCTCCAATTCATACAACGCATGCAACTTGGAGAAAGGGTTGGGGTGCGTCTGGAACCTACTTAGGAGTCGTTGAAAGGCAACGTTGTATGGGAACTCCAATAGTCCGGCTTTCTTTGCAGTGGCATTGCCAGACGATCGTGAGGTGGCATCGCTGGAAGTCGACGAATGCTCTCCAGCTGACTGATGGGCATCGGCAGCTGCGGCATGCTGCAAGGTTGCAACAGGAGGTGCAGCTGAGCTGCGCTCTGTCCGGCCAAGCGCTTCCAACGGCAAGTTTCGTTGGTCAATAGTCTGCCTTCGGATGTTCTTTGTGCTCTTCTTCTTGGCCAGCTTGTTCTTGCGTCGGCGCTCCTCTTCGTCTCGGCGCTCGATACAGTCGTCAAGCAAATCACCACCGAACCATGAATCGGTCTCACTGCCGTTCGCAAACACCATCATTCCGAGATCACTCAACAGAAGGCCAGTGAGGGTCTGCTTCAAGTCGAGCATGAAGCGACGCTTGTCCTCATTGACTGTGGCCGACTGCTTCAGCATGACAGTGCCCTTGGAAGAAGAGGCAGTTCGTGGGCGAATGCTCGTTGCGTTTGTCGGTGATTGCGCTTGTGTCTGGAATGGCGACCAAAAGGTAGCCATTGGGTCGATAGCCAAGACTGGTGACGATGCGCCAAAGTAGTCAGACGACTCCGTAGGATTCCTGCTCCAGGGGTTTTGTTCCAAGATCGACGGACGGTTGCCGTTGGCGGCCGAACGCAGACTGCCGTGACTCGGGCGTTGAGAAAAGTCGTTGTTGCGCGACCCAGCCCGACCATGGGTTTCGTACTCTTCGTCACCCGCGATAGAGAGGGTGCCGACGCCAGTCAGGAAGAGATCACCTTTTTGCCGCCCGCTCTCAAGGATCTGTTGGTCGCGTTTGTACAAATCGCTGGCCCAAAGTACTGGACCGTCCAATAGACCCTCACCAATAACCTTAGTGACACATTTGTCGACTTCAAGACAGAAGCGGTGTATCCGCTCCTCGCCCTTGCAAAAGTTCTCAACACCGTACTGCATGAGCCACTTTAGGGTAATCTCCGACTGCTCGTCTGAGAGCTTGTTCGGACCACCAAAATCCTGTGAAGCCGCCATGAGGTCAACCAGTTGAGCTTCATTTTGTCGCAAAAAGCTATTGGCGTTGCGGGATCGAGATCCGGATGGGCCTTTGGCGTTGAGCGTCTTGGATTGCTGGTCCATGATCTTGAGGGCAAGAGCCACATTCTTGGCGTCTTCATATGGCTTGGAAGTGCGGACATCGGTAATGTACCACATCTTGTCTCTCAGGTTCTTGAAAGTGAGCATCATCTCGTCGACCATGTTGTCGGACCTTTCCTGAGACTGCTTGAGCCACACAAACCATGCTTCAAACTCTTCAATGGCGTTGGCTGCTTTGCTGAGCAAATCTCTGGGACCACGAGAAAAGTAATTGAGAAGAGCTGCGTATCCGTTCTTGACCAGGGTTGGAGAACTGAGTCTTCGTAGACTCTGGAGAGTCTTGTAGTACATGTGCGCATTGACGAAATCGGACCGCGCCTGACATTGGTACATGGCTGTCTCCAACATTGTAACGAGCACCGAGCTGTTCTCTTGCTTCTCGCCAACTTGTGGGTTGCTGTGACTCCTGGGAATCTGGGGAGAACGGCGTGACGAACCGCTTCTCTGGCTTGCAATCATGTTTGTGAGTTGGCTGTGGCTCTGGTTTGAGTTGTATGGATTGCGAGATCCAAGATTCTCGCTAATGTTGCGGATCGGGCCGCGTCCACGGGCGCTTCTGCGTGTCGTCATGCGGTTGCTGAAATTCTTTGATTCGCTATCCGGAGCCAGTGTTTTGGGGATTTCGTAATCTTCCACAAGCTTGACAATCGCCTCCTTAAGTTGGTGATAATCGTGGCCGAGATCGAATCTATCCGTAGTACCCTCATCGTCGCTGCTGTCGCTGTCTGGGGAGTCGTCATCATGCTCTTCTTCGTCATCGAAATCTTTGCGCATGCGTGGCTTGAGCTGCTTGCCATCAGCGGAGATGTACAAGACAGCCCATCGCTCAGCACATGGATGGCATGAGCCGGATGTAGCTTCAGCGCCGAGGATGCGAGTCATTTCTGAGCAAGCCATGCGCAGACGCTTTCCATAGAGCTCTGTTGGGGCTGGTTTGGAGTCAGTTTGTTGTTCAACTGGCGTCGAGTTGTTGTCCAGAAGTGGCTCGCGCGAGGTCTGATCGCTTGTCATGGACGAAGCACTAGCACTGAGAATGGAGCTTGCGTCGGTCATCGACGCGGCAGCATTGCGGAATGGAACAGACATGCCAGAGATTGAAGAAGCGGATGATGCTAGACCAGCACGGCGCTGGCTGTCGTTGTCCATGTGGCTCGATGAGGGGCGACGCTCCGGGAAGAGCGCATTGACCAGCGTGATGATGTCAGCCGGAGAGAGGACAATGAAGGGTTGCACTTCGACCGTCTCCCTGGGCGAGGTGATTGCCTTGGCAGGGAGTAAGATGGGCTTGGAAGGTGTTTTTGTGTGTTTGAAACGAGCCAGAATGCTCTCAATGTGGGTGCGGATTTCCGGAAGGACAGGTATCTGTTGCTTCCTACACGTAGAGTTAGTAACATGCTTGCTGAATGATTTGCTAGGAAGCCGTACCAGTTGTATGTCATGTCGAGCACCTGCTTCTGGGCTCGAATGGCAATTTCCTTGAGAATCTTCTGACGGGCATGTTCACTGATGTGGTGACCAATCATGATGCCGTGTGTCTGTCAGATGTTAGTGTTGTAACGGGCAATGCCGAAGAAGGGAGAACTTACCTCGGGGTGGATGATTGCGTTCAAAAGGAAGGAAGAAAACAACCATCGTGAAACAAAAAAGTTCTGCGATGCTTTGCGGGCTCCTCTTTCGTTCTCCTCGTTCAACTTGCGAAGGATGGCGTTTCCGATTTCCAAGACGCCCTCTGGGATGCCACCAGCACTGGGCTCGTCATCGACGACTTCAAACAAACGCTTAACAGCCTTGTCAAAGAACTCGTCTGCAGCAATGGTATCCTTGGTGCTGCGAGGCACTGGTTGTGCTCCAGCCCGTACACCTGATTCCTCGGCTTTCTCAAGGAGGAACTGACCGTCCTGGAGGGTTTGCATGAGGTAGAGCTCCAGGTTGGCCTTTCCAGGCCATTCGCGCATGCCTGCCCAGACGTCCAGAATGGTCCTGATGAAGTTGTGGCTAATCTTAGTATCCTTGATTAGTTTGGCGCAGACGGTGGCCCAAACGTCGGTACGGCGGAGGTCCTCTGCAGAATCAGGGCCAGACGAGTTTGCAAAAATGGTGTAAACAAGCGCGGAGAGTGGATCGTGGCGCTGGAAGGATAGGAGCCGTTCGATAGGATTGCCGCCTTGCTGTTGGGCCTTTTGGGAGCCTAGGTTTCTACCGCGGGCCTGAATGGCCATGACTGAATCAATAGGGTCCATGGCCTGGCGGAACGAGGTAAGAGCAGCCAGCTCTTGCTGTGAGAGGCTGGAAATGCGAGAAGCAAGAAATTCGGGGTTTGTACGAATTTCAGAAATGAAATCTAGAAGATCATCCAGGATCTTCGAGGGAACATCGTTGAGGAAAGTCGAGGCCGAGAGGGACTTGTCCGACTTGGTGGTCTTTGACTTTCCAAACTCCAGGTCTGGCTCCAGCAGGGCATACTGGCGTGTGGCGTCACACGAGTTACGGACGTCGTTGAGAGCACTGTATAGCGAGGCAAAAGCCTTTTTGTCGTCCGACCTAAAGTTGTCCACGAGGGTGCGGTATGCCAGCTCGCCGCAGTGTACCAGACGTGCGGAGAGGGCGCTGGAGACGAGCCATCTGTGCAGGCGGACTCTGGAATGAGCCTTGCGCTGCTCCTGGTAGCCCTGGAGGCGGATCAGGTGGGCGAGTTCAGCGAGGGAAGTGGCGGAGGGGGGTATGGCTGCGGTGGGCAGGTACGAGTCGGTGTACGAGGAAAGGTCGGCGGGAAGCAGTCGAGGCAAGCGGCCGGCGGGAGCAGACATGGAAGCGGCCATCTGGGGCCTTTGGTGAATGAGGGTGGAGAGGCCATGGCGGTCGTTGCTAGCGGCGTCGAGGGACGCGCCAGGTCGACTGCCCATGGTCGCCGTGGATTGTTTGGAAGGGCGAGGTGAGGGCGACCGGGGGGGAGCCTCAGCAGGCGGGTCGTCTGCTTGAGAAGTATGGTGCGAGGGCGTGTGGCTCCTCGAGGAGAAGTGGGTGACGGTGGGCGACACGGCTGCGAGTGAGGTCAGAGTCGGTCGTAGTGCCAGCTCATCGTACAGAGCGCATTGATACGAGGGACCAGCGACGGGGCCAGGCACACGGGCACACGGACACAGCCAGACAGAGGCACGGAGGGATAAAGAGAGGGACAGAGAGGGTCAAGAGGGGCACGGGAAAGAGGAACATACGTAGAGGGGTGTTTGACGCCTGCGCCGGGGGCGAGGCCGTGAGTTGGGTTCGTCGCATCATGTCGCCATTCGCCGTGGCGGCGTGTCAGCCCGATGATGGGGGGGAGCGGAGCAGCTCTGACGGAGGATGGAGTAGCAGCAATGGGCTACAGCATGGCCAGATGTAGCTATGGTATTGGGAGAGGAGGAGCTGCTTTGGGCGCAGCTGGCGACGGCCTCGACGTGTGCGTTGGCGCGTCTTTGACTCTTTTGGCGGCCATGGGGGCCGTAGCGAGGCGGGCGGGGTGTGATTGGGCGGCGGGGGTCGAGTCCCTGTGTGTGTGCACGCTCAACGGCCAAGAGGAGAGGGCAGACTGCAGACCGCCTTGGTTGCTCCCTCTCTCCCTCTACACTACTGTCCACGCCGGGCCAGGCGACCACGGCGATGACTTGCAGCCCTGCCACGACCAGCACATCGCCCGCTCGCCAATCACATCCCCCGAGCCCAAATGCCTCAGCTGCAAAGGGACCCCCTCTGCTCCTCCGCCCACACGTTCCCGGCCAGGCCATCCCCGCTGCCACTCATCCTCGCTCCAAAGACAGCGCACGCCTACCATCGCCACCCTCTCGCCAGTCGACGAGTCGCTATTCTCCCCGAGTATGTAGTAATGCTTGGCTGTGGGTGGGTGGGTGGTGGTGGTGGTGTTGTTGCTATTGCTGCTACTGCTGCCACTGCTGCCACTGCTGCCACCACTACCACAACACCCACTCATCCATCCATCCACGCCCTCGCACCCTATGCACTCTCAAACATGCCTCCCCTCGCCCATACTTACATCTGCACCTTTTTTGCGCCGCTAGCAGCCAGCAGCAAATCACGCCTTCGCTCCGCTTGTCGCCCTCGTAACTTGACGGCGGCCGGGTGGAGTCGTCTTCTGCCCCTGCGCTGCCAGCACATCAAGCGCTGCGCATGCTGTCAACAAGGCCCATGCAACTTGCTGCACGCCAAAACCATTGCGTCGCCCTGCTGTGAACCGCACGTCTTCCCACTTCATCTTGCAGTGCAGCCCTAGTCGCTGCTGGCTGCCCCCGTCTCCAAACCGCCGCTGCTCTGTAATGCCCTTTGCCATGCCCGTCCAATGAGCCGCATCGGCGTGCCGCATGCCGTGCAGTCTCTGTCGCCCAAACGCGTTCCTTTTGCGCCTTTGCTGCACTCATGCACTTGCACCTGACCTGCTACTCGCCGCCTCCCTCGCCTGCCACCGCCAGATTACGCCATGATAACGTGTCCATCTATCTTTGTACTGTCTCTGTGCGTGCCCATCTGCATCCACTCGGCTGAACCGTTGCCGTCGGGATGCCTGCACTTGCACATCCTCGACTTACACTACTATCCCATCTGCCGGTCGCGTGCGAGAGAATACCCCGCGACCACCGCTAGCCCCGTTGTAGGCAGACCGCTTCTTACTTAGTAACCACCCAAACACAACCACACCCCCACCCCACTTACCCAACCTCAGCCCAAGCAACACGCTCCTCGCACTGCCCAACCGTTGCTATGCACCCTTCGATGTACATGTAACGACTAAACACCACACTATCCCAAACTTACATACATACAATGCAAAACACATGCAAACATACCAATCCCATCCATTCCCCTTCCGGCCTCTCGGCGTAGCGCTTTGCCCAAAATACCGTTTGCTACCCTGCCATGTGCCCTCCCCATACGTCTACCAGTCTAACTCTCCCCACTACAGCTTGCTACCCGCCGACCATAGTCATGTCATGGCTTCCCTGAGCAACGGCGCGACACGTTTCCGGCTGTGCTGTACTTGTCTTTGCCACCAAACTTTTCTCCACTCGCTTCCACTGTCCAGGTCGCTGTAACCCTGCCAGTCTTCCAGACCCAGCTCCTCCCGTGCATTTGCGGCAAAGGCTTTGGCAGCTGATACTCCTGCTTCGTCGAAAGCCCACAAAAGAAGCTCTCTCTCAAACTGCCCGCTCGCAGACGTCGACGTCGTCATCAGACAGAACACACCCAGCTCACGATCCTTTGCAAACTTCTTGATCGCTTGCAACAACGCTTCGCGTGGTGACGCATTGCCTTCATCGCCAGCCTTCTTCTCCAAAAACCCGATGCACTTGACAACAGAGCTAATGCCCAGTCTCTGCGCCTCATCCCACTGCTTGTAATCCTTCCGCAATATGTCTTGCAGCTGTAGGCTACCAATGTCCTTCTTTGCTGCATCAATCTCCTCATAAAACCTAGTCCGATCGAAGCTTGCAGCCAATCGGGGGCAAAGCATAATCTTGGCTTCGAGGTACCCGACTGCTTCACGGTCGTGCTCGGTCGTTTTGCTCGCATCCTGGAGATTGGCCGTGTCAATGAGGATACTAGCCAGCCCCAGCTGGGCTATATCCGCGTCCCACTGCTGGACAAAGGCCGCGTCGTTTGACAAGCTGTCATCTTGTCCATGGGATGCCCCAGAAGACATCGACGATTCAGAGAGGACATCCCACGCCGGGCGGCAATAATTGGCTACAAGACTAGTGCAACTGCCGCTTTTTTCAATAATTCGACCTTCTTCACCCGTGTCTGCTGGCACCTTGCCTTCGTCATCATGGTGGTCAACAACGCCGGCCACGCGGTCAGCATAGATGTCGCCCAGCTGGCCCTGGAGAGCATTGTGGTCTACAAGAATCCACCGTGTATTCTCGGGTGCGAGTTTGGACCGGATATCTGACAATGCAGGAAGATCATCCAGTGTAATCAAATGCTTGGACTCGATGTTAGCGTGCTTGAAAACGGCAAGATACTCCGGTCGCAACTGGATATCGGCAGCTGGAATATTTGTGATTGGCACGTAGACTGAACTAAACGCCTTCTTCTGCGGCGACATGGACCGAAGGTATGCGTAGAGAATCGAGCTTGACATGGAATCAAGGTCTGGATTGCATGAGTACGGGAAACGCCCTTGGGCGCAGCGGGGAGTCATGCTCACCGGCCGATTCATTGCCAATCACAAACGTGATCTTCTGACTGCAATCAATAGCATCGCGAAGTGCGCCTCTCGCGTGCGTGAGGAAAGCTCGTAGTGAATTCCTCGGCACTGCCATGTTGGTGCGTAGCGGTGAGACGTGCAGATGCTACAAGAAGAGTGGAGGGACGAGCAGATGGCACTAGAGCATGACGTATGACGAGCTTGGGCCACATTGCACCTCTACACGTGCCCAACGGGGATTGGAAAGAACAGTCTCCACCAAACGCCAGAAGCGGTGTCAATAATACAACACTGAGCTTTAGCATTTCCATTTCAATCTTTATTGATATTGCCCACTTCCAAGCCTAATCTCCCGAGACCCAATGGCCCCACAGACCTTTCTTTGCTACCTACCCAGCGCTTGGAAAGGTTGCTTGCTGACGTTGTTGACGTTGCGATGAGTCGACATACGTACATGGCTGCGCCCCCGTCTTGTGCTCATTCTGCTGCTTCTTCGTCGCTTCCAGGCCCAGTACCTAGCTAAGTTCGACGCTTCCAGCGGGTACGCCTTTGGTGCTTCGGAGGCGCCGGGCAAAGAACTGCATAATGGGCAGCATCTCTTCACGGTTGCTCGGCATACCGTCGCCGCTCTTCTTCCACTCTGCGATTTCGACGTACTCAAAAGCATCTTTGAGCTTGGAGACTGCACTGTCGGTAATTGCCGATTTTTTGTTCGCCTTGCAGACCAATACCGGAGTCTTGCTCTTGTTTTGCAGCGCTTTGAGCGGTACAGATTGTGACAGTGGACCGCCAACGCTGATTACCCCGCTGAGCTCTTCGCCATAGAGCTCGGCGGCAACCTGTAGCCCGACCATGCCACCTTGTGCAAACCCAAATATCATGATCTCGCGCGCTTTGTAGCCACACTTTTCGATGAGTCCTTTGCGAATGACATCGTCTAGCACCAGCTGCACCGATTTCTGTAGACCTGTGTCCATGTCCATTTCGCCGGTGCTCGAGTCAAAAATCATGTCTTCACCCCAGTTCATCCCACCAAGATCGAACGGCACCGGGTTGGGGGCTTGTACTGCGATACATGCTGTCTCCGGCAGGTTCAACTGCTGTCCGAGCTTGGTGAAAGGCTCATGCGTGTCTCCGAGGCCGTGCAGAAGGATCAAGACGTTGGTCGGTTGCGAGGAAGGCGCTGGGCTAGTTAGCAGAGACACAGGAGGTACTGGCAGACCTCGGCATACGCGGTGTGACGGTTAAAACCGCCGATGAAGGGAAGTCTGTTGTTTCAGGGAGGCGGCCCGGCATGTTGTCGCAAGTTACGGTAGGTTGTGAGGCTGAGCTCTTTGAGGGGGCGGATGATCGCGGGGTTCGAGGCAAGACAACGATCGCCTGAGCCGGGAGATCTTCACCGACTAAACAGCCAAGCTTTCTTTCTCAATCCTTGGAACATCCCCATTTCGCTCTCTAATGGCAACGGATTTTGTTAGAGATGGCGTTTTGATATCGTGAGTTGCTGCTGGTGAGTTCTGAAGGCATGAATCCAGCTCGTCTCAGAGTTCCCCGCCCAAGTGGCAGGATTGCAGTTGCATAACCCAGAGGCTAAGCTATACCAAGGAAGCTTATTTCGCCGGCCCATTAATCCCGCGCTCCGGAGTCCACGGCTCGCTGCATTACGCACGCATCTATACCACGTTCAGCCATGCTCCATACTATCAGACCGTGTTACACATCGGAACCGGCACAACGTGTGGTCGAATGATGTCAAGGGGCGTTGAAGACCCCGCAGACGGCTGGCTAACTGAGCCACAAATGGACCCTGTATGGCTGATGAATGCTTTGGCGAGTGGCTCGATCGGCCCTTATAGCTGGCGTTGTCTGTTTCAATAGATCCCTACGCAGATGGTAGCTATCTAGCGCTGACGCGGCCGCGATAAACATGGTGTAGATAGTACTCAAAGACGAGTATAAAGCCAGGTCAGGTCTACCTCTTTCAGACCTACACATCCGTCTCCCACTTTGTCACAACAGCTACATTGAATCCCATCATAACCAATCTACATATATATTACTTGCATCTATCAGCCACAATGGGTTTCTGGGGTGAGTTGTTTGCCAACATACCTTTGCAAAACCCTGCGGAGTAGGATGCTGACAAGCAGCATAGACAAGAACGAGGACAATTACCAGAGGGTCTACGAGAAAGAAAACTTTGAGGAACACAAGTCCAGCTTGGGCCATGAGATGATTGCTGGAGGAGCAGCCTTTGCAGGTTTCAAGGCTTTTGAAGACCACCAGCGCAAAGAGGGTATGTGACGGCTAACACATTATGTTTATGCACCCGTTGCTAATTTTTACTACCAGGCAAGCCGGTATCACATCAATTCGCCAAAGAACTGCTTGCAGGTTTTGCAGGTGCTGAGGTATTTTATGCCTCAATTTTTTTATGCCTCAATATAGAGACTGACAGTTACAGATCGACAAGCTTGCCGAGACCAAGGGAGCAGACTGGTTCGACCAGGAGAAGGCAAAGCGCGACGCGAAAGAGCACGCTGAGCGCATGTACGACGAGCACTACATTGATAACCATGGAGCGGACCAATACGACCCCAACCAATACCGTGCGCCGGAGAGGTTCGAGAGGCGCGGATGGTAGACGGGACTACTAGCAGCTTACGCTTATTATGAACGCTTATGTACTCTACATGCACCTTTGCTTTTGTTTTTCATGCTTTTTTTTCGTTGATTGTGAAGCAATGTCCAATTTTGGCGGTGTCTGAGACGCCCTGAGTCTAGATGCCAATCCACCGGATACGGTTGAAGATCCGGGACGGTGATTTGACGAATGATGACGTGCGGACCCTTTTTGCCAACCGCCAAGGTGGGCGTGATTCGTGGGTTCGAGGACGAGGAGAGATTCCCCTCAGCTTGCCAGCCAGCCGCCCTCGCAGCGCCATTGAGCCTTTGGGTCGTCGTACATGAACAGCTGGCCTACGAGCGCCGATAGGTTCGCCCACGTGTTGAGTTATTAGCTATTACCGGCTGGTAGCGGACCGCACATGTATCACGAAGGGACGCGCCGTGCCTGTCACTCGTCGTTTTTTCGCTACTGACGCGCCCACAAAACTGCCATGAAGTTTGCAAAGTGAGACAAGAAAACTGCGCGCATGGCCACGCACGGCTGCTGACTGTGACAGGGAACTCGAGCGCGATCTTGTGCCGGAGTGGAGGCTCAAGTATTTGGATTACAAGGTGCGCTGCCGTTATCGGGCCCGTTAGCCCGCGATTAGTATTGCCCATGGACTGATATTTTCTCTAGCTGGGCAAAAAGAAGCTCAAGGCCATCGACCGCGCCCTCCGCCATGTGGAATCGACCCCCCGACTGCGCCGACGTGGTGTTGCTAGTGTACTGCCGTCGCCGTTGGACGCCGCGCCCAAGTACACGTACCTGAACCGGGAGCACACGCACCAGGGCAATGCCCGAGATACAGAAGACCTGAGGGCGCTCGCTATTACCAATACGCGCAGCCGGAACAGCTTGCAGCGGAGGACGGACGGTGGCCAGGCCAGTCAGGGCAGTCAGCTCGGCCGCACGCCCGAGGAAGAACCCTTGAACCAGGGACGACGCGAGCTCTCCTACCTGGGCAGTAGCTATGGCAGCTTCGCCGCTACCAGCCCTCCCAATGGTACACAAAAAGGCTTTACGGGCAAGAGCAAAGCCCCGCCATCCTTGAAGCTGCCCGGCGCTGCCCTTGACCCAGAGAATGTCTCTCCCCACGTTGGCTTCTCCCGCGAACCCCTTACCAAGGCAAAGACTGTGACGCTGCCGCCACCCGCAGAGCCAGAGACGGATAACGCTTTCGAGGTGGGCAAGACGAGGGCACCCCAAAAGAGTCACCACTCCTTACCCGCAAAGTACAAGAGCGTCTTCAGTCCCAAGCGCATGAACTCGACGCCGGGGCCTGTCAATTCGTCCCACCCACGACCCTCAGTACGCCGCCTGTTCTCCGCCAGCAACAAGACCCCTCCAGCTAGCCCAAGCGATGTGCCGCTTGAAGCATATCGTGACTTCGACTTCCGTCAGGCTGAGTTCTTCAACTTCCTCGACGGCGAGCTGGACAAGATTGAGAGGTTCTACAAACAAAAGGAAGATGAAGCCACCGATCGTCTGGCTGTCCTGCGCGACCAGCTTCACATCATGAGAGACCGCCGCATCGATGATATCATCCAACGACAAACCGACAAAATCAATGCCAAGATGCACAAGAAACACGAAGATGACCATCTCCTCAATGGAGGTCAAGATAGCAGCCGAGGCGAGGAAGTTCAGCACAGCTGGGTCAACAGCAACGTGCTGAAGGATACACTCATGAGCCCTATCGACGCTGCATTCGAAGCCATCAATGCGGGCAAGTACGGGAAGAGCACCAAGAACATTGCTCAACTCACGACACCAGCTGCGCTCCGACCTAGAGATCATCCGGACAGCCGCCGTGACTTTGCTCGTCGCCCCGAACTGCCAGAGGTGCCTTACAAGACAGCCAAGCGGAAACTCAAGATAGCGCTCCAGGAATACTATCGTGGACTGGAATTGCTCAAAGCCTACGCCTTGCTCAATCGCACTGCCTTCCGCAAAATCAACAAAAAGTACGATAAGACTGTGAATGCACGTCCAACATCTCGCTACATGAATGAGAAAGTGAACCAAGCCTGGTTCGTCAACAGCGATGTGATTGAGGGACACATTCGAACAGTCGAAGATCTATATGCAAGATACTTTGAAAAGGGCAACCACAAGGTTGCCGTCAACAAGCTGCGCGTCAAGACCGCACGTGCCGGTGACTATACCGACAATACCTTCCGCAACGGCCTTTTGCTGGCCGCAGGTACCATACTGGCCCTCCAGGGTATTATCAAGGCAAACAGCATAGCCGACTTGTATGACCCAAGCCCAAGCATATTAGCTGTAGATACGAGCTATTTACTACAGGTGAGAAGGAAAGGGAACTTTTGTCCCTGGCCGCGCTAATGTTGTCAGATCTATGCCGGATACTTCATTATCAACTTCCTTACGCTACTCTTCTGTCTGGCGTGCCGTGTTTGGCACGAGAACAAGATCAATTACGTTTTTATCTTCGAATATGATACCCGCCACCATTTGGATTGGAGGCAACTTGCAGAGGTTTGTGCATTGGGCAAATAGATTGTGATCGAGGCTGACTCGTGGTAGATTCCTTGTTGGTATTTGTTCATGCTGGGACTGTTTATGCAAATCAACTTCCATCAAGTCGGTGGACAGCGCATGTATCTGTACTATCCCGTCATTCTTATTGGGATATCCATTGCTGTTTTGTTCAATCCCCTCCGGGTATTTTACTTTCGGACTCGAATGTGGTTGTTGTACTCACTGGTAAGCTTTGTGTATCTTATCGCACATGGATTTGCTGACACCTTGTTAGTGGCGGTTGATACTTGCTGGTGTGTATCCCGTTGAATGGCGAGACTTTTACATGGGTGATATGTTTTGTTCCTTGACGTACAGCATGAGCGTAAGTTGTAAGCAACCTGTTCGACCACATGTTACTGATTTTTCTAGAATATCGCCATGTTCTTCTGCCTATACGCACAAGACTGGAACTACCCGCCGCAATGCAACTCGTCTCATCTGCGCGTCACTGGTTTTCTTTCTGCGCTTCCCGGTGTGTGGAGATTGCTACAGTGCCTCCGACGATACAAGGACACTGGTAACAAATTTCCCCATCTGTTGAACGGTGGAAAGTATACGGCCACCATTTTGTTCAATGCAACGCTCAGTATTCATCGTATGGATAGCCGGACCTCAACCAAGGCTGCGTACATTACCTTTGGAATCATCAACGGTATTTATACGAGTTTCTGGGACATTTACTATGATTGGAGTCTTGGCGATCCTCGTGCAAAGTACCCCTTTTTGCGGAAAGAGCTGGGGTATAAGAAGGCCTGGTGGTACTACACAGCCATGTGCATTGATCCAATTCTGCGGAATATTTGGGTCTTGTACACGATTGTGCCGCTCCAGAATTCACATCCCGCAGTGATGTCGTTTGTGGTTTCACTTTTGGAGGTACTGCGAAGAGGCATGTGGTCAGTGTTCCGTGTAGAGAACGAGCACTGTACCAACGTCGGGCGGTTCCGTGCTAGCCGCGATGTTCCTCTGCCATACTATGTTCCTTCGTCTGCGGAAGTGGAAGAAGACCACTCATCTGGTATTCCTCGTGCACCAACGCAAGTTGACGAAGAACAGCCTGGCGAGGGACAGCCACCAACGCCAACTGAAGCCAGTCTACGTCGCCCGGCTACGGCTACAGGCTCAGAAGTAGATGACCCGCAGGCGTTTGCCCGCAAGCGCCGTGGTGTCCAAGACGAATTCCGCCCCTCGCCCTTGCAGCGCGCATTCACACATGTTGGCGATATTTTCCGCGATGCCCACGCTCAGGACTTTGAGCGCAAGTTGAAGCCGGAACTCGGCCGGGACCCGCGCAATAGCAGCAAGATGGACGATGATAGCGATGACGAGTCAGACAATGACGAGGAAGCAGGTGAGCTTGTCAATAGCAGTGGCAGTAACAGCGATGGTGCGAGGAGTAGAGATAGCGACGGCGAGGACGATGTGGAAGACGAGGTGCATGATGGGGAAGAAATGAGTGCGCTGGCGAGGATCCGAGAGGACTTTGCCGTGGGTGTGACGGGGGCACATTCTGATGGGACAGATCTTACTTGACGACGTTGTTGTATATGGAATGTGGTAAATACAACGTTTTGTCTCTCATACTTGTTCCTGTCATTGTTGTTCTAACGAAGCAAGCGCGTTTTCCTTCATTCTTTAGATATTAGATTTTATGCTTTTTTTTCTCGTCTTCTCCAAGTTTTGTTCCCCGGTGCAGTGCAAAAGAATCAAGGCCCTTGCCCTGTGTTTTTTTCCTCACAGGCTAGGTATAGCGTGGGGTTGGGTGGGTGGTTGTGTGACGAGTAGGCGCAGCCAGCAGCAGCGCAGCAGGCGGCCGGAATGAAGCGAGGTGCGAACTAATACCGTTTGAGCAAGGTGGGGCTGTCCGCGGGATAGCGCTGGGGGCAAGAGACATGGATGTTGGCAAAGTCGAGGTCGTCACGACTTATTCTTGTTATTACAATTATGATTGTTTTGGAGTGGAAATTGAAGAAAAAAAAGGAAATTGAAAGGAGCGAGTTTTTTTTTCGGGATAATTTGCGTGATGGGTATGGTGAGAGAGGGCATGGGGCTTTGTTGAATCTCGATCCCACGCATGCACACACGTACGTTGTGCTCGGGTAGGCGCGACTCTATTCAAAGCAACGCTTGCATGGGGGGGGGGGGGGACAACGGGTATCGGGACAAAATGTCGTGTTCTTGAATCATGGCGGAAAGAAAGAAATAAAAAGACACAGCATTGAACTATGTATGTAACTAACGGGCGACTAGCGCCAGGAACAAGGAGTATGTACACGCGCAGGAATGCAAAAAAGGGACGATGGTTGGTTACAGTTTGTTCTTGTGCGCGGGGGGATAGAAGCAGAAGCCGCGGAAGGGGGAAGAGTGGTGCGATAGGCGAGGCTGGTGAGATCGCTGTTCCGCCCGCTTTGAGGCAGACTTGGTGCATGTGGTGGAGAAGGCCAAGCCAGGCACGGGGCGGGCGGACGGGCAGGTAAAGGGGGCTAAGAAGAAGAAAAGATGGTTGACGTAGGTGTTTGTTGCATGGTAAACGTGCAACGAGCTTGGACGTAACGCGATATCACGTGAGGAAATGGGAGGCGACAGGCACAAGTATGTTGGTGGTGGTGGAGTGGGTGAAGGACATACAAGAGCCGTGATTGGGGCAATTTGGGGGGTTGGAGTAATTAGCGGCCTGTCACGCTGACTATGGAAAACGGTCTGTGTAAATGGGAATGCTTGGCGGGGTAGCTGGACGAGGCGAGGCGATTGGTGTTTGGTGTGTGGTGGGAGAGGGAGAGGGCGAGTGCAGCAGGCCACGGACAAAGCATGCGGACTCTGATGGCAGCCATTGGCGCGCAGAGTTATACAGAGACGACAAGCATGAGCAGCGTGGAGGCCTCGTGATGGCTGGCGACGCCACCGGGTAACGTGGGATCGTGATATGCGTGACATGTTACTCAACAGATTTTCTATACGAACCCACGACCTTCCTACAAGGGCATTCCGAAGAGCTGATGGCATGGTGGTTGGGGCGGGCCAGGCCTTGGGATGAGGGAGATAAAGCAAGGGCAGAAGCTAGTAGATAGCAGGATAGTAGGAATTGAAGCGCGGCAACCGTGTAATACCAAGCAGAGGATAGGATGGGATGGGATGGGATGGTGCGGCAACAATGGCAGATGATGGCAAAATACGGTGAGCAGGCAGTAGGTAGGCACATGGACAGTCCAGCCTGGGGTGCCAGGGTTGGTCTGCCCTCGATGAACTGCATCGCCGCTTGGCAGCGAGTAATAGTCGCTCATGACGCATGCACCAAACCCGGCAGGGGCGACCCGTCTGCGTGTTTGGGGCCACAGCAACATGCGGCCTAGTCGACTGCGAGTGGGAGCGAGACAGAGAGACAGCTGCGAACGGCCCCATTATCATCATCATCATCATTATGTCGTCGGCGACAGAAATATATACTTAGATATATAGACATCTAGTACGTATACACATATGCTCGACATGTGATCCCATGTATACAATCAAGTACGCGCAAGCACACCCCGCATGTTAACCCCTCCACCAGCTGCACGCACAACGGCGAGGCTGCAGCGCCATTGTCCATGGTGGTCGTGGAATGCAAATGCGCCAGAGACTAGTCGGGGGTGGGTGGGCACGGTGCATGTCACTCACTGAGGGGAATCATCGGCCCGTGCTTGCTCCCACCTTCTCTCTAGCGCGCCGTGATAAGCTCCATGCTCATCTTGCCTTTCTCTGCCCGTAAATCCTTGATTTCCGTCTGTTTTGCAACAAGAGGCGACTCTGCTCGTCCTCGCTCCTCCCTTCCCAAATCCTCTAATTCTTAATCGACCGCAATCATGCCTCCAGACCCAAAGGACGCCCCGTTTCCCACAAAGCAGCTCATCATCATCGGTAAGTCCAAATTATATCCCAACGTCACAGCCCCCAACGCCTTTGCTCACCCCGGCACCACAGGAATATGTCGATTCTCCGAGCCTCTCGCTTTCAATTCTATCCTCGCCTACTCTCCCAGGATGGTTGAGGATCTCGGCATGTCGCACCGCGATAGTTCTTTTTACGCTGGCCTGCTCGTCTCGGCCTACGCCATCGCAGAAGCAATGACTGCCCCGTTGTGGGGTATGGTTTCTGACCGCTATGGCCGGAAACCCATTGCTCTCAGCGGCCTCCTGGGCGTCGCCCTCTCAAGTCTGGTCTTTGGCCTTGCCCCCACTTACTGGGTCGCCTTGCTTGCCCGCTTCGTCGGCGGCGCACTGAACGGCAATGTCGCAATCATGCAGACCATGGTGGCGGAAATGGTCAAGAACCCAGCCCATGAGCGTAAGTTGTCCTGCACCATTTCTGTCGCCAATATTCAGCTAACCTACTACAGCGCGCGCATATGCGACCCAGCCCTTTGTCTGGACTTTGGGCGGCATCATTGGTTCGGCAATGGGTGGTTTCCTCGCCCAGCCTGCACGACAGTACCCAAACACTTTCGACAAGGACGGCCTCTTTGGACGCTATCCCTATTTACTGCCTAACCTTGTTGCCGCCGTTGGAATCCTGCTCGCCATTCTTCAGGGTATGCTTTTCCTAGAGGAAACTCTTGTTCGCGAGGAGAAGCCAGAGGGAGAAAACGGAATTGCCGACTACCACGACCACGTTGACCATATGGCCACCATCAACGAAACTCCTGTCGACGAGAGGAGCCGCCTTCTACCACCACCTCCAAACCACCAACATCTTGGCCGCGACCCTCGCGGCTCAACCGCTGGATCTACGCGCCACCGTGGCTCCATTGCCAGCTTTACCCGCGATCGCTTGGCTTCAATCTCCGTTTCAGGCAGCATTCGCCATATCCGCAAGCGAGCCTCGTTCATGGAGGAAGGTATGCCCATGCCCTTTGACCAGCGCTTTGATATCCGCCGTTCATCCTTTGGAACCATGCATTCGATCAAGATCCAACAAGATGTGCTCCCTATTCGCGGCGGTCCCACCCCCAAGCCTCGTCGGACTTTTAACAAAACCGTCGTCATGGTCATCCTCGCAATGTCCATTCTCGCCTTCCACCAAATGGCCTTCTTCTCAATCCTTCCAGTCTGGGTCCTAGACGACCACAGCCACAGAGGTCTCGACTTTCACGGCGGTCTCGGCCAGGACATTCCTGACGTAGGCACCTTTCTGACTGTCAATGGTTTCATCACGCTCTTTGTTCAGGGCTTCATATTCCCCATCTTTGTAGAGTGGGCTGGAGTCTGGAATTCCTTCATCTGGATGATCGTCTTATACCCCATTACGTACCTATTTGTTCCGTTTATCACCGCCTTTCCGCCCATATTCGAGACTACCGGTGTCTACTTTGTACTCTTCTTGCAAGCCTTTTTCGGAATCGTGGTTTTCCCATGCGCTCTGATTCTGATGAAGAACGCCATCCCATCCCCACTAGTCCTAGGTCGCGTCAACGGCCTCGCCATGTCTGCATGCTGCCTGGCAAGAACTATTTCCTGTCCATTGATTGGACTCATCTACTCTCTCGGAGGCTCAGCAGCAGCTTGGTTCAGTCTTGCTGCCATAGCTATCATTGGCGCGATCCAGCTGCTTTGGGTTCCCAAGGAGGAGATTGGCTCCGTTACCATTGATAATGGCCTCAAGAAAGTCCTTCATGACGATGCTGACGAGGATGCGGTCGACGATATTTCCATCATTGAGTCTGTACGATAACAGATGTCACCTTGACTTACGACTTCATTGTTTCCGATAAGGCGGATCTCGGAGCAACCGTCTCAGAGTGTCTTTGAATTTTTTTTTTCTTCTTTCCTTTCCAGTTGCATGGTCTCTTGGCGTTTTTGGTCGGTCTCTACATGTTTGCGTCTCGAACATCGGGCATTTCAGCGACTCTCGCGTATCACGTGTCCTCACTTCCGATTCCATTGGCGGGTGCCGCATTCATTTACACTTTGTCCGTTCTCTTCTAGCAAACTGTCTAACGTGAGCGCGATAGAAGTTAGACAGCGCACGGTCAATAAGATCTACAAAGATCTTTGACGGACCCGCAGTGGATCAAATGCTAGGATGGTCGGCTTTAATAATCTGACCGAGTTTGCTATTTGCTAGTACGCGGGCAACTGCTGGGACCCAGTCACAGTCTTGCATTTGCCTTCACCTGCCGACCTAGAACGCAGTAAACCTTCTTCCAAATACAACATGTCGGAAATTGCAGGATCTGAGAAGAAAATGATATGCTATTGGGATGAGACAGAAGGAAAAGCAAGACGGGGGCACGTTGTCACGACATGCGGGAATGCAGTAAGACGGGTTATTTTTGATCCTGGCTTCCCGAAGACAGGGCGAAGGAATTACATCATAGCAACAAGTCTTGTTGTAGTTGGCGATAGAATCCAATACATTTGGGACCCATAAAATTGGCTTATGATACTAGTGTTGTGAAATGCAAATGCCTCACTTCCGAGGCGCAACGAAACGTGCATGGTGTTGGCCGGCCGCGGGCTGGCCGGCTCCCGGCTTGGCAGCACCGCGCAAGTGCAAGTAGGTACCTCTCTGCGGTAAGCTGGCCCTAGATCCTTCGCAACCGCCTACCCCAACGCCACACACGCACGAATCCCGGAGCCCGGTGATGCTTCTTTAGCAGAAGCAATTCACTATGACGCTTGACGCGGTAACGCGACAATGGATCATTGGGGTGACCCTTGGGCAGATAGTAATGTCGAGCAACAAAAGTCCCCGACCAAGAACGCGGTGATTTCACCTCCACCACCAACACTTGCGCCTGCCCCAGTGCTATTGAATGGGTTCCTTGACGATGCAGGCTGGGGGAACGAAGATGAGAGTTTTGGCGACTGGAGTGCGTCGACTGGAATCGGTGCTCCCAGCATCGCCCATGTAGACACTCGGCTACCTAGCCCGAGCCCCTTGAGAAACCACAACGTCGCTGAAGATACTTTACACTGGGGCGTAGACGAGGGAGTCAAAGATACCATACCGAATACCGAGGAAACATGGGCAGGAAAAAATGGAGAATCTTCTGACCTCGATAACGGCACTTCGGACACGTCAGAAACATCGACCACCATTCAGGCAGACGCAGACGCAGATCCAGACGCAGATCCAGAACGAAACGCGAAAGATGCTGCGACCCGGTCGCAACCTGACGACTCCGACTCCGCGCGACCATCTACATCGCAATCCGAGATCAGCCGCCATGAAGCGCCGGTCGAATCCTCTCGGACATCGCTTGAAGACGAGGAGGCTACTGCAAAGCGCACTATAGAGGACGTAGAGTCAAAAGAAGGCCACGGAAATGTTGACAAGAAGGAGAATGAGGAAGAGGGCCATGGCTCAAGTTCGGACAGCGATAGTACTGAGGAGGAATACGGAACTTCTACAGCAGACACGCTCCTGACTGAAAGTCCTCAGGATCGAAGTGATGCCGCTGAAGACGTAACAGGTGACTCCAAGGAAGACGAGCCCAGAAACTCTACATCGTCACGCACTGAGCCGACACCAGCATCCCCGCCAATAACCACCGCCGCACAATCTCATATCGGAAGATATCAGCTTGATGCTGCTCTTCTTGATGAACTATTCCCTTCAAAGAAAAATGAAGCGGAACTGGATGAAGCTCCGGAGAACCCGATATATTCAACCTCGGGGCGCAAGGCCTGGTATCGACTCACACGCAAGCAAACTATGAAGGAGTTCAATAGCGGCAACAGCGATGACAGCTACGTTCGAGTTACATGGCCGGGCTCTCAAGTCAGGTCTGAGGTTCACAAGACTGTAGCTAGGTGGGCGCGCGAAGACCGCATGTCAGGCACAGGACCCGGTGCCCGGGCTTCATTTTACTGGGACACCCCAGCACCAGTCGAACCCAGGATACCCAAGGGTCACCAGCGTACGAAGACGTCAGTCCCTACTGAGCGCATAAACGCACCAATGAGGCAAAGCCTTCCACCAATGGCTACAAACACGGCAGCTGCATTCAACTGGGCTTCTCCCACATCCACAAGAAACCCTTGGAAACAAGACAACTCAAGTCTGAGCTCGGTAGTCTCACTTCCTACGTCCAAGCCCACTGCTATACAAAATGAGCGAACGCAAGACTCCCATCCTGTCTCAATGGATCTTGCGCATGGTGTTGGAGAAAGACCAGGGTCAACGGTTATTTCCCCTGAAACACCCAATGTCGCGAACACAATACTACTTCCACCTCCGACCACAACGTCAGCAAGCTCATGGGGAGACACCAGCACTCTCGACACAAACAACGCTGTTCCAAAACAAAGCACCAATGTCCCCGATGACGAAGACGATGATTGGGGTGAGATGATATCAAGTCCCACCGCGTTTCCCCCCGTTTCAGCCTTTCCGAACTCTATATCCGCCACTCCTGATAATACTGTGTCAACTTTGGATTCAGCCCCTGAAAATTCGCCACTTGAAGATTCATCAGCCGACGCCATGCACGCCGCTTCTATTGTTCGCCTGAAGAGTACAATATCGCCCACCTCTGCCGTATTTGGACGAAAGAGCTTTGTTCCGTTTGGTGCTGAACATGGCCCCATTGGACCTGTGATCTTGAAGCCGGTCAAGCGGTCTGTCGCTTCTACACCCGAAAAGTCCAAGCCCGAGGCGCTATCAGTGCCATTACGGGCAACTCCTCCACGTAAAGCACGGGAGGCGACGCTAGTACGCGAAGTGGAAAAGACATCTGATGTTACGACTAAGGATCTTGAGCCTTCAGCAGAGAGTATGGTGGATGACTTTTCTGTGTTCGAGACCAGCACTTTAGAGTCGGAGCCTGTTCAACCTATGACTCCGCCTCGAGCTCCAATGAAGCCCGAGCCGATAGTTGATTCATGGGCAGACGCGGATTTCTCAATCTTTGAATCAGCTCCAACAACAGCGATTGCACAACCAAAAGCAAAACATGAGCCTGGAGATCCTTTTTCTGTCTTCCAGACTCCTCCACCACGACCAAACAGCGCTGCATCTTCAGCCAAGACATTTACTCGGTTATCACCGCCGCGCGTTGTGACACCGCCGGCCATCCAGCCTCTCACGGGCGCTACCAACTCCGCCCAACGGCGGAAGAACGAGGAAGAGAGAACGATTAGAGAAATACTGGCCGGGTTACCGGATTTGAGTTATATGTTGCGATAGAAAGATGTTATTCTTTCCAGTGGCTTTATTGGCATTGTTGAGGCCTTTTGTATTGCATATCACCTGGCGTTTTGGGGGTATGATCGGAGAATTCATATATAGGACTTGTTTTTTTATTACACTGGTTGAGATCATTCAGAGATCATGGATCATGTTTATATGTGTACAATTGGGTACTTTTTTTCATTATTCCGCAGAGTATAGAGGCTAGCACTCATACACGATGGATTCTTTTTACTTGTTTTACATGTACATCTTTCCACTATGATTGTGTCGTTGCTTGCATACTATCTTTCTAACAATCACATGTTGTTATGAGCACTGACATGCACTTTTGTGCGTTGTGCATACTACGATGAATAGAACAACTAACTACCCAAAGATGCACAAAGTTTTGAAAGGTAATAGATCCCCACAAGCACTACGTCATCACTGACTTGAGCATTCATCAGCATGTCTATCCAGATCCAACCTTCCACCCAACATAACCTACACACCGCCCCCATCGAATCTCCCAAAATCACCATTATGCCCCCACTAATCCACATAGTCCGCCACGGCGAAGCCCTCCACAACACGCACCCCGCCTACCCCCACCGTGACCCTCCCTTGACAAAATCCGGACACTACACCACAAAACACAAGCACCTCCCCGCCCACCCCGATCTTATCCTCATCTCCCCCTTAACCCGCACCATCCAAACAGCCTTGAACATGTTTCCCTTTCTCTCCTCCCCTACACCATCCATCCCCGCACACATATGGCCTGACCTCCGCGAAACCCACTCTACCAGTCCATGTAACCAGGGTTCGCCACGCAGCCATCTCGAAGCGACATTCCCGCAACTCGACTTTTCGCGTTGTCGCGAGGAGTGGGATTATGAGGGGGAGAGTGAGGATGAGGCTGTGGCGAGGGCGGAGAGAGTGAGGAGACGGGTCAAGGTGTTAATGGAGGAGGAGGGGTATGGGAATGTTTTTTTGGTTACGCATAGGGGGTTTAAGGGGTATTTGGTGGGGGGGAGGCGGTTTGGGCTTGCGGAGGTGAGGACGTATCGGGTTTTTGGGAAAGGAGAGGAGGGGGAAGAAGAAGAAGAAGAAGAAGAAGAAAAGGGGAGGAGGTGGGGGGTTGATTGGGAGACGGGGGTGGAGAGGGATTATGGGCCGACGGTTTGGGTGCTGGATGGAGGGAAGAGGTAGTAGGGTGGAGTTGGGGATAAAGTCATGTATTTCATTGATATCAGCATTCTTGTAGTGTGGACAAGAAAGAGCCCTATGCTAAAATCGTGAATCCTCTAGTAAGGATAAAGTTGCATATGCCAGATGAAACCCATCTAGAAAGTCTTGAACTTTCCGCCCAAACTTACAAACTTGCCAGACCACTTGCCGTCAGTGTAGTACTGCTGCCACACCGCATCGTCGAGTCCAATACCGAATACATCGATACGTCCCTTGCCCCACGAGACGGCAGCTGGAGCACTCTTGAACTTGCCCGTCATTCCCTTCCAGTCACCCAGCCATTTGTCGTCGTTGAATGACTTATTGTACATCTGGTCGTCCAGGCCGATGCCAAAAACATCGAGGCGTCCCTGGTCACATGAAACAACCGAGGGGGTGCTCTTGAACTTGCCACCTATTCCCTGCCAGTTGCTGGTCAACCACTTACCCTTGTCGAACGCCTTGTGGTACATCTGGTCATCCATGCCAATGCCAAAGACATCCAGCCTGCCAGGCGCCCGCGAGACAACAGCCGGCGGGCTCTTGAAAGCACCAGTCATCCCGGTCCAGCCAGGCGTAGTCCACGCATTGTTCTCAAACGCACGGTGGTACATCTGGTTGTCCATTCCGATACCGAAAACATCAAGTCTGTCGCTACCCCACGAGACGGCTGCTGGGGGGCTCTTGAACTTGCCCGTCAGTGGCTCCCAGCCATCTGACTCCCACTTGCCGCCATAAACCTTGCGGTACATCTGATCGTCCATGCCAATGGCAAAGATATCAATGCGTCCATTGCCCCAAGATACAGGTACAGGCTGGCTCTTGAGCTCACCGTCGGTACGCTGCCACTGGTTGTTGATCCAGTTTCCACCCGTCTTGCGGTGATTGCCCCACGTCTTGCGGTACAAATGTTTGTCCAAACCGATGCCGAAGATGTCGAGACGGCCGTGGCTCCAGGAGATAGTGCCGGGGATCTGCATGAATTTGCCTTCAAGTGGCTCCCATGCGCCACCGAGAGAGGGCTTCCATCCGTCCTGGCCCCGGTCGAATTGCTTGCGGTACATTTGGTTGTCTGTGCCGATGCCGACGAGGTCGAGGCGGTCGGGGCCCCAGGACTCGATTGAGATCCAGGAGCGCATGGGGATTGGCATAGAACCCATTGTTGGTTGTTGTTTGTGATCTGGTCATGTCAGGATTAGAAAGGTGTGGGGAACTGAGGGGCGAAACTGACTTGAATGTATCAGGAGAAGAGTGGGTTGGCAGTGATGATGGGAGGGTTGGAGATGTTGTTTGTGTCTCTTTACAGTGACTACACGGCGAGTATTTATGTTGCTTTCACTCTCTACGAGGCATGTATGGTGTCTTTTTTTATTCTGCCTCTAGTCGTCATCGGTAACTTCAAAATCAACAAATACGGGATATGCAATGTCCATCTCTACAGTCTCCACCACGACCATATCGTTCCGGCAATCATGACAAGAGGCGGTGAAAAGACTCGGTCGATTGCTAGATGGTACGTCTGCATCATGCCGGTCTAGGTTTTGTGGTGGATGACCTGTGTGGCTGCTTGTTACACATCTGGGAACTGTATCCGGGCCTACTGCCCGGAGAGAAGGCAGCAAGTTGATCTTGGTGTTGATCTCATCGGTCAAGTCATCCGGACCACATAGCAAATAGTGTTTTTTGCTTCAATTCAGAAGATCTTGGCAGTTCATACATCTAGCAGCAGACAAGAAAGGAACTTACAAACCCTATCCTCCACTGTACCAGACAAGCAGCCAACTCCACACTTTTCTGTACCGTTGATTGACCCTTACCAAACAACAATATGACATGCATATTGGACCCTCATCGATAACGTCATATACATGTACCACGCTTAGTGCAAATGATCCGATTGACTAAAACTCCCTTCTGGTGAATCCAGCAAAAACACATTCGTACCAGTACTGCATGTAAGCGAACAAAAGGTCAGCCAGCCATTGCTTGTGTAACCACACTTCCCATCTATTCCTCGCCTCACAAACATACACATGATCTCGAAAAACAAAGAAGCTCACAGTGTGGCGTACGCAGGGCACATTATTGATTCAAAAGAAACCTTGCGTCGACTAAGTACGCACGTTACCGCTTACCCGTTTGTACGGAATCTGTTCTCCAACACTACAATCCAAACCCCCATATATACTCACTACACTCCAAAAGTACCCAACCGTTCGATAGTCCAATAAAATAGCCTGATCAACTCCTCAGTCTTCAGCCCTCAAAAAGTAGTTGTTGTTCTACTACGTACGCAAATATCTTACCTCCACCTTAGCAAAACAAGAGAAAAAAGCAATCATTCTACCCCGCAGCCAGCACACTAGCACGCCGCATTTCCCCCTTCCACACCCGCATCCGCATGTGCATACTGATCCTTGTTTCGTAGGGACGGGCCGTTAGCAACACGTTGGCGCCAAGGTGGAGACCGGGGATGGGTTCGGCATCCCGAGAGATACTTATTTTCGTGGAAGCGATTTTTGATAGAGACTACTACTACTACCACTACTAGTTATAGTAAAATGAGAGTGCGAGAATTACATACATAGTAATTTGATTTAGAATGCCGTTTTCCATAGGTAGAAAAGGGAGAGAGTGGAAGCCCTTTCTCATCGTCGGAGGATACATCCGGCCTGGGGAATTCTCTGCAGTTGTGGGGCTGGGCTTTTGACGCTGGTGCTGGAAAGGGAATATGGGCACGGCTTTGCCCGCTTCCTTTGAGCCGGAGTATTTGCTTTTCTTTGTCGGAGCGGCTAGGGGTTGCTTTTTCGAGGTGGTGCTTATATGTGTATACTGTACGTCTAGATGTACATCATACTGCAGGGTGTATTATGCATGACTAGTAGGTAATTGGCGGTTAATAGGGTTTTAGTGGGCAAATTTACTCACTCAGTCTTAGTACAGTGAGCCTTTTCCCTTGGTTCTGGAGTGCCTGCATTGATTCTAAGAATTGCTACATAGAGGAAAACGATGATTGGCCCGAGAGATGTAATTCTGGTGATGATCGGACCCATGTCTTACTGGTTAAAAGTAGAGAACAGTCTGGAGTAGTCTGTAAGCTTTTAATCTGACATACTGCACACATGACGTATATCCTTGCTGACAGCTATCGATCCAAGGTTCAGATGTATGCGCTGTTGTATCTGCGCTGGCGTATCTAAGTTATCGTATCTAGATAGGGTTTACAATGGAGAGCCGACACTATCATAAGAGTGATGAAGTAGAGGCAGTTCAGTAATTTTTATGCTCTCTTAGTATAGAGGAACGAGGCATAAGGGGTCTGATAGGATACGGCACTTAAGGCTGAAGACGTTACAGTTAGTCGGAACTCTTGACCTGTCAATATGCCAAAAGACTGTTGGGGCTTTTTCACTAATTGAGTGCGGGCCATATAAAAAGTTTCCACGTAAGTCTTTTGATGTGCTTTTTTTCTAGAGCTACGTAATATCTGCAGAGTACATCCCTCACAGACAGTGAGGTAATAGCGGATCAGACAGATAGAACTCAATCATGTCTCAGTACCATCTATTTCCAAGGCCTGCAGTTGTATGTACCGCCAACGCTGCATGCAGGTCTATTTTCAGGAAATGTCGTTTTCCCTGTTATGTCAACAAACCACACGTTTTGCAAAGTTCAATACCGAAGTGAGAGTAATGTGTCAGAGCATTGAGATAAAAGTCCAAGAAATGGCATTTTTTTGCTTGGGTATCATACCTGTACGCCTGAAAATGCTCAGTTAATCCCTACACACTAGATGCTTTTCAATCTGCTTCTTCTTCGTCCCCTGCTCGTCCCATGCGTGCTCTGATGTCTCGTACAAGTGCTTTTGCATCCTCGACTTCCACGCCGTCTTGGCAAAGCTCGTTTGCAAGCTCCATTGCCCTTTGGTACATGCCACGCATATACTCCCAACGTGCGAGCCACAGCCTAGCCTTGCTTGTCGTAGCAGTTACACCAACACCGCCTGCGCCCTCCATTCCGGCTTCTTCAAAGTCGGGGCCTTCCTCCTGCGCAAGGACAAGTTCCATATATGCTGCGCACTCGTTCATGTTATTCATGCGCTCGTACAGGAGGGCAATCTGGTATAGCACATCGGGATCCAAGACGCCTCCGGCAAGTCCAGAGACTTCGCCACTATCAAACGATGTACCGACGCCTGCATCATAGTAGGAACCAGCGACCAATGCACGCTTGTAGGACCGTATTCCATTCATGACCTTGCCGACTTTGCCAAAACATTGTCCAACAGCCATCCAGAGCTTTGGATCGTACGGCCGTAACGCAGCGGCGCGTTGGTGGTAAAAGAGCGCATACGAATGCATTTCCAGCACTTCGTACGTTTGTCCCAAACCGTACCATGCACGATAGTCTTTGCGGTTGACATCGACAGCCCGCCGGTACGACTCAATGGCGGCATGGGTGTTCTTCATCTCAACGAACTCGTGGCCCATCAATGTCCATGCTGACAAAAAGGTGCGATCGAGTGTCAGAGCTCTTCGAAAGTACATGACGGCCTTTTCATGCTCAGATTTGAGTGAGTAGTAGTTGCCCACCACACAACACGTTTCTGGACGAAACTTGTCCGTGGAAGTGGCTAGCTGCGCTAAGAATGCAAGTTTGGGTCGCATACCCATGACATAGAGTATGTTGGAGTAGTTGTCTAAATGGTCCACTCTGTGGGGATCGGAGATGAGGAGGTCAGAGAAGATCTGTTCGGCATCATCAAAGTCCTTGTTGTGATAGTGGAGTAGAGCGCGTTGAGTCTTGAGAAAGGCCGAGGTGGGAAAAATGGTAAGAATCTGCGACAGCGACGAGTGTATCTGCTCACTGACGACGTATAGCTCCTGCGAAGATGTGACATGGAAGATGAAGGTCATGAGATTTTGCGGTAGACGCGCGACGATTCGGTTGAGATCTTCGGTAGTACTGAGCAGTGCCTGCAACTCTTGCCATGCCCCCCAATTGTACGTGTATTGATGAAGACTCTTGACCAGATAGTCAATGGCGAGCTGCTCGTTCTTTCCTTTGGCCAGCACCATGCCATACAGATACTCGAGCCAGCCTTGCGGTTGTCGCCCGCTGCTGGGGAGATCTCTGAACCACTCGTCCAGGACAGCTGAAACAACTGGTAACTCTTTGTTCATGGTGACGCCTCCATCTTGGGGACCCAATATCATCTCGCTATCCTCGTTCATGCGCTTCTCACCCGCAATGTACTTGGCGTACAGGGCCAGGAAGAGCGACTTCTGGCTGATGCCCTTGACTGTATCATTGGACAGCTTTCCCTTTGTTGGCGTAAACATGGTAGCCTTTCCCTTGGCCGACTTGGACTTTGACGTTGGGGTCGACGAAGGATGCGACGCGCCCTTAGGCAAGGGTCCCGGGAGAAAGACGGCGGCACATCGATCATATTCGCGACAGTCAAAGTATGTTTTTGCAAGGAGGAACCTGTGCGCCTCACGCGCTTCTAGGCGGGCTTCAGTAGCGTCTTTGGGCACAGGTGCTGGTGTTGGTGGCGGGTGCGCGTCAGACATGGGCGAGTCGACATCCGTGTCTGAGCCATCATCGTCGTCAGGCGATGGGAGAGAGTCGAGCAGTTCTGCAGCCCTTGTCAACATCAGTATACACGCGCCCGCCAGACATCACCCAAGGCCAGTACGCACCATTTGGCCGAGTGATAGAGGCAGCGCTCGGTGCAGCTAATGACGGCGTCCTGGAGCTGGGCCTTGAGCTGGGCCTCGTCAGCCTGCGATAAGGTGCCCATGACGAACCAAGGCGAAAACAGGGTATCGCTAACTTGGACCCAATTCTTCTATATACAACGCGGTGATTACAGTCACTAGGCAGAGTTTCGGTGACCGATGGACGCGTTGTTGTTGAGCTGCCTGTCTAGGGTACGTCGCGGTGGGGCAGCAACCAATTGCCCGGTTTAACCTTTTGCCGGCAGACTCTCCAGACTACAAGTAGACACCGCCTCCATCAACATTTACTGCTGCCCCTCCCCATCTTGAACCGTAAGCCACCTTCTACCATCAAGATGCCGACCACAATAAACGAGTTTGAGAGCGTATGGCCACGCATTGTCGCGGACCTGCAGGACCACTGCAAACGATACAAGCTGCCCCAGCAGCCTCTTGATTGGTTCACAAAAGTACGTCTTGCCCCACTAGACAGCGAACATCTTCAGGGTCCATGATGCTCACCACGCCAAACCAAACAGTCGCTCGACTACAACACAGTCGGTGGAAAATGCAACCG